CTTCCCACCCGTACTCCATAACACACGCCTTTCACATTTGCTGGCCCATTCTTGAGGAGACCGCTTGTTCACACCTAAAACTACCTAAATAGTCTTAAATCGCAGCGCATGCATGCCGCAGCGAAAGCAAACAATATCATCAAAGGTATAATACAAGACTGACAAAGTGCAAAAGAGATTCTCAGGGGGTGTGCGAAGCCATGATGGAAGCACATAGAAGTATCTAGATTTTGATCCATTTTGTGCCTCAGGAAGTTCAGTCCATAGTCTAATTATGTGTCGTCAATGACATGCGAAGGTTTCTGGCATCAATTCGGAGACTGACTGACTGGTCTCTCTTGGCGGTGATTTGGATGCGAATTGAGTTACGACCTGTGAGGCCTTCACGATCGAGTATTACTTGGCAATCAAAGAGGAGGCCGAAGATGGTGACGAGGCCCGCTTGCACGTGACTTTTGAGTTGCAAGCACGCAGTTTGCTGCAAGTTGATTCAATTTTGTAATCAATGAGTTTCTCATTTGGATGTACCTTTTCAGAGGCCTGTGAGGACCTGTCCAGGAATTGGTTTTCTGTTGTGTTCTTCACTTCTCTGCATTTCCTCACAATGCGAGGGCCTCCTAGCCCTACACAACCGCACTAAACAATGCATTGCAACAAAAGTCGCAGTGGAAAGTGCACCACAATCTCACAAAGTGCACCTCACATTTCACCAATTTTGGTTCACTCCACCAGTTTCTCAAGTTGGTTGCCTCAGATATCAATATAATTCAATATATATATATAGATAGATTAGATAGGAGAGCATGTTCAGGGAAGGACTCAGTGCAAAAGTATGCTAGGTTGCAAAAGCATTTGTTTCCATGTCATTGCTTGAACCCAGATAAATTCGGAAGGGGAACTCGTATATGACTGAAACCGATTGAAACCTTTTGAAAGCAACGCTGTCTCAAGGAGAAAGAAGAAGAGCCGAAGGGCAGCGTGCTCCGTAAGGACATTTTTCAGGGTGGAGAGGCAACCCAGATATCATGTGATGATATCATAATATTGAAAGCAGATCCAACACACCAAAGACCATTTAAGAATTGGATAGCAGAGCAAACACACTATGTTGGGCCTAGTAGGGCTCCGTGCATTCTTGGCATTTTGTTATTATTTCATATTATTTCAAACTCTCAACAAGGCTGTGAATACTGGATTCATCTCAACCATTCGCTTTGCTCCCTGGCTTCGATTTTTTTTGGAACAAAGAAATGCAAGAGCTGCGTATTCCTTCATACCTACTTTGAGGTCAGAAGCTCTTGCTGAAACATCTTTTTTGGTGTACGTGTGTTTGTATGTTTGCGTGTATGTTTTGCTGAAGTTTCGTCCGTTCAACACAGCATTGCAAGACGATTGCATGCCTATCCTGTATTTCAAGCACGTTTTAGAGATTTTTAGAATTTTTGAGAGTGATGCATTTGGACGTGTTGGGATTATGATAGCTGCGTGTCAGTGCAGGAGATGGAGGCAGGACCGGGGGAGAATGGGGAGTCCCACAGCCCAGAAATATGAAGATACATCACCGATACGTCAGATACTGTCTCAATAGCCATTATGCTCGACCTCAGGCTGCAGAATGTCACGCTGAAGTGATACGAAAATATACGTAATATACGAAGCTTCCATGTCTATGTTATATTATGGTGTGTATATATATAATATATGTATAATATATATATATGATTATATATACATACATTACGTACATGTATATATGTAGTTGTGTCACAGATTCAAAAGAAGGATGCACCCTGCGGATCCGGCTATGGATCTCGCCCAATCGGACAGCATACTAAATTGTAAAATAATTGTGACATGAAAATCATGAAATTGCTTGCCACGATGGTCGCCGTGATGTTCGCTAGTATGTTCGTAGCATCGTACTTCAACGTGGAAAGAATATGAAAAATACCCTCAGAATCTTCATGCATGCACTGGTAATTCTAGAAATAGCAGGTCTTGGAGTGCATTCTCTGCGACATCCTTATACAACTATTGCTATGTGGAACACCTTGGCCTACCTCCAGAGATGGGGGGATCTTATTGGAGTATGGTCACAGCCGTCAGTAGCGCAATGCTGTGAGGAAGTACATGCATTTGCAGGAATCATGATGCTGTCAGACGCTGCCAGGGCCAACTTGAAATCATGGAGAAAGTTTCTTCAAGGTTAGAGGACTGTGACATACCGTAGCCGTAGCTGCTGTAGTTTGTCACTTTTTCTGTTCTTCTGTCGCCGAAATAGATTCTGCTGAAGTTGATCCTTGCCGCTGGGAGAACCGATCTGGCAGAATCAGAAAGCTATTGAATGCCTATTGAATGCTTTTAAAGCTGAGAAACTGAAGCCAGATAAAGCTTAGGTGTACTTGTTGTAGGTATTGTTTTCGTGCTCTACAGGAACATCATCACCTCAACCTGTGCTACACGATGTACAATGACTCGTACAAGTTTCAATATCAGATGAAGAAGGCTGTCGCATACTGCTGGTTTGTTTGATTCGCTTTTGCCGCAAGATATGTCATGATGTGTCACATGATGTCACATGTTATTTGTGTCAATGTGGCAAGTGCTTCAATGTAGCGAAGATCAAAAAGTATTCATTCCCTTGCCGGACTTCACTATATCGGCTCGTGTAGGAAAGATTGGACAAGCACAGCAAATTTGACATGTGTATCATTGTGTATCAATGCAAGCGATGGACTGCATCCACTGTCTAGGCCTACGAGCATTGCCTAGAAGCAGGGCGAAATGATCACCATTGAAAGCGACAAACAGCGGAGTTTCCACTTGGCACTGCAAGGCTTCGGGTTCAGTGAAAACATGAAAACATGAAAACATGAAAATATAACTTCAGCATACTTCAGCATGTTTGAGCAGATTCTTGTGATTTTTGCAACACTTTGCAACGGCATACAGCGTATCATTGTACAGTGAGTCACAACTGCAGTTGCTTCAGTACTTGCATTGAGGTCACAAAACACGCGGTATTTGAAATTCAAAAAAGCGGCCACTTGCAGCCACTCGAGTGGCCGCAAGTGGCCGCAAGTGGCCGCTAGGGCAAGTGGCCGCACGTGGCCGCACGTTGGATTTGAAATTTCCAAAGCAGCGCCACTTGCATCATTTGCATCATTTGCAGCCACTTGCAGCCACTTGCAGGAACTTGCAGCCAGCAAATGGCTGCTAGGGCAAGTGGCCGCAAGTGGCCGCAAGTGGCCGCACGTTGGATTTGAAATTTCCAAAGCAGCGCCACTTGCATCATTTGCATCATTTGCAGCCACTTGCAGCCACTTGCAGGAACTTGCAGCCAGCAAATGGCTGCTAGGGCAAGTGGCCGCAAGTGGCCGCAAGTGGCCGCAAGTGGCTGCTTGGACGGCAAATACCAGCCCGAATGGCCCCACCCTTGAAAACTTGAAAAAAATTGCTTTTCTCGCGAACTGCATTTTTTCAAGTTTTCTGTGAAACGTGAGGTGAGAGTTGAAACGAGAGGATGGAAATAACAAATAGGAGGGAAGAGTTAAAACGAAAGGATGGACGCAACGAAATGGACAAGGTGAAAGGAAAGGAAGAGCTAAACGAGCAAGACAGAAGAGTTGATACGAAGGCACAGACGCAACGAATAGAAAGGAAGAGTTGAAACGGAAGGAAAAACTGAACGATCAGGACATAAGAGCTTATGCGAAAGAAAAGAAGTAACAAATGGAAGAGGAGAATTGAAACGAAAGAAAGACGAAGGGGGAGACGCAACGAATAGAAAGGAAGAGTTGAAACGGAAGGAAAAACGAAACGAACAGGACATAAGAGTTAATACGAAAGAAAGGAAGTAACAAATGGAAGAGGAGACTTGAAATGAAAGAAAGGACGCAGCGAACGGAAAGGAAAAGTTGAGCCGACACAGGAAGAATTAAATCAGAAGGAAGGACGGAGCAAACGGCAGGGAAGAGTTGAAACGAAAGGGAAGAAGAAACGAACGGGATATAAGACTTGAAACGAGCGGACGGAAGTAACGCATAGTAGGGAAAAGGTGAAACGAAAGGAAAGACGCAATGAACGGAAACGAAGAGTTGAAACGACACGAAGATCGAGTTGAAACGAATGGGAAGAAGTAACGAACGGAATATAAGACATGGAACGAAAGGACAGAAGTAACGCATGGAAAGGAAGAGGCGAAACGAAAGGAAGGGGGCAATGAACGGAAAGGAAACATTGAGTTGAAAAGAAAGGAAGGACACAATGAACGGAAAGAAAAAATTGAAAGCGGAAACAGCTATATAAAATCAGTTTAGTTCGGCCGGTTCGCGGCTGTTGTTTGTCGACCGGGTATACGCTTGTGCCCCCTACAGGGAAGAAAGGAAAGACATATGTTTTCGAATTTTATCGCTTTTACCGTGGGTGTTGGTAAATTTTTGATTCGTACCATTTTTTTCGTGGATGCTGGTTAATTTCTCGGTGTTTACCACTGTTTACCGTTTCTGTATAGCAAACCCTTGGCACTGCTTCACCAGATTTCCAGCACTTTTGGTTCGATCCGTATCATGTTTTTCAGCCGAAGGGGAGAGATGAATTTTATCATAGTTAGGTTGAATGCTTTTGTTATAATCACCCAAGTAGGAAATCTCTTGGACCAGGCCAGCAATGAACGACTTGAAACGAAGGGAAGCAGTAAGGAACGGAATGTCAGAGTTGAAACGAAAGGAAGACAGTAGCGAATGAAAGGAAAGAGTTGAGACTAAAGGAACGGCCGAACGGAAGGGAAGAGTTGAAACGAAAGGAAGGAAGTATATAAGGAATGAAAGGAAAGAGTTGCAACGAATCGACGAAAGAATTAAAGTAACGAACAGGTTGTAGGAGGCGTAAGAGGTGAAACGAAGGGGAAGAAGTAACCAAGGGGGTTTATAAACGAGGTGAAACGCAAGGACGGACGTAACGAAATGAACGACTTGACAGCAAATGGAAGGAAGGAGTTGAAACGAAAGGAAGGAAGAAACTAACGTGGGGGAGTGTTGAAACTTAAAGAAGGAAGTAACAAACGAAATAGGCTAGTTACAATAAAACATGTAACCGAAAGGATTGTATAGGAATTGAGACGAGTGGAAGGACGTAACCACATGAACGGCTTGAAACGAAAGGAAGAAGTACATGAACGGGATGGGAGTGTTGAAACGAAAGAAAAGAAGTATCAAATGGACGGGAAGAGTTGAAACGAAAGGAACGCTGTAGCAAATTGAAGGGAAGCGTTAAACAAAAGGAAAGAAGTAACGCACCGGGGATAAGACTTTCTAACATTATTTGATGCTACGCTTTGATACGCTCTGAGACCTTCTGCATGTTTTACATAGAATGCATTGATGCTACTACCCAACAGCTTCTCCTTAGGCTCCTAACTGGTTGCTGCTACGCTCTAAGATCTACCCAACTTGCAAATACTCTACCATCATTGATGCTACGCTCCAAGATCTGCGCATCATTCTTCCAAGTTTCTACCATCATTGATGCTACGCCCTAAGATCTTCTCTTCAATCTCCAAACTGCAACTGATCTTCAATTTTCTACGATCATTGATGCTACGTTCAAAGATCTTCTCTTCAAGTTTCCAACATCAGCCATTCTACGCTCAAAGATCTTCTCAACTGTCCAACATTGTTGATGCTACGCTTTCAGATACTCTCTTCACTTTTCAGACATCATCGATGCTGCGCTCCAAGATTTCTTTTGTTTTTTTCTCACATTCTACCCGCATTGATGCTATGCTTTTCGATTTTATTTCCGTGTTTCTCCCATTGTACCATCATTGATGCTACGCTCTAAGAACTTCTCTTCAATTTTCAAACATGTTTGATGTTACTCTCTAAGACTCTAAGATATTCTCTTCAATTGTCCAACATACTTGAAGTTACGTTCCAAGATCTTTATTTCAAATTTGAAACGTCAGTGATGCTACGCGCAAAGATCTTCTCTTCAATTTTTCCAACATCATTGACGCGACTCTCTAAGATCTTCTTTTCCTTGTTCTGACATCATCAATGCTGCGCTCTAAGATCTTCTTTTCAAGTGTTGAACATCACTGACCCTTAGATCGACGATCTTCTTTTCAATTTTCTACAGTAACATCATTGATGCTACGTTCTTGGATCTTCTCTTCACCTTTCTATTATCATTGACGCTACGTGCCAAGGTTTTCTCTTGTATTTTCTAACATGCCACGCTCTAAGATCTAATCAACTTTCAAACATTTCGTCATTATTGATGCTATACTCCAAACATTCTCCCGTGAGTGATTCTGCGGTCTAAGATCTTCTCTTGAATTTTCTCACATTCTGCCCTGATTCATGCTAGCTGCTACCCTTCAAGTTTCTCGCAAAGTTATTGCTACGCTCTTAGGTCTTCTCTTTGATTTTGTTACATAGTACTGCGTTAATGCTGTAACATGTTCTTTCATCTTTTTAGCATCATGGACCGTCTAAGGTGTTCTCTTCATCAACTTTCAAACATTATACCATCACTGGCACTACGCTCTAATATCTTTTCTTCAACTTTCTAACATACTTGACGCTACGCTCTGAGATCTTCTCTTCAATTTTCTTCTATCATTGATGCTACGCTCTGGGATATCTTTTCCATTTCCAACATTCTACCGTCATTTTGCTACGCTCAAAGATCTTCCCTTCGACTTTCCAACATTGCACCATCATTGGAGCTATTCTCCAAGATCTTCTTTTTAATTTTCTCCCGTTCTACCACCGTTGATGCTACGCCCCAATATCTTCCCCACGCTATGGAAGACATGGGTGGCATATGGTTAGCCACATGGTTTCGTGAGGCACGATAAAATCCTACCTATCCAACCTCCAAACTTGAAAAAAAAAACGCCTTTCCAGCAAAACCGATTTTTTTCAAGATGCCAACTCTGCCATGTATTTCTACCAGAACGCAGGCACTCGCAGCCACTCGCAGCCACTCGAGTGGCCGCAAGTGGCTGCAAGTGGCCGCTTTCTGCGATTTCAATTTCCACCCTCAAAGCAACCTCCCTGAGTACTTGTTTTTCAGATATATAACTGACGTGTATGGTCATCACCCATCGGCAGGAGCTCGGCACACAGGCAGGCCCCGCCTTTCATGGATTGGGAATATTGCGGATTATTGGGGTGATCTAATCTGGGGTATTCTAGGGTGCATTTTCGAAAAGAAAACAATAGATTCAATGGATCAGGGCACGCTGCAGCCAAGTATATTTGCAGAAACATCTGTCCTTGGTATGTTTGTCAACGGTCCGTGTCTCCTTTCCACGACCGAGACACGTATAAATACAAGTGTGTATCAATGTAATTCTATGTAATTCTGTTATCACATTTCTATCACATTTCTATCACATTTCTATCACATATCCTTTGCCCTGCGTTGTGGTCCAAACATTTTTTTTTGCTGGAAATCATGCCCTCAGACAACATTGTGCCGGTCTACAGACGCGACATAGAAATGAAACATCAAGTCGTATTAAGATGTATTCAGCCGGTTTGCATTGGTTTGCAGGGTTTTATTGCACTCATTTGGACTATTTCCACAGAAGACTAAACTGTCATTTTTGTGCATGTCAGTCTTAAAGTCTTGTACCAATTCAGCCGTGGAATATCGTGGAATCATCATGGCTGTTAAGCAGAGAAAATCTGACTTTTGCATACTATATTACTATATACTTTTGCATACGTTTGCATGAGATCCATTTGGGCAAGATTGGCTTTGATCCTACTGAAGCATGAGTTGATGACGTGACAATTAACAGCAAGCACAGCAATTGCTATACTGCCCAACGTCCTTCGTTTTTCTGGCAGGAGCTTTGCCGGTCCCTGAATGTCCTTGACGGCCCTTTGGTTGTTTGATTCGTTTGAGTATTGGACAATTTTTGTTCTTGTAGGGAAAACTGATTTGTTGTTGTAAATGCTTCTCATTCCTTTTTGTCTGCAGATGGAAAATACGAGGAAACATTGGACGCGGCAATGACACAAATGGCAAAGAATAGGCGGATGTTGGATGATACTGGTACTGAGAAATGGAAGTCTTTTTTCTTCAGTAGCGCGCTCGGGCGCGACTTGCCTGGTTATTCCAGAGCATTCATCGTTTGTCGGACTATTGATTGTTTGCACCGAGAAAAAGGATGACCGTACTGCACTGAGCCCATTTGGTGGTCAAGCCCAAAGGCAGCTTACAATTGTTCTTCTGATATCAGTCCACAAGACAAACCAATGTTGCAGGATGTTCCAGGCATCTAATCAGACATGCGGGTTGCTTGTTCCTACTTGTAGGGCTCTTGAGTACTAACTCATTATGTGCTCTGTGAATCTCTGTCCATTTGCGTTGCATGATATTGCACAGTTGAGAACGGTTGGGAAGTTTTTTCTTGGTCTGTCTATTCCCTTCTCTATTCAGTTCTCTCTATTCTATCTATATATTCTCTCTATTATCTCTATTCTATATATTCTATCTTGATCCCTCTTGGTCCGTCTTTGGTCTCTGGAGGTGTGGCAGGTCTTGCAGGTCTCGAAGGCCTCTCAAGAGCTGCATGCTCATCATGCTCCATCTCTTGGTGTACCTTCGGTCCCAACGGAGGGAGCTTTCACATACTTGCACCATGTTTGTGCTCTGGAAGGAGGATGTCGTTTGCCGGGTTGCCCTCACGGAATGTGTTAGATTGGATATTTTAGAGATTGGAAGATCACAACGTCCACAAAGAGAAATGCCTTTGATTGGTGTAGATTATCATAGATGGTTTGGGATCTTTGATGATCTTTGTAAGATTTTGTAAGGAGAAGTGCGTGAAGAGCAGAGTTCAAGACCCGTAGTCGACTAACCAAAACAGCAACTCCTCTTGCCCATCTCTCTTCGAGTGACAGGCTGAAATGCTCCATCCCTGCCTTTTATGCACACTGCCAAACCAGTGGGTTGTTGAGTTCCAAGAAGACATGTTGAAACATATGTTAACATTTTATTTAAATGTAGTACTGTAGTGGTTACTGTCGCAAAGAAGCGTGTGCCAGACCTACTCAAAGCATGGATTTCCTGCCACTTCATCTCAGAGTGCCACAGAGGATCAATCCACAGCCATTTTCTAAAATATAATCTGACATAATGTGATATTTTTAGATATTGCATATGAGCCAAGACATGATTATGAAAGACAGGCACTTGTGCTAGAGTCTAGAGATAGCAAAGAGCAACGATGCATGATGCTCTCGGGTGTCAATGCTGCAGAAAAAAAATGTATGCAGTTTGCAATCAGAATGTGCAAGGCAAAAACATGATACTACGCTACTTGTGACAACATTGCCAGGGACTATAAACATGGCTATTGTCGGATGCAGTTACAGCTTGTTACAGCCCCAAGTCTCTTGCCACTGTCCCGCTTGGGTTTAGTCCTGGGGCTTGCAGCTGACCATGGCGTCTATAAGTTCTGACAGGGCGCGGCCGTGCTGGGAAAGCATTGGGGGTTTTAATGGATTTGGGAATGCAGCCAGGCGGTAGACAGGACGCATTCTGTGCGTTAATTGAGGACGGCGTTTTGTTGACTTGGATAATTTCTTAGGAAGCAGATGGAAACAGATTTCTTATGGCCGGCCGGCTTTCATTTGACATCTCCAGACAAGAGTGGATTAAAGCACCAAGAGTTGAGACAGATTGAAGCAGGTAGGTGTGTGTGTGTGTGTACCATCTGTAGAGATGTAAAACTTCTTAATTTTGCAGGGGGCCACCGGGGTCCCAGGGGGCCGGTGGCCAACGAAGACACCCCCTGGTTACCTGTGAAAACGTACCTGCTTTTAATATATATATATATACATATATATATATGGCCCAGCGTTCCAACCGCCCCCCCGCCATGGTCATGGGTCAGCCGTAGTACTGTCCCCTTCCCCCCCCTGTGGTGTGGTGGGGGTGTGGTACCGCGTGTATATATATTTATTTTTATTTATATGTATATATATATATATATACGTGTGTGTGTGAATATATGTGTATATGTGTGTACATATATATATATATATATGTGTACATATATATATATATACACGTGTGTGTGAATATATGTGTATATGTGTGTACATATATATATATATATTTTAGATACGAATGTGTATATATAAAATTATATAAATTGTATATATATATATATTTACATATAGATATTATTTATATATATATTATTTATATATATTATATATATATATTATTTATATCTGATTATATATGTATCTATAATATGTGTATATATATATATGTATATATACATATATCATATATATATATATATAGGAAGTAGATACACGGCACATTTATACAGGACTATAGGTAGCACGTAGGTACTTTGAGGGACTATGTGTGCTACATAGGTCGTCTAAAAGGTAGCATGTACCTAGTAAATGCGAGGCTGGTAGTCAGAATCGCCGCAAAAACCTACAAAAATGAGGCTGGACCTCAGAAATGCTGCCAATAGCTTGCATATAGAAGGGAAGCGGGTGCTACCTGGGGACCCATACCATTGGAGGGTGGGGTAGGAACACGGAACACGAGACCATATATATATATTTATATATATATATATTTATATTTATATTTATATTTATTTATTTATTTATTCCCCACCTGCCAGGTGAGGGTTGTTAGATTTTATCAGAGCTGTTCTCCTCCTCCGCCTCCTCCGCCTCCTCTGCCTCCTCCGCCTCCTCACCCGCCGCCTCCTCCTCGCAGTCCAGATCCCAGTGGGCACAGCCGGACCTCAACCGCGAGTTGCAGATCGCAGTGGGCACTGCCGGACCTCAACCGCGACTTCCAGGTCGCAGTGGGCACTGCCGGACCTCAACCGTGAGCTCCAGATCCCAGTGGGCACAGCCGGACCTCAACCGCGAGCTCCAGATCCCAGTGGGCACTGCCGGACCTCAACCGCGACTTCCAGATCGCAGTGGGCACTGCCGGACCTCAACCGCAACTTCCAGATCGCAGTGGGCACTGCCGGGCCTCAACGGGAAGAATGCCAGAAAAGATGTCAGATAGACAGAATGTCAGAAGATATGTCAGAAAGAATGTCAGAAGATATGCCAGACAGAATGTCAGAAGATATGCCAGAAAGAATGTCAGAAGATATGCCAGATAGAATGTCAGAAGATATGCCAGATAAAATGCCATGAGATATGCCAGATAGAATGCCAGAAGATATGCCAGATAGAATGCCAGAAGATATGCCAGATAGAATGCCAGAAGATATACCAGATAGAATGCCAGAAGATATGCCAGATAAAATGCCATGAGATATGCCAGATAGAATGCCAGAAGATATGCCAGATAGAACCCCAGAAGATTTGCCAGAAGATATGCCAGATAGAATGCCAGAAGATTGCCAGATAGAATGCCAGAAAATATGCCACAAGGTGGTGCCTTGAGTTAAGTTGGACTTATGGGCTTTATAAAAGGACTTGAGGAAGTTAACTTGAAGTTATGTTAAGTTATGTTATAGGTTTTGTAAGTTAAGTTATATCTTTTGTATCTTTTTTTGTCGAATCTGTACTATGTTTTCAATCCTGCATGTGTGCCTGGCCAGTTGTGTTGTTTTACCATTGCGCGTCTGTTCTTTGGTTTGTGATTGCGAAATGCGAACAAATTAGGGTAAAAACATGACCACGTTGCCTTTGGCAGTGGTCCATGCAGGCACATGCATGTTTGTCATGCACGTGTATTCAACAACATTTTTTGTTTTTTGTCTTAGAAGGTTTTGAAAGAGTCCTTCACAGTTTTTAGGAAACACAAAAAAAACACATTTTTAACACATCCGCGTTTACAAATGCAATTGGTCTGAGACGTGATTACACCATCGCGTTCCCTTCTATTTTTAATCTTTTCATGAGGATACACAAGTGCGTTCTCTTCTTTTTGTGGAAACACATCCCAAACATTTACATATTTCACCGTCATGTGATTGTAGGTGTAAACACATTTTTAATACATTCGCGTTTGCAATCTCTGTTTGGTTTATATGTTGGGAAACACACACGTATTTATGTATTATCTGCATACATTCGGGAAACACACGCGCGTATCTATGCTTTTATTGGCTAATGAAGAGGCGACACATGCGCGTTCCTTTGTTTTCTGGTCTATTCCATTGGATATACTCACGCGTTTCCAGATGCAGCTTCTCTCATCCCTCCACACTAGGCCAGCCAGTGTTTTCTCCCGGGAACACTGCGTCAGTGATATGTTCTGGCCACGAGACTCTGTTCCAGCTGTCAAAGCGTTCCAAACTTCTTGCGATAAAAAAGAACTGCAAGATTTGAAATCCTGCAATGTCGCTCTCTGCGCGACAGCGGTTCCTGGTTCTGCCATGCTTTCAAGGATTTAGTGCTTCACTTGGGCAAACAAAATGGCTACCATTAAAAACATCATTCCAGACAACCAAAAACCGCTATCTTTGCTAACTTTTTTGTATTTTTTTTGATGTATGTGCTATTTCATGTTATATCTCCCTATCTATTGATATAAATTCAACATAACTTATACAAGATAGCCCCATTTATAAATATACTTAACCCATGTTACAACATTAAATATACAATATATAAAATGATTTATATGTCAAGGCACCACCTTGCAGAAGATATGCCAAATAGATATGCCAGAAGATATGCCAAATAGAATGCCAGATAAAATATCAGATAGACTGCCACAAGATATGCCAGATAGAATCCCAGAAGATTTGCCAGATAATATGCCAGAAGATATGCCAGATAGAAATGCCAGAAGATATGCCAGAACATCTGCCAGAAGATATGCCAGATAGAATGCCAGAAATTATATCAGAATATTTGCCAGAATATATGCCAGAAGATATGCCAGATAGAATGCCGGATCGAATGCCAGAAGATATGTCAGATAGAATGCCAGAAAATTTGCCAGTAACAAATCGATAAATGTCATGGTGGGGATCACTCGAAGTAAAGTAATTTATTTATTTATTTATGTCTTTATTTATTTATGTTTTTACTCATTTATGTCTTTATTTATTTATGTCTTTATTTATTTATGTCTTTAGTTATTAATGTCTTTATTTATTTGTGTCTTTATTTATATATATACATATATAGTCCCGCCCCCGGGCGCATATAAGTCGCAGCTGGGGGACATATATTTTATCGCTCTGGTTTTTTATTGCCAACGTCTACTGTGTGGGTATAATATGTATATTATATTCATCATGTCATCTAAATGTTTTGTGTTTTTGCACGTCAGATGCACTCCACAACCGAATTCGCAACGACAGTTCTGAACAAGTGTGTGACTCATGCTGGATTCGTCACGGTGGCATGAACCCTTCAGGAATTACCTTTCTAGGTAGGAATTTTGATCCTTCGACCTGATCTCTGAATTTACAAGTTTCAACCTAGTAATTCGTTTAAGTAAAGTAACGGCTGGCTATTTTTCGATTTTCACCCTGTCGGTCGGCTCAGAGTGTATCACCTGATGGAAGTTGCAGTCATCTGCATAAATTGTGGACTTGTCATCCAAGTGTGGTCAGTGGCATTGGGGATGTCCAAGAGCAGCAGTGCTGCCTGAGCTGTCCACAACGTTGGTGCGGCTTTACAGCCTTGTCAAATACCACGGGTGGTGCGGAATTCTCGCTGGCAGCCTCTGTGTTCAAACGTGAAACTGGTGCAGCGGCAACCTGTTAACAATGTCTGTTTGTCTGTGTTTGTGTGTGTGGGTTTGTCTGTGTCTGTGTGTGTGTGTTTGTTTGTGTGTGTGTGTGTGACGTTGTGACGTTGTGACGTAGTGACGTAGTGACGCAGCGACGTAGTGACGTAGTAACGTTCAGGCAGGCTGGTGATGGTTTGTGACACGGTTTGTGTCTCCTTTGTCGGCCGTGGAAAAGCCAATCATTTCCACAAGGATCCACACAAGGGTTGGATTCTGGGGCAAAGAGACAGGGCAGAGGGATTACCATGGATTCCTGCAACTGGAGAGAAACGATTCTTCTTCGTCAAGGAACATCTCGAGTTGCAGGGTTTCTGAAATCTAGAAATCAGAACGAATATAATTTATATATATATATATATATTACGCGGAATATAAATATGGACGAAGGACAAAGGATTGACACTAATGATGCCTCCGGACGGCCAGGTTCGGCGCAGCAGGCCGTTTCTTTCAAAGGGCTGCAAAAAAGCATGGATACTGTCTCCCAAACTGAACATTTTACAATTCGTTTGTATTCATTGTTACATGATCTTGCAGCTTTGGAAACATGTGCAAGCAAGGGAGCAGCAAGGGCTGCCGTTGAGTTTTCAGCAGCATCACTATCAACATCGAGATTTTTGATTTTTTGTGTTTAGATTTTGGAGTTTGTGCGATGATGCTAGAATATGCTAGCATAGCAGTGTAATATAGTGCAATGATGATTCTGGACTTGATACGCCTCTAGAAGTACTGCAATGATCAAATTCCATTTGCCTTATCTTATCATGCATTACCGCGGGTCCAATGCTGGGCACTTGCAGCAAGCTTGCATCAGCTGCAGATCCAGTGCGGGATGAAAGCTAAACCATATCAAACCAAGTCCATTTGAGGATGTTCTATGATTTTATTATATTTTCTTACGTTTCACTTCGCCGGGCTTGGATGATAGTGCGCTTGTAGACATAGTCCTGGGTTCAGATCACAATTGTTGTTGGTGTCTTGGCAGGTCGCTTGGAGACACCTTGGTTGTTGGTTTTCTCCTCAGATTCGAATATCGAAGATTTTTTTTTCTGGAATCTTCCAGATCTTCCAGATGTTTTGTGGTTCTTTGCGGGCCTTGTGGTAGAAGGCGCTCTTTGATGCGTTTTTCATTACTGTAGTTTTCAGTCTTTTTCAATCACTGCTTCAGAAGCATCCTGTGAGCTTCATCAACCTCTTCATGAATTTGATAATTCGATATTCCCTACGATTCTTGTTCCGGGTTTGGCGGATTGCAATGTCAACTCCTTAAAATTCCATAGACTTGACTTGAGGCCTCACCGGAAGCATTGGCATGGGAAAAAGCACTGTTAGCAAGTGGCTTCAGGCTGGGAAGATATTGAGTGATACTCAATGATATTCAAGAGTGGCAAGATGTGGCTAGAAAGTGTCGCCGGGAAAAGAAGTATGACGGCATTGGCCAGATTTGTATGAAATGGGTGTGTCGGAACATCCCATTTTCCTGAAGTGCAGCTGTGGGCGGAAGCATGGAAGTAAATGTCCAGAACTTAAGCATGCGATCTAATTGAGATATGGCCCCATCGTTTCGTTGTTCGTTTGTTTCCAATGTGCAGCTTGTTAACATGTTGAAAATGTCCCAAATCACCAGACTTTTCATGCTTCTTGAAACCTGAAACATAAAGAGATTCATACCGACATACTGTGGGGAGTATAAGCCCATCGAAGCCCAATCCTCCAGGCTCATATTCCGAACATAACCAGATCAGATACATGATATGTCGTACATTGTCGTGCTGCATGGACAAAAACTGACATATCATGATAATCTATTGATAATCTGATATAATCTGGATGGTTTGGATGACTTGGATGAGGAGATGCAAGTACCTCTGGATGATGCAGATGCCACTGTGCACAGGTTATATGCGCCGGGACCTTGGTCCAGCGATATGCGGACGTTTGGAGTTGCGGTCGTTTCCTAACGAAGATCATCGAAGATCTGGATTTATTTGGATTTGAGATTCGGGCATTTCAAGAGCGTAATATGACCTGGTGATACCTTATGCGCAGGGATTGAGAACATGCCCATGCTGTGTCAGATTTTCCACTTGGCATCATTGAGCAGTAGCACGAGTTCAGCAGGGTGGTACCATGTGATACCTTTCAGCTTTGGTTCACGGCAGTCATCTCTTCGGGTGTTGTGGAATGTTGTGGAATGTTGTGGATGCATTAGCCCAACTTAACAACCCAACAGCAGGCTCCAGGGTTCCAGGGTTCCAAGGTTGCAGGGTTCTGGGATTCCAAGGTTGGAGGTGTCCAGGGCTCCACGGTTCCAACTTTCCAGAGTGCTAGATTACCAAGGTTCGAGGGTTCGAGGGTGCCAGGGTTCCAAGGATCAAGGTTCCAGGCTCTATTCATCAATACAAACAAATCATGATCCACAGCAAAGATCAGCAAAGTGTTCAATTTACAACTCCACAAGGTTCCAAGGTTAAAAGCCACCGTAGGTCTGCAGCCACCGTAGCAAGGGTCCAAGGATGCAAGAGACCAGAATTTTGGGGTTCCACAGTTCCATGACTCCAGAGTTTGGACAAAGGGATCCATACTACGGGAGTCCCAAAATTCAAAGTTTCAAGGGTTCCCAAGCTTGAGGGTTCCCAGCAGGTTTCCAAGGTTCAAGGTTCCAAGCACCAAGGTTCCAGACTTGCAAACGTCCAGGGTTCCAGGATTCCAATGTTGCCGGGTTACAAGGTTGCAAGAACACAAGGCTCGCGGGGCAAGGTTCCAATTTGCAGGGTTCGATCCAAGGTTGCAGGTTTCCAAGGTCCCAGAGTTCCAAAGTTCCAGCAAGGTTCCAGCAAGACAGCAAGATCTGTTCCAGTGTTCCAGGGCATTTTCCCGACACCACTCCCCGCCCCAGATTGAAACTCAGCAGAATTTGTTGTTGGGAATTAGGCCTGGTGGAGAAGCTGTCCTTCCGCTCAAAGAGGCAACAATGGTTCCACTCAAGATCAACGGGTTCAACAAGTGTTTTTGGTGTATCTGAAGGTGGTGTCTTAGTTAGTCTTAGTTGCCGAATGTGTCTCTTTGACTTTGCCTTCCAAATGAGAGCGTTCACGGTTGCTCTGCTTTTACCCGACATCATAAACAGTATTTGGACGTATATAGGTGTTGGATGGTGTTGGTTTTAGAGACTGGACAGGCCACCTCTTGTTTTGAGCATCAAAGTTTCTGTTGCTTAGCGGCGTTTAGCGGTGCCAGTTTACGATATCTGGTCTTAGCATGTCTTAGCTTAGTAACACTTAGGGTTTCACGGGCCTTGATTCCTGGCATTCTTTCTTTCGGTTCATGCTTGATGCATCTTAATGCCAAGTAGCCTGCCCAACTCTGTTTAATAGCCTTCGTAGTGTCCACTGTGACAAAAGCTCAAATCGGAATATACCAGCATCATCCAGCATCACATTTAAATGTGTGTGAAGTTTCCATTTTATGTTGCTTGCTTGCAGGCTTTTGGGGACGAAATTCTCTCACAGGACGCCTTTGGAGTCCTTTTGGATCCAGGCAAAGGCTTCAACTTTCAAAGGTCAAAGTCCAATGATTTGATTGCGAGGAAAGTTTGTAGAATACATATGAAAACATATGAATACATGATAATACATGCATAAATCATCGTAAATCATAATAAATTTAAAGACTGAAGAAGTTTTCCAGGTTTTTTTTGCGACATCCGAGATTGCATCCAGGAGGGTGGCGTGGACCGAGGGGCACTTTCAAAGCTGGTTGTAGGGGAGGCGAATGCAGAGAGGCTGAAACACTTGGAGGCGAGCGTCTTCTCGGAGAAGTGAAGTCGTGAAATGTCTTGGGCTTTGAATCAAAATAATCGAGAAGCAAGATGAATCAAGCACTAAACTCAGTCTGAGCTCAGGGTAAACTCAGAGATTTGCTCGAAAGTTCCCCTCCCAGCGCTGCAACGCGCTGCAGCTCAGAATCACCATGGCAAACAAGCAAACAACAAGGGATGGTGAGTCTGGGAAGATGAAAGATGATGAAAGTAGATGCTTTATAATGCTTTATATATTATTTATATAAATTTATATAATATGTGTTGCTCTGGCGCAACAAAGAATCTGATTGCAAAGGCAATCACAGGTTCTCAGGTTCTCACTGCGTGTGAAGTCGAAAGTAATTGAGTCACCAAGAACATAAAAACAACTATTGACTATTGTCGTGTTATGTCGCGTCTTGGCTTGAACATGTTTGAACCCCTGAGCTTCCTATAGTCGCACTGTTGCCACACTGTTGCTAGGCCATTGTGCATCCCTTGGTTGAAGCTTCTCGTGATCACTTTATTTCCAAAGCACGGCGGCAAGGGGAGGCGTTGCCTTTGCCATCAGTGAAACAGCGACAAACTGAAACCAAAATGAGCATAAGGGAATTAATTGCAGGAGACTACGCATCTTACATGTCACGCCTTTGTATTTTAGAATGCTCATAGAGACATTTGCTTTCGATGATGTTATTGTTGTTTTGTTCAATCAAGTCAGATAAATCAGGCTGGTGATTTGTTATCGACTGTAACTTCCGCCAAAAGGATATGAAGGCTGACCGTCGGCTGACCCTAACATTATGTAGCCATTGCTCGAAGGGTGCACGTTCTTCCATATGATTTGAAGCCTTGGAAGACTTGCTTAGGAAAGCCTTTCATTAGTAGCACAGCAATCATTAAAATTAAGAAGTGCCTTTGAATGGCTTAGATCTTTGGGTATCATTCTGCCTTGTTCTGCTTGTTTACACTCACTTGCTTCTGGTGCTCTACTCAAATTGATGTTTCTGCCCAGCTCCTTTGCGTGCTGGACATTCCCCTGCTCTTTGAAAAGAAACTGGTCTTCGGCTTAGCTTTCAGGGTGAACCTGGTTCATTGTTGAAAGATTTGAAAGTAGTTGGGAAGAATATGGATGATGTGGACGATATGGATGAATCCCGGTTCCTTAGGTTCTTCCCGAATGCATAGCAAGGGTTCCCATTTCACTCTGGGAGTTGGGGGGTTCAGGGTGTGTTCGCAAGACGTTGCGCCGCCCTTTTGCAACCGTTGGCCGCTGTCCGTATGAGATCCCCATGGCCATGCCTGCGGGGAGTGCTGCAAAAGTGGTCACTTTTGAATGTAGGTTTCAAATGTTGCACAACTTTGTTTCGTGTGGCAGGCGTGGCACTTCGTGACATAGCAACATCTTTCATAACGTGTCAGAAGTCGCTCTGTGTGACATGCACAATACTTTTGCAAGGTTTTCAGAAGATGAGTTGCAGGTTTCGTGGCAGGCCCAGCACTCCAGCACTTTAGACGTGTGGTGTTTTTTGCCAATCGCATTGTCAGGGCTGCGTCAAGTGGTGACAACGTGCAAATTGCGTGGCGCGCGTGGGACATCGTGAGAGTTTACTTTATATTTTACACTCCACACTCTACACTTCTATACACTTTACACACTACACTTTACACTCCGCACTCTACAGTTTACTTTTTTCACTCCACACTTTACACTCGACACTTCGCACTCCACAAACCCCACTTCATACCCTACACACACAGCATTCTTCACTCAACACTCCACTGTCTTTACACTCCACACTCTGCACTCTGCCCGGCCCAGTCCACATGACACTACACTCCACACTCAACATTCTACACTCTACACTTTGCACTCTACACTTACACTGACACTCCACCATCTACACTTTACACTTTACACTGGACACTCCACACTCTACTATACTCCACACACTACACTTTATACTCCACACTTTACACTTGACACCTTACACTCCACACTCGACAGTCTGCACTTTGCACTTTACATTTTACACTTCACACTGTGCACTTGACACTCCACACTCTACAGTTTACACTTTATACTCCACACTCTACACTTTACACTCCACACTCACTCTACACTTGACATTTTACACTTTACACTCCGCACTCTACACTCTACGCTTTACACTCTACACTTTACACTTTACACTCGACACTTCGCACTCCGCAATCCCCACTTCACACCCTACACACATCTACACACTACATTCCCCACTCAACACTTCACTGTCTTCACACTCCGCATTCTGCACCCCACTCCATTCCACACTCCACAGTCTACACTGGCACGGTAATTGGGGAAGAATGTACAACACTGTTGAAATAAGTTGTTTCACAAAAGTGTTTTACGTGATTGCATCTCTAATGTGTTTCGACATCTGTGCCATTAAACATACGTGTGTGAGCATTCGGGTTCGTGGGCTGCATCCTGTTCTTTTTTGCATCGGATCAGCATTATCTGAAATCGTCTAAAATTGTCTCAGTTGCTCTTCGGTGAAGTTTTTGCATGTTCTACAGCATGTGCAGAGTTTGTAGAGAGGAAAAACATTGCGACGTCGTAATGGTGGTGAGTGCTCCTGCTGAGCAGCAGCCAGGACCTCAGAAAACACAGCGTTTGTCCAGCTATGTCCAGTTGATCTTGTTGCCTGACTAGACAATCTAGACATCACTTGTTGGCAACACTGCAAAGGTTAGATGGCACACATAAAGTTAAATTATTATGCTATTACACGTTATATCATGTTATAATTATGATTATACTATATTATAAGTTATTATAATATATATATATTATATATATACAGTACTTAGTACTTATTTTGTGATCCCAGTGAAGAGAGCCCCTTTCACCAAAACGCTGTTGCAGAAAGTTGCAGGAGGGAATCTGAGGGAAAATCATTTTAAACATTTTGAAATGATCCTTTTTAGACTTTCAAACCCTGGTCCTCCCTGGGCAGAGAGTGGGCTGTATGAGGCGCACACGAGTGCTGGCTCGGAATGATATGACCCCGGAGAAGTTCACTGCAATTCTCTCGAAGCAGGTCCAAGCAGCTGATACCAGGAACTGATTTCGGTACCATTTTGGTACCACATTTGATATGTCCTCCATTGTCCTCCAGTTCCTTTGGCTTCCTGTGGTTCTCCAATTTTCTTCATTTTTTGATTTTGATTGATTTTAGATCATTTTACCGGGTTAAAGTGCCTAAACTAAGTCCCAGCCTTCAATCAGTTGTTTGCACTGTTGTCGCGTTGCCTTCATCTTCTGAAAATTGGACACAAGATGCATTTACTTCATTTGGGACTTTGACTTCCCCTCTAACCTCTATACCTCCTGATAGAACCATCCCTGTACTGTGCATACTAGTAGCTCAGAAAAGGAAGGCCTGTTTATGTTTGTGGATGCCTTCCTAATAGCGAGCACGACACCACACTACCTACAACATAGTACAACATACTACTACATGCTACAACTGCATGTCAGTTATGTGACTATGTACTGAATAAAGGCACTTTTGCTATCTTTTGCTTCAACATTCCTGGATGACCAGGACAACCAGAAATCAGGTCAAACAACCCCACAGATTTCAACCGGTGTGAGAACCTCGCAAGCCTTCTAGGAGCCTTCTCGAGTTAGTTTAAATTTTAAACTTAACGGTGAAGGCCGCCAAGGCATTATGCCTAAGCGCTGTAAGCGCTGTGCGACAGGTCCCAGACGCAGACAAGCGACGGAAAGCTGACCACATCGTGGATACTGGCCTCACAATGGAGGCGTGGCAGATGACAATTGGCGTGACAATTGGGCCCAATTCTTCAACTTTTAAGGACTTCGTAGCTTTTGCAGCATTTCACCAGTGCACCTTGAACACCTTTTCGGGTGCTATCACCTTTGGCAGAAAGGTGTCCCAAATTCAAAGTCTCGTGAAAGTTCAATGGAAGTTTGACGTTTAGAAGTTGACATTCTGCAATGAATTGCTGAGCAGGGTTTCGCTTGCATCGATGTTGGGAGAACAGAAGCATCAGAAGCCACTCATCGTAGTACAGTACTTCTTCACAACGCACCTGTAATGGCAGGAGACAAAAGCGCAGGTGATGGCATTTGTCAAGGAATGCTGGTCACCCAGGGTGATTTTTGTGAGTGCTGACACATCACATTTGCGCGCCGGTAGATATATTCTGACACACACACACATGTATAATATATATATATAATATAGTGTAATTTGATTCTGCGCAATATTATTTACTATCATACTATGAGTAGTAGTAGTAGTAGTAGTAGTAGTAGTAGTAATTAGTACTAATTAGTACTAATTAGATGTAATTAGATGTATTTAGATGTAATTAGTAGTAATTAGTAGTAGTAGTAGTAGTAGTAGTAGTTGTTGTAGTAGTTGCAGTAGTAGCAGTAGTAGCAGTAGCAGTAGCAGTAGCCGCAGTAGCAGCAGCAGCAGCAGCAGTAGTAGTAGAAGTAGTAGTTATTGTTTATTACTACTGTAATTATGAATGTTACAATGCTGATATTATTGTCATTACTATTAATATTTGTTAATAATGTTTTTCTATTTAGAGATGTCAACATGTTATGTATATGTAAATATATATATATGTATTTGCTTATACACCGACGTGTATAATATAGACCCATATGTGTGCATGTGTCATCGTCTATTGGTTTCAGTGTATATTGTATGCAGTACAATTGTGAGACATCATATATCTCAATTTTGGGCTGCGGGTGGTATGTATTTACTGAATTCAGACGAAAACATGTTGAAGGCCAAGACTTCCTATGTAGGGACCAGCGGCAAGGTCGAGAAAAAGTGGCCGCTGAAAGAGACCGTGACCAGAGGCTGTAAGGGATCCTAAAAGGCATTTACTTGTAGCTTCTTGCTGATTTCTGTTGATTCTTGCTGACGTTTTATATGAAGCAAGATTTGTCATGATTTGTCCAGGTGTAGAATGCTTGGAAGAAAGTTGCAGTGATGCACCAATGCACGGTCCAGGTAAATCTTGAGCATGCCTAGTAGGAATCCGGTAAGAATACAACACAAGAAACGTCGTTTTTTTCCTGTCAAGACTCCCTGGGAAACCACCCCGGAGTAGTAGCAAATTTCCAGACAAGGCCACTTCAAGTCTTCTGCACTGTCAATGTTCAAAGCTGCCCTTCCGCTCTTACAAGACATATCATTCGACAATCACACCACTACTGTACTGGCCCGAAGTACGAGCCATTCGCCCTCATGGTATCTCTCACATACTCTCAAATGCAACATACAATATAATAATATACTGTATACACAATTACACACATATCTAATCATATCTATACATATACATGTAATTATCAGATCTTCCAGATGTGTTTTGATTCCATTGATTGTTTTGACCGGTCTTGCCAGTTTTTTGTACTGCTCATGCATCAGTCTCTTTTTGTTCTGCTCTAAATCACTGATTAGCGTTCTGCCGACTCTTAAATCCTGACGACTTGGCAGCCCAGCTTCAGGTTGACCCTCATCCACTCGAAAACTTCTCAGTTGAAACCATGCACAAGCAGTCCTTGACGCATGCAATTGCCTCTTCATATTAAAGCCAACTATGCAGAAAATTTCAGAAAACTATCTGCTTTAAAACAATATGGCCGAGTAAAGAGCAGAAGGACATCATCAAAGAGCTGCTAAGACGCAACGTTTGTTCTGGTTTTGGAGGAGACATCGTGCTTCCCCGTGTATCTGACAGCTGGATTGTATTCCTGCCAAACTACTAAATTTTAAGGCTAATTACAAATTCACAGCGAGTACGTGTAGTAATTTGCTTTTGTGGTTCCCTTTCTTTGGTTTCCTTTTTGTTGATTCGTCTAAAATTGCTTGATTCATAGGGTGGTGTTCACTGTTCAAGTCACCCCCACTCAAGACCCCGCTTTGCAGATCCGAGTTTACCAAAGGCCTACAAAAGTGCAGAAACGGCTTCTTGAGTGTGTATAAAATGTATAAACGTTTATAAACTTTATAAACTTTATAAAAGCTTTGAAAGGCTTTTAAGCCTTACTACAGCAAAATAGAATCATATGTTGCATGAGCGCAGAAGAAACCTAATATAAAATGCCCTTCAACTTTGGCACTCGTCCGGAAGGGGGGCCTTGACGAGAAACCTCTACTTGATAGATGATTGGTTTGTGTTTTTATGTGCTCTTCATCGTCGTTTTAAATTACAGAACGAATACAGTTGATATCAAAATGACTACTGTTTTATTCTTTTTGGTGATGTTGGCGTTTCAAACCTCACAGGGGCCATGGACATGAGGCAATGGCTTTTCCTTGCTGCCGCCCTGGCAGCCGGTGCTGCTGTTGCTTTTGGACTCCAAAGAATGAAATGAGGCAACCCGCTACGCTGAAGAGGGGTTGAAGATATTGATAGATATTGAAGTTATTGAAGTTGTTGAAGACGTGAAGGGCGGACCCAAGGTTTGGCAGTTGGTAAGAGACTGTACTAGGCTCTGAGTATAAGCGCTTCACAGTAGCAAGATTGATATCGCATGATACAGCATCTCACAGGAAGTCACAACAGCATTTAAAAATAGTTAAGAGGTACATTGGCCGCATAGGTGACATTAGGTGGTCGAATGTTCATTCAAGTTACAATATGATCAAATATGATCAATCTGTTACAATTGTTGTGGAAGATTGTGGGGCCCTGTGGGGATCTCATGGGATCTCAAGGTAGGGAGTTTTTGAAAGTGTAATGTGTGAGTAATGTGGTGCTTGGCCAGGCTGTCAGCATCTGTCAGCTGACACGTTAGACCAATACATAGTTCTTAAATGTTCTTAAGTTCTTAACTTAACCAGATGCTGTGCTCGGCTGTGCTGAATCCCACTTGGGCATTGCCTGGAGTTGATGGACAACAACACCTATGATCTTGTTGTAGCATGTTGTAGCATGTTGTAGCATGTTGTAGCTGTTTATAATTGATTTATAGCTGTTCGACGCTGTTTGTATTTGCTTATAGCTTTGGTTCCAAGCATGTCGCGTTTTTCCAAGTATCGACATACCAAATGATATAATATATAGTAGTGAACTTGCTGCGGTGTGAGAGTTCAGTTCTGGGATTCACAGTCGGTCAAGCCCGGAATTCTACAAGCAGTTTATAATTCCTCATCAAAGATGAGGTTTGTGATCAACTCCTTTCGCACTATGAGACTGACTCTACGGCGATGGAGTTGCAGCTGAGGGTTCAAAAACGATTTGCGGATTCGTACTTCGACACAACTGCTTCGGATTTAAAAGTTCAAACAGGTTCGACTATATATGTGACTATATTTCAGTATGTTCCAGTCTTGCAAATAAATTTGCCTCACAGTGCTTGCTGTTTGATCATTAGATGCGATAGGTTTCGGGAACCCAAACGGAAAATACTTGGGCAGGCATCGTGATGATTGTGCAACGCAAATGTGAGCCATTGGCTGGAAACGAATCACCACTAACACGAGACTTTCAAAAAATCATGTTGCCCGAAATTTGCTGGATTGTGTTCCACACTTGAAGCCACTCACACAAGAGTAGGCTTGGGATGTAAGCAGAAGAAGTTGATTGGAAGGACATGCCGTTCTTTTCATATTTTCTCCGACGTACAGACTTTGACAAATCTTCGCTTGGTCGGTAAGATTTGGAGCGAAGATTTGGTAAGAAGCCGCATCATCGAAATATTGTAGTAAGATGTAGTAAGTAGCATTCAGGATACTGAAGCTGTCAGACCCAGCGAGGGGAGAAGAAGAGGGTTTACCATTACACCTGCACGCCTGACGTGTTTGCTTGGCAAGCCTTCGTGTTCATTGCTGGAGCCTCATGCCGCACAGCTTGTGACAGAGAGTGTCAGTGAGAGGACCTCAAGAATTCGCTGTGCTATCGCATGCTCACAGATCATCATAGATCTCTGCATCCCTCTGAGGGTCATCCAAGTCATCTTCGTTCACCTCGTTTTCGCTAGGTTTTGTTTCGGTTTGACATGGTTATCCTTCTGTTGGATTCATTTGGATTCTCATCATTGCAGAGTGTAGTATCAGGCCACTATTGGGCAAAGATTAATAGCGGCTTCGGGAGTAATTACAATACCAGTGCGCCTTAGTAGTATTTTCTGTACATCTAAGAAAACTGGTCCAAATACGCTCAACAAACGATGTGAGGCTTATGTATGTTTATGTAATTATATATAATATATAGTATTGCAATATGTGACAGCATGCTGACTGCAAACATCTACATTGTTTGATATGTTTATGCCGATTTTATGGTTGTTCGATTTTGCACAAGTTGACCTGTCCGAATATACATACCTACGTACGTACGTACCTGCATACATGCATACATGCATTACATGTATTACATGTTTTACATGCATTACATCCATCACATCCATCACATCCATCACATCCATCACATACATAACATACATCACATACATCACATACATATACATACATCACATGCATACATCACATACGTCACATACATACATCACATACATCACATACGTCACATACATCACATACGTCCCATACATCACATACATCACATACATACATCACATTGCATCACATACATACATCACATACATACATCACATACATCACATACATCACATACATACATCACATACATACATCCCGTGCATACATCCCGTGCATATATGCATGCATACATGCATGCATTCATACATACAAAAATACATACATACAGACATGCAGACATACAAACATACAGACACACAGACATACAGACATACAGACATACATTACATTCCATTGCATTGCATTACATTACATACTTGCATTGCATTGCATGGCATTACACTCCTTTACATTACATTACATTACATACTTGCATTGCATTACATTCCATTACATTACATTACATTACATTACATATTTGCATTGCATTGCATGGCATGGCATTGCATTGCAATGCATGCATGCATGCATACACAACACACATGATAGATTCGATAGATTTACATGTCATGTTCAATTCTGCAGGTAACAACTTCAGTGCCAAACCTGGATCCATTCTTGTCATCTCACAGTTTCCTACGTCTCCGGGCTTCTTAGGCGTGGCTTTTGCAGCACTTCCTCAGGACAATTTATGAGCCTCTCAGTGCAGAAGCAACGTATTGTGCTGAGTTCTATTCCGGTCATTGTTGTTACATGTTGCCGACTGTTTGACATCAAGATTAGTCAAGATGATTGATGCTAATTGTTCGGTGAAGACCACTACTGTCTTGTGCGTAAATCTTTCTTTTATCCATCCTGAGAAGGTGAGTTTCACAGCTGAACCAGGAATTTGTATGTTCTTTCTCTAACGGATCGAACATATGTTTAGGAAATGATGTTGGCCTGTCGCATGAGGGTGCAGGATCCCCTTGAGCTTTGGGTGCTGCCTTGTGCGAGCTTGATTGTGTTTGTGAGCGCTTGCAAACGTGCTGAGCTGTTTGGCCATCAAACATGAACAAACACATTAACAATTGGATACAATTAGATACAATTAGTACATATCAAATCACATCGATTCACATTAGTGACCAGGCATGACCAGGCAGTTGCTGTTGTGAACATACACAGTTTCCCGTGCCCAGTGCTGTTGTTCTCATTGGACAGAATATTTACAGCAGGTCGCCAGAGTCATATGTATCATATGAGTTTCGCCGATACAGAAAACTCTTACCATTGACACTGACCTCATGTTGTCCCTGTTCTCTCCAGTCTCTTGGGGTCAAATCCATCACCCAACCCCTGATTTGTGCCACGCATGGTAATCGTGGGGACATGCGCAGGTGAAGGAAAATGTTGGACAATTTATGACAAATTGAAATATTAAATTGTAGTTTTGCAACTTCGAGTTCGCAACTATATCGGATTGTTCAGAGGAGGAACTGATCCGACCCTTCACCTCTATCTGGGTCTAGGGGTCTCTGAATAATTATACATGTTCTTGGAGAGGGAAATGTCCTAAAAGACATGTTTTTGATGGTTTTTGAATTTGTATGAATTTGTAGTGTATCATTTCGAATTGTTTTTTGTTCTTCCAGCGAGTGCTGCGTCATGGACGGCCGTCGTTTGCGCCTTTGGCCGCTGCTCCTGCTTTTGGGAGTGATCCAACTTGAGGAAGTGTCCTTCGTAGGACGGGCGCAGAGCAAGACAGATATGACAAATTGATAGAAATTGATACAAATTGGGCAAAACAAAGACAGAGATGACAGAGCATCCAAATGCATCCAGTTTATGCACCCGTGCTGCATTTGTACAGATTTGTACGCGTTTGTTACGTGTTTTATTTTGTTTCCATGGCTCAATTATGAGCACTGCTGCGAAGCAGATAAGCTGGCAGGAGGGCGGCCGCAACAGAGGCAGCCAAAGGCGGGGAAGTTTGGAACTAAGCAAACCCAAGGAAGGATATGTAGCAGATAACAGACATCCAAAGGGTATATTTTTTTTAAAGGTTTTTTTTTTGTTTTTCAGCCTGGGGCAGCTTTCCTTGCTATTTGCTGCATTTTGGAGCTAAAAATATGTGTTTTGCATGCATTTTGGAGCTAGAATCTCCCATTTGTGTGCCCACTTGGCTTTTGGCTTTTGGCTTCACTTGGCTTCACTTGGCTTCGCTTGGCTTCGCTTGGCTTATGGCTCATGGCTTTTGGCTTTTGGCTTTTGGTCTTGGTTTTGGCCGTTCACTTCACTTGGCTCTTGGCGTTTGTTGGGTTTTAGTATTGTAGTTTGCATATAACATTTCATGTAAATTCATGTAATACATTGCATATATATTTCATGTAAACTGCACAAAAACTACAGACATAGAGTATAGGAGCTTGTATGCATGCTGTTGTAAGAAAATAACGAAACCATCAATAACAGAAACCTAAAGAAACCCTAAACGACACCCTAAAGAAACTTTCAAAGAAACCCTAAACGACACCCTAAACGACACCCTAAAGATTCCCTAAAAGAAACCCTAAAGAAACCCTTAATGAAACCCTGAAAGAAAACCGAAATAAAACCCTAAAGGACCCCTAAATGAAGCCCTAAAGAAACCTGAAAAGAAACCCTACAGAAACCCTAAACGACACCCTAAAGAAACCCTCAATGAAACCTTAAAGAGACCCTAAACGACACCCTAAAGAGACCCTAAAAGAAACCCTAAAGAAACCCTAAATGAAACCCTAAAGAAACCCTAAATTAAACCCCAAAGAAACCCTCAATGAAACCTTAAAGAGACCCTAAATGACATCCCAAAGAAGCCAGAAACGACACCCTGAATGAAACCCTAAAGAAACCCTAAATTAAACCCTAAAGAAACCCTCAATGAAACCTTAAAGAGACCCTAAATGACATCCCAAAGAAGCCAAAAACGACATCCTGAATGAAACCCTAAAGAAACCCTAAATGAAATCCTAAACCCTCAAGAACCCAAGAAGAAACCCTAAAGAATCTTTGAAACCACGGAAAGATCATTGAAGACGATCAAGAAAGCGATGAAAACCATCCAGACATCGTTGAAAACCATGGGAAAATTGGTGAAAACTAAAATGTTGCAATTATCGTGCAAATTTAATTTTAGCTACCCCAATTTGCGACTTCAGCTCCGAAATGCTGCAAATAGCATGCAACATGAGATATGTTAGTTCAATAATGCAGCAAATATCATGCAAATGAGAGATTTTAGCTACAAAATTGCAGCAAATAGCACGCAAATCAGAGATTTTGGCTCCAAAATGCAGCAAATAGCATGCAAATCAGAGATTTTAGCTCCAAAATGCAGCAAATAGCAAGGAAAGCTGCCCCAGACTGAAAAACAAAAAAAAACAACTAAAAAAAAAAACATCATCCCATCCAAAGTGGTATTGCTACGAGCAGGTGTAAAACTTAACCAACATGATTTGGGAGAATTTTGGGAGAGTCCTCTCGTTGATGGTCAACCTGTCAAGAGATGTCAGAACAGCTGCAATTCTTAGCCAACCTAGGCACAAATGGCACGATTTGTCAAAAGATATGGAGAAAAATAAAAATATTAAAAATCATGAAAGTCCAAATGTTTTGTCAAGGCTCCGCTAGAGTCTTTCAGCGCCTTTGTGAGTTCATCCCCATGGCAATGGTGCAACAGGACATTCATTGAAACGTAGAAACATGTAGAAACTACGCCGCGCACAAATGGATCCTTTGAACATTCATCTTCATGCATCTTCATGGCAATGAACACTGGGTCGTTGAACGAATTCTCAATGCGTTTATATAATAAGGCACTGTTCAGATCGTCAAGCTATGAAAACCCGTCAAGAAGATGTTGAGATAGACAAAGAGACAGACTGACAAAAAGATCCCAAAAAGATTCCCAGAAAGATCAAAAAATATTATTTGACAATGGTTTGACAGTAGTTTTTTGTCTGCTTGAGGTTAACATGGTTACTTGAGAGTCCAAACATGTCAAAACTCTTCTGCTGCCAGGTTGCTGCTGGCAGTGGCACCGATGGAGCCGATGACGGTGGCCTGGTGGCTGCGTGCCGTGATGGGGACCTGGTGCAGCTGCAGATGATGTTGGCGTCAGGTGTTTCGCCTGATGCACAGGATGCACATGGGCAGCGACCTCTGATTCTCAGCAAAAACTTGCATTCGCCGTTTCTTTGCCGTTCCTTTGGCGTTCTTTTGCCATGCCTTCATGCCTTCATTCCTTCATGCCTTCGGTGTGCATTGTAGCCACACTGCACTGTTCTATCCAGCAGGAAAGAGCAATAAGTTCTGCCGCTGCCGCTGATTTGACTGGGAAGTGTTTGAACAGAGTAAATTTAATCGTATTTGTTCTTTTGGGAGACTGCGGTGCTTTGGCAATCATGTCGAAAAAGATTGACAGAAAAGGTAGTGTCGTGTGGTACATGGGACATGTGACTCTGTGTCTGTTTAAAGGGTACATGATGAACCGATATTCCACTTCTTTTGCTCAAGACTTGGATTTGCGCTTCGCTCGCAGCTGATACTAAGCTGCTTTGCAAGCTCGGGTCCACAGAGAATGCTGCAAGGTGCTAGGAGCACATCTTCCCTTGCGAGCGGACCTTTGGATGGCAGCATATCCGTGCTCCGACACCTGCAGATGCAGTCGAGACGGCTTGATCAGTGGCCCGATCCAAAGGGTAGTGGCTTTGCTCAGAGCTTGTCCGGTCAGTCTGGGGAGTCTGAATTGCTGAGCCTAGCAAGATTGGTTCTGGAGTTGATAACCGCTGTCACACCGCAAGTTCATCAAGCATCTCAGGATGACAGTAGTGGTGGCACTGGTGACTTCAATCAAAGCCAAAGCCAAAAGGACGGGCTCCCAGATAAAGAAAAACATCAGAAAGCGCATCGCAACTGTGTCAAGGCTGCGTGTCTTGCAGTTCGCAAGAAGCTAGACTTTATGACACTGGCCTTTGCTGTGCGTGAGTCCGTGAGTAGCTTGCTCTATGTTGTGGTGATGGCAGAATCGAAGCAAGCTGGCCAGCTGGTTGGGGGTGGCAAGGGACAACTGGCAGAAACTATTTATCAAATTTGTGGCTTGAGAGACAAATCTGAGACGTTTGCTTCAGGCTCAGCGTTCAAGTCCAAGGAGCCATGTTGCCGGTGCAAATGCTGCCACATCACCATCCAAGAAGCATTGAGTTTGCTTCAGTTTCTGCACAAATCTCTATGCGGGGAGGGCAACAATGGCATCCAGGAGCAGATCTCAAAGCATGTGGAGGATGGAATTGTCCTTTTGCTCCAGATCCTGATTCAGCTAAGCTCTCAGGTTCACGAAGCATGCTACTTGGCAGCTCATCGTGCTTCCAGCCAATTTGGTTGGCGGACTTTGTATGAGGAGATTCGGCAGAAATGTACCTTGGTCTCCTGGCCACACATGTTTGCGTGGACATCCTTTGAAAGATCCTTGCAGGGCATGGAGATCTCCTTTGCAAAACTGGAGCGTCGAGTGGCGATGTTGGAGCTGCAGGAGAGACGCTTGCAGAGCAGGATGTCAAGGCAAGCGGTTCAGAAATGTAGAAGGAAAATCGATTGCAATCCATTTGGGGCCGTAAACGTTCTAAGGTTCTTACCCCGAAATGGCTTAATTTGAACATCTTGACATTGAAAATGCTGTGTTTTTCATTGTTTTTCTCTCATTTTCTATGAGTCCCAAGAGTGGGAAAAAACTGCAGATACCAGTACCAACATGTATACCAACCAAAGTGCTAAAAGGGTAGGTCTTGGATGGGGGGCGTACGACGTAAGTATTATATACAGTACATGATATGTAAATATATATATATATACACATATATGCATGTATATATATATATATAATCGAAGGAAGTTTAGAAGTGAAACTTCCGACAATATGGACAGTTGAAAAGCAGAGGTGAAAAGAGTCAGAAGAGAAAAGATCAGAAGAAAGAAGATGCAGATGCGCGAAAAGGTAGGAAAGTCGCGAAACACTGTGTTTTTCCAATGATTTGGGGCTCCGGAGGGTCGAAAAGTAGGCTCGCTAAAGCGGCGGGTGCGGAGCCAGCTGGCCAGATGAGAGATGAAAAATTGCACGCCGTTGTGGCGCGAAGCACATTTCCAAGTCAAAATGGACAAAACACTAGAGGATCGGACCACTTTTGGAAGTTGAGATGTCGAAAAAGTGCACGCCGTTGTGGCGCGAAGCACATTTTGAAGTCAAAATGTACAAAACACACCATGGTCGGACCACTTTTGGAAGTCGAGATGTTGAAAAAGCGCACGCTGTTGTGGCGCGAAGCACATTTTGAAGTCAAAATGCACAAAACACACCAATGTCGGACCACTTTTGGAAGTTGAGATGTTGAAAAAGTGCACGCCGTTGTGGCGCGAAGCACATTTGGAAGGCAAAATGTTAAAAACACTAGGGGTTCGGACCACTTTTGGAGGTTCAGATGTCGAAAAAGTGTCGAAAAAGTGCACGCCGTTGTGGCGCGAAGCACATTTCGAAGTCAAAAGTGTAAAAAACTGAGGGTTTTGAGCCTTTTTTGACGTGAAGATGTCGAAAAAGTAGACACTGATTAACTTAACTAACATGACTAACTTTAACTAACTTCACTAACTTAACTACCCTAACTTCGACGACAACAGCAACAGCAACAACAACAACAACACCAACCACAACAACTACAACTACAACTACAACTACAAGAACTACACAACAACTACAACTACAACTACAACTAGAACTACAACTACAACAGCTACAACAACAACAGCAACAACAACAACAACTACTACTACTACTACAACTACAACTACAACTACAACTACAGCAACAACAACTACAACTACAACTACAACAACAACAACTACTACTACTACAACTACTACTACTACTACAACACTACACAACAACTACAACCACACAACAACTACAACTACAAAACAACTACAACTACAACTACAAAACAACTACAGCTACAACCATATGACTGCAACTACACTACACTAATTACATTACACCACAACTACAACTCCACTACGCTACAACTACAACTACAGTTGCAGTACATCACACTACATCCAGCAGTTGTGGGTGAGGTGACCACTGCAACCATTGCAACCATTCCAGCAAACACAACTCCAACCACCTTTCGGTCAATCAGTGGCTTCGCTCTGCCATCCCTGATTCGCAACAACCAACTTCTCCTATAGGTTTCCTATTTTTGAAACTTCCGCCACCGCCTTGTGCGGTACTACTGGTATGATTAGATATATAGATTGTGTTTACTTATTACTATGATATATGTTTAAATTTACACTATATTTTGATGTCATATTTTAAGTCATGAAGTATATTTATTTTCATGTTATAGACCATTTTCTGAATCTGCACGAACGGGCACAAGCATCCATGCCATTTTCCCTGAGGTGTGTGTGCCCATCAGCAGGTTTTCTATCCTTCCCACCAGCCCTGCCAAAAGTGGATGTTGTCCAGAATCAATCGCATTCAATCAACTCTGGCTCCCAGTAAAAGTTGAGATTGACAATGCAAACTGACCACCCTACGTTTGGGCCGGTGAACCCAAAAAAGAGGGTACTTGGCTCATTTTGACCTGTAGCACTGTCTGAAATGCGATGGTTGCAGGTAGTGTACATTAACGATCAATTATGTGCGAACTTCTTGAAGTGGATTGTTTGAATCAATCATTCCGCGGGAAGCTCGCAGAGCCGTCTCTGGGGACCCTGACGGATGTGTGCAAGCACAACAGCAAAAATGGTGACAACTGTGGCTAAGTCCTTTTGTGCACAATGTCTAGAGAATGCATGGAACAGAGATACTCCAAGACAATGGTCAGAATCAATACTGATACTGCTCTACGATGCAGCAGGTAGGTTCAAGTTGGTAATTTGTTATAATTTTTTCTGCTTGATCCATTGAACAATTGAGGCAATGCAGTGGCGCAAGGGGGCGAATTGGTAGAGAGGACGAGAAATGAATACAGCATACTAAAGCATCAAGAAGAACTAAATGAAACGTCATAAGGCATCATAATGTCAAGATATATCAAGCATATTTACACATCATTATCCCACCTTGCACAGTTTAGCTGAGGATAGCGGCTGCATCGCTTGGTCATGCGCCTTTGGTTCATGAGCTTCTGAAAGCCAATGCAGAGGTGGATGCGCCAAACCAGAATGGAGTAACTTGCCTCAACCTTCGACATGAACCAGACGCGTGTGTATTTTCCTGAATTGATCTGGAGGTGCCAGGTTGTTTCCAGATGTGATCATGTTGGAATGACCACCAAATTTGATGCTATATCTGCTACATGCACCGCATGATGCTGCTTGATGCTGTGCGAAGCTGCTAAGGCAACAGCCCTCATTGCCGCTGCCTTTGCTGGAGATGTTGACACGATAGCAGCGCTGCTGGATGGCAAGGCTTCGGTGGAGGCGTCCACAGCTTCTGGTGTGACTGCTTTGCAGGCGGCAGTTGAAGGCGCTGAGAGCTGTCAGAGAACTTTTGCAAGTCTTTCCTGCAAAGGAGTGGCAATAAGTCCCGTGAGTCGCTTGAATTCAGGAGATGTTAAGATATGTTAAGATAAGTATAGTTCAGTTGCATGGTCAAATATTGTCCTATGATACCGCATTATACCGGATGAGTTATCCACAGTTATCCAATGTTGCCATCTTGAAGCACTTTGAAGCACCTTGAAGCACTTCGCAGCTCCAGGGAACAAGTCAGAAGCTGTAGAGCAGCTCTTGGCGGCTGGTGCAGAGGCTGGATCGGAAGTTCCTGGGATGACTTTTTGATGACCTCTTTATGATCTCTTCATTATGTTGTTCATCAAGTTTGTAACGTCATACGTTTTCATATCCTGTGTACATACTTTTCATGTATATATATATATATATTACCTGTGTGTATATATATATGGCCCAGCGTTTGGTGGTCCCCCCCTCCCCCCCGAGATGGTGATGGTTCCGATATGTATACTGTATGAAAGCATCATGAAAGCTATATATATAAATAATTATATAATATTATACATATATATACATATATATGTATATATATATATATGTGTAAGTTGTTTATATATATAGATATAATATATATACACACACATGTGCGTGTGTATACGTATGTAGTATGTATATGTGCAAATGTATACGGTATGTATATGTACGTGTCTATGCATATGTCTATGTATCCCTCCGCCCCTGTGGATGTGGTGGGGGGGTGGGTGGGGGGGTGTACAGGGGGTGCGGGGGTGGGAGGGTGGGAGGGGGGGGGTGGGAGGGGGGTGGGCCGTGAACACGAGACACGGGACCATATATACATACACACATGCACACATGCACACATCCATCCATCCATCCATCCATCCATCCAGACAGACAGACAGACATACAGACATACAGACATACAGACATACAGACATACAGACATACATACATACATACATACACATAAAGACACACATGTACACTTACATACCTACATACATAACATAACATGACATTAACAATGACAATAACAATTCCATTTCATTGCATTACGGTGCATACGTCGTACGTACATATCACGCCTTTCGTTGACATGCAGAATTGGGTCGTATGCTGGTGCTTTGCATACCTGCTTTTACCACGGTCACAGCCTGGTCGTGTGCAGGTGAACACAGCAGATGTGCTTGGAGTGGGATTCTCAGAGTGTGGTGGAAGGTGCCAGGTAAGGCAGATTCTAACAGGCGAATAATAGCGGTTGGTCTTGGTTGCGTCGCTACTCGGCTTGTTTCGATTGCTTGAGCCGCAGGTTTGTTGATTGTGGGAATCAGCATGGATTCATGTTGGGCTTGGAGAAAGGAAAGCAGCAAAATGGAAAATGCATATGAGAAGTTTTCGCAAGGCCTTCATCGATGTTTGCGGCAGTAATCAACACTGTCCGGGTCGTTTCCTGAGGCCACTCCTTTGCACCGTGCAGCTCAGTTTGGATTGCCAGACATAGCTGCGGCGTTGATAGAGGCAAATGCCCAGGTGGACTTGGGAACCAACGAGGGTTTGACCCCCCTCATGATGGCAGCGCGGACGGGACAAAGCCAGGCACTCAGGAGCATGAGGAGTGAGGTTGAGTTGACAACAATACTGTTTGGACAATACGATATTTTTGGTTATTTTAATGTATTTGTATTTAATGGATGTATGTATATGCTGTATGTACACATACAGATAGTGTATATATATATAATTATATATGTATTGTTTTATTTATTTTATATGTCTATGTCCCTCAGGCCCAGCTCAATCAAAGTTGCATTGATTGTGAGCCAGTTTGCGATGAAAAGCGGCAAAGGTGATGTTTTGGCAGAATTGCTTGAAGCTGGTGCTGATATGGAGATGCGAGAGAAGAAAGGCATGAGTTAAAACGAAAGGAACGAAGCATCAAAACCCACCAGTTGGCTTGAAATCCGTTTGAATTCTTGCTTTGTTTCCATAGTTTCAGGACAACCTGACCACCTGTCATTTTGGTGTGTTCTACAGCAATACAAGTAGAAGGAATGGCGCAAGTGCATACTCCAACGTGCAAAGCCCAAAGTCCACAGCCCGAATTCACACTTGCGCCAAGCAGATACGTCTCGAGAGTTGCAGCGGACTGGGCTGTCCCACAAGGTTTAAAACACTCCTTTGCACTTTTTCTCAAGTTCTGCAATCACACCGATTATTATCGACAGAAATCTGTGCAGTACAGAAGCACACTTACCTTTTTCACACTGACTGGCATATGAGTCATACAGAGTCATACAGACCAACACGTCACTTTATGTGCTCTTTGGTTCACATAGACAGCTGCAGGTGGCACTGCCCTTTTCGAAGCTGCCAAGCTCGGGAACCCAGGAGATGGGTTGCATGCACCATCAGTCACTTAAAATGCATGGTAAGGACAAGAGTCAATGATGTCAATGTTTGGAGTCAGCCACATATTATATATTACTGATGCTTGAATAGATCATCTATTGAAACATATTGAAACAGCATCTCCACTGTAAGTAAAACCATCGATAATCGACAAGCACATTTGTGTGCGATTGTCCTTGCAGCAGGTATAACTTCTATAGCCGTATAAAGAGTTTCTATGGGAACAGGAGTTTGACATACTTTCTGCAACAAAGGGCCCCTGGGTGGAGACTCAAATAGACTCAACCTTCGCAGAACTTCGCATCATTTCGCATCCAAATTGGTAGGGGCTTGAGATGGCTTGAGGATGTTAGATCATGTTGGATCGGATGTTTCGCACTGGATTCTTACTGTCCACATTGCATATGAAAGAAATTGAAAGAATGTTCAGTTTGTGCAGATGGAACTGCTCGCCATTCGCCAACTTTTATCCCCTAGGTTTGGTGCCACAGAAGCGGCCTCTTTGTTGCTTGCCTTGAACGCTTCTGCAGATGCAACACGGGAGGCCGGGAGCGGCTGGAAGACATGAAGAGCTAGGGCAGCTAGGGTACAGGATATCTAGGGACGCTACAGATAATTGATGATAATTGTATCAATATGCTACAGGTGTTCAGGAAATAGTTGGACTTTGCATTCAGGACGGCGCCACTCCCTTGATGATTGCTGCACAAGGGGGCAAGGCCAGAACAGCAAGCAGTTTCAAAGTTGACAGACGCGCATACAGATGCACAAGGCTGTCAAGTGTTGATTTGCTGCATGAACTTCCGTGCATGCTGGGAAAAGTGTGGCAAGGAAGAGGTGAACTTATGAAATTGGGATGTTCAAATGATTTGTGCTGGTCAGCAACAGATGTTTTGCGGTTCAGACGTCTAGGTGCTGTCAAGAATGTAGCTAAGCCCGGCAAAGGCAACGATGACTCATGACATACTCACGACAATGTAGGTACGTGATGGCGCGCCCCTTTCCAGGATGTAGAATTGCCAGTGTGAAATCTTTGCAAAGGTGAAGAGGCATGCCATTTTGATCGTGCCCCGTTTTAGCTTCAAATCCAAGCGAATACCAGGCAGGAGTTGTACTACAGCTTCTCAACAACACTGCGAACAACACTGCAACGGTCGACCTTGCGCGGAAGGCAGCGCACCTGTTCAATTTGACACCAAACGTAGAACTTGTTGCCAAGCTCCCCTGCACGATCTGTGCAGAAGTGCCCCTTTGTAGGTTTAGTTTGGGGGTGGATGTGTGCCTCTTTTTTCTATATGCCCTCGTATACACTCACATATCGACGGACTCTTTGAACATTTTGAAGTCGCCTGCATTGAAGTGCTACCTAGTAAGTCACGAGTGAACCATTTTTCCCCCATGTTCATTTTATCATATTCGTTCATAACTGTTCATAGTCCATCGCGAATGCTCATCGCGAATGCTCATCGCGAATGCTCTCCAGTCTGACTTTCCATTTTTCTGCTGTCAGAATCTGTCAGATTTCTTTTGCGTTTTGTGCTAGATCTGCTAGGACGGTTGCACCGCTTTGATGTTTGCTGCAATGTCGGGACATGGTCCAATTGTCACAGAGCTGATGAAGGCGCCAGATTTGTTTCGGCAATTCCAGACTCATACCCATGCCTGATATTACCTGATCAGCAAGTGTTCAAGTGTTTCAGCAACTGTTTCAACATGTTTTAAGAAGCTGCTTTTGCGACTGTTTTAAACAATGTGCTTTGACAAGTGGTTTGTCATTCTGTTGTGATTGTCTCACTTGTTTGCTGGTTTCCGTGTTGAAAAGAAACCGCGTTTTTCAGGTCCTGCTTTTTCCGCAACCCTATAGAAGTATAGCTCGACCTTCGACTGTAGTGACCTATATCGCCATATGCATAAACATTGCATCACTGGGTTTCATCACACTGAGTTGAGAAGGGGTCGCTGGAAGGATGCGAGGGTCGGTGTATTTTTGACCTATAGGTCACCATGTCTGTGAGGCAGAAAGCCATAAAGTATTGTACAGTCATAAAATCAAAATATCAAAGTAGTATAGAAGAGGCCACTATTGGAAACATGTGGAAAGCACATGAAAGCACTAACATGTGCAACATTGGACTAAAATTGCCTTGACATCAGGCTGGAGCCGATCCTGACACTGATCCTTGCCTGCAGGAATCAGCTTATCATCATCTTATCATCTATGCATATCCATGCCATTGGCAAAACCCAGAGTGTGGATGAGTGTGGCAAGAGGTAGCACGTCCAGCAATTATTCCCAGCATATGCGTCTATATAAAATTATATAAATACATACGACTATATGACATTATATGAAATATATGATTGTCATGTATCCATGTTGATAGATACAATGCATCCTCCTTGGGGTACCAAAGATGAAGGGCCTGGAAGTGAAGCTGACTTTCAGCCAAAATTTCTCCATGAACAGCAGCAAGTAATGTTTTGATATACAGCACACTGACTTTGCTTATTGTCGGTTTATGATTCTTGCAAAATGTTGAGCTGGTGGGGGCTCTGTGGGCATTTAATTTTCAGAGAGGGTTCCAAACCATGTTTTTGGGACGCCTTGGGCATAGAGGTTTTATCCCAAGAAGGGTCCCATGGGTATCTTCCCAGCTGGAATCTAAAAAGCATTCGGATGATGATGAAGAAGAAGAAGAAGGAGCATTTTGAGCTATACGAGTAGCCTTGAATGATCTTCGACCGGGGTGCACCATCCCAATGACTGTGACTATGACAACTCGGAACAGTGTTCAGAACATTCTTCCACTAGATAACGACAGGCACTAGTCACTGGGCATCAAATTTGGCCATAGAACTTCAGATTTATGTTGAGACATTGTGAGGCAACAAAAATATTGATCAGAAAAACACAAAGATTTGCAGATGAAACTTCACACCATTTTTCACAACGAAGAAACCTGCAATCAGGAAACATGAAGTAGCAAAGTAACATCAGACCTCTTCAGATTAGAACAACAGCTATGCCAAGGTTCGTCAGAGATTTTTTTTGAAGCTGTTTAGGTTGCCAAGGTGGACCGCAGGAATTTCTAGGATCCAGGTCCATATGGCCATATGGATCCATATGGTATCGAGTGGTTTGTGATTGCTTATATAATGTGCATGGTTGCTATTTTTGAAAGTTGACTGGGAAAGGAAGGAGAACCACCAGATCAACATTCGAAACCTCATCAAACTGCAATATTATTGTCAACAATGCAATGAAAGTTCGGACCGTTTTAAGACCCACCAGTAAAACAAAAGAGTGAAAGAGCGGCAATAGAACTTCAGATATCTTCAGATTTCAGAAAGATTATTGATCTGAAGGCAAGAAATTGACGATAAACATTCTGACTGATTTTAGGCAAATTCTGGGAGCCTGAGAATCGTTTTGGTCCGCTGGTTTGCATCGGGACCGTTTGTTTTTGCAACTGTAAACACAGGACAACACAGGACAACATGCATGTGTTCAAGGCCAAGGCCCACGCACGTAATATGAACTGGCCACAGTTTCAATGCAACAAGGTTAGAGTATAGAATCGGACCAGAAAAGGCAGCTCCTGCATATTCCTCCATTGAGCTAGCAATCAAATTGTGTTGCAAATGTTGGCAACTAAGGTTGATGAGAATGGCGTAACTGCTATCAAAATTGCCAAGCAGAATTCTGGATGCATAGAGGCTAAGTGAGTCAGAACGAAGATCAATCGCGAAAGAAGTCAGTCTCTTTGCCTCAGGCTATGCCACGACCTCATATGCTGGAGACAACATGTCATGTGTGCGAGTTTGCCAAACATTTTTGCGGCAAGTAAAATCATGATGAATCATGATGAATCCATTTTCTCGAAGGAACATGCCACTTGCATCCAATTGTATCCAATTGTCAGAAGCAGCGAGGCACCACCAAAATTTCATTCACTATGTATCTCAAGTATTCTCGAATAGTATAGGCTTGTAGCTCAATGTTTCATCATTCCATGGTGTTACTCCCTTGTGCTGAGGAATCGTTTCCCGGATGTTGTTCGGCGTTTACGCAATGCCGGTGCGAGCGGAACGCTAGGCGTGCTGGACTGGACGACTAGATATGACTAGATAATAAGTCAGTTTACTGCAGTTTGCATCAGTTTGCTGTTTTTACGAAAGCCAGCTAGCTGGCTAGTTGCTGTTTGCGAACGAAGTGAGAATAGGGGGTGTGGGGGGGGGTGGTTGCCGAAAGGGAACGAAATCTCGCCGTGCCCCTGTGTTGAGCGCCAGAAAACGGAGCATTTTGCTGGATTATGTACCACTAGGTAATTTGCTGACGGTGGGGTATCGATTCCCCCTAGGTCCGCCTTTTTGGTGGCCGGAGAGACCATGAGGATGTATTGGAAAATACAATGAAACTGCAGGAAAACATGATAACGATCAGAGGAAATCTTACAAAATCCCCTGGAAAACGGACGAAAACGGAGCGAATGCTAAGAACAAACCATGGAAATCCCTTGGAAAATAGAGGAAGCCGGAGCGAATGCTAGGCGCAAACCATGACGATGCAGTAAGCATGCTGGAAAAATACAATGAAAGTGCAGGAAAATGTGATAACAACGAGAGGAAATGGTGCAAAAAGGATCGGAAAATGAAGGAGACAGGTAAAACTCTTGGATTAATGTGAATATTGAAAAGGTATGAAAATGCAGGAAACCAGAGGAAATGGTGCAAAAACCTATGGAGGAAAGAGGTGAAAATGATAGGAAACATGTAGTAACAAAAATGCTGGACAAAACATATTGAAAACCCACGAAGAGGATGTATTGGAAAATACAATGAAACTTGAGGAAAACATGATAACGATCAGAGGAAAATGCTAGGAACAAACCATGCAAAATCTGTTGGAACATGGAGGAAACCGGAGTGACTGCTAGGAACAAACTATGACGATGCAGTAAACATGCTGGAAAAAGACAGTGAAAGTGCAGGAAAATGCGATAACAACCAGAGGAAATGGTACAAAAACGATCGGAAAATGAAGGAGACGGGTAAAATTCTTGGAAAAATACATTGAAAATGCAGCAAACCAGAGGAAATGGTGCAAAAAGGAGACGGGTCAAAATCTTGGAAAAATAGATTAAAAATGCATGAATAGACTGAAAACCAACGAAGAGGATACAGAAACTGCAGGAAAACATGATAACAATCAGAGGAAATCGTGCAAAATCCACTGGAAAATGCTGGAAAGATACAGTGAAGGAAAATGTGATAACAACCTGGCAGGAAAATGTGATAACAACCAGAATAAAGGGTTCAAAATCTGTTGGAACATGGAGGAAACCGGAGCGACAGCTAGGAACAAACTATGACGATGCAGTAAACATGCTGGAAAAATACAGTGAAAGTGCAGGAAAATGCGATAACAACCAGAGGAAATGGTGCAAAAACGATCGGAAACTGAAGGAGACGGGTAAAACTCTTGGAAAAATATTTTGAAAATGCATGAAATGCAGGAAACGAGAGGAAATGGTACAAAAAGCCATAGAGGAAAGCGGTGAACATGATAGGAAACATGTAGTAACAAAAATGCTGGACAAAACACAGTGAAAACCTACAAAAGAGAAGAAGGTAACCACAGGAAACGGTAGAAAAAGCAGTGGAAACTGGAAGAAAAGTTGTGACAATATTAGGAAAACGGTGTACAAGCTAGGAAATGCTTGTAACAACTAGAGGAAACGATGTAGAAAACAGTACAGCATGGAGGACACGCGTGAACATGCTAGGAGGCATGTAACTTGTTAGAAAAATACAGTGAAAACCTAGGAAAATGTTATAACTAAAAATGCTTTAAAAATATAGTGAACACCAAGACAATGTCAACGAGCGGAAACGTTGAGCAGGAAATCCGATTTGGTTTCTGTAGATAATGTTAGATGATGAGCAATGTAGTTTGGTGATAGGAAATAGTGGCTGACTCGCGTACAAGACATTGCCATGAAACCTTGGAGCAAGATGCGGATGGTATCGGGAAAAAGATGTATGAGTTGTAAGATTTTAGGAGTTGCATGGGAAAATTGGTTTCATGGTAATGTGTGTGAAGTTAGAAAAGTGTGATTTCGTTCACAGAGTAAGAAAAATAAATACAATCTGCAGATTAGAGTATTTATAATGCTTAAAGCTGTTTGACGTTTTTTGGTGCCTCCCTGATTCTGGTAGTTTTGTGATAAGAACTGCAAAAACGATCTACTGGTAAACGGAAGGAATAGTCTTTCCGGTTTAGAACTGAGTCGACTGTCAAGTGATGCATAGGCTCCAGGCCTCTGGTTATTGTCACAAAGCATTGGAATGAAGATTGCGCCCAGGAGCCACCTAGGTTAGGAGACAAATGCTGTAATATCATTGTAAGAGGCCGTGCTGAGAAGGCTGAAACAGAGCTAAAAGTGAATCTTGTACTAAAACATCGAGAAAGAATTTGAATCTTCTAATGGCGATGACGGGAATGATATGCATCTGTACGTCCGTGATAGTATGTGTGCCTTTTAAAAGGGATGTTTGGCGAGTGTGATAGCTGAGAAGATTTTCCGGGATGCCAAACAATTATCTCTATCGATGTCAGGGATGATGCTATTCCGCGACATTTCCTGTAAAATACCTATTTTCCAGACCCTTGGGGGGTGGGGGGGGGTACCCAGGTCTGCAAATGGCCTAAATATATATACGTTTGATTTGGACTGCATGTTCGCCACTGTTCTATATTTCCCATGGGTTTTGCATTGTTTTCCTCGATTTTCATTCGTTCTTATACCCTTTCTTACGTATGTTATAATATTGTCTTGGGTTTGCACTGCCCATTTTGCGATTAGAGCTATGTTTTGATTTCTCACCGTACGGCCAAAATGTTGCGGAACTTCGCGGAGAAGCATGGACCACGATTCTGGGGAGAAAACAATTTAGACTTTGAGAGGTCACATGACCACTGTTCACACAAAAAAGCGGGTATTATTTATCTACAATAGGTGGGAGCAAACTTGCGCTGTTTTAAGATAAATGAGCAACCAAAGGCGGATTTACGGAACTTGAGATAGAACTTTTCACAATGCCGCAGTACATTGTAGGAAACATATTTGGATATAGAAGTTACAAAATCGTGGAGTTTACCCTAAAAAGGTCCATTTAATGATTGGAAAATTATGACCCGATAGCAATTGTTGATGTTGGGGCGCTTCATGTTTGAGCCATGCCATATGGATGAGGTGGAGTTTCACGCGCCCCCGCGCGAGTCAAACAGCAAGCGCTGGCTTTCGTTCCACCCCTTCTCAGGTCTTGATGTCTTTGACGTACAAGTCTTGCTTTGGATGTTTGACGCTCCTATTGTCTTCCAGAAATGTCGGTATTCTTAGCTTGGTATTTTGTTGAGTTCTGCCGGAAATTGGGCATGTTACAACTGTGAACGCGGAGTGATGCTTGAATTCAAATAGCATAGGGTAGGGATGCATAGGGTCATATCGGGTCTAAAAAAAATGTATATCTAATATATGTCTAATATGTCTAGAGCCGGTAAGCACGGATGTGACACATTGTGACACATTGTGACACCAGTCCTAGGCGCTGGCAGAGCTGTGGACATCAATGACATCTTTAGCTGAGACATGCTGAGACATCAATGAAAACTGAGTGGATTTTCTGGATTATTTGTTTTTTTCATGATTTCAATCGGTTTTCGAATCGGTTTTCGAATCGGTTTTCATCGATTTGCCACCAGGATCAGGTCACCACTAGACTCGATGATTCGATTTTCAGGTAACATTGAAGACCACGAAGACATATGAACAAAAGCTCCCGAGAGTAGCTCCTATAAAGATCTATAAAGTAGGCAGCAAAGTGTGAGAGATTGAAGCAGTGTCGCATGGAGGTTCGGGTCTTCAGATGTCTTCAATACTGTTTTCGTGCGAAGTTGTGCACAATTTTATCATTACAGGGTCCCTTCAGGGTGCCGTGTGCAGCCAAGCAGAAAAAGTGCGATGATAGAGTTGGAATCAGTTGGAATGAATGGAACATGTGGCGATTGCTTCAATGGGCAGGTTCTCTAAGTTCTCTTGTCAAAGTACAATTCTCAAGATCACATTTCTTCGGGATGTTTTGAGAACATGTCAGATCATGTCAGTCTTGTTTGCACAAACCCGGTATCACAACCTGTACATACAGTGCTAGCACAACACCAGAGTTGAGCAAAGCGTCACAGAGTGGCAGTGGATGGCAGTATATGGCAGTGGCAACCCGTCTAAGATCATCTAAGATAGAATTCTGATGAATTCTGTAGATCTCTAAGGTTTGAACCTCCTCCTGACGGTCCACAGCGGCGTTGCATTCTGCTTTGGCTTGTGTGCGCCAGGTGCCCTAGCGGCTGCTCCAGGTGGACCTCCCTGAATCCATTTGATCCTATCAGCCTCTCAAAGCCGCCACTGCTACTAGCTTTGTAATCCTTTGTATATATTTTATATATGTTTGTATATAATTTGTAAATATTTGTTTGAATGTGTTTATCGTATATATATAGTATCATAATGTATCATATACATGTCATATACTGTCATATCATATAATATCATATAGTATCATTGTTATGATCCATTGTGATCCGTTGTGATCCTTTGTGCCTTTCCACGAAGCCACCCTGAATCTGTTGAATCTGTCGGCAAAAATTCAATTGTGTTCTGAGGGAATCCACTGCCAGAAGCATTGAACAGGTTCTGTGACAGACGGCACAAGAATTAAAGTAATTAAAGAATTCTTAAAGATCTTCGTGTCATCTCATCAGCAGATCTCTCCAGAGCCCGTCTGGACGTTCTGTGACCACAGATATGCTGCGCTCTGACCGTGTGCCTCGAGCTTTCATCTTCCAATGTATAGCGTCATTAGATGTCATTAGCATCCATGAAAATGATAAGATATAATAAGATATGATAAGATGTTTCACAAAACAATCCTATCTGAAGTCCATAGGTGAGTGCAGAGTGCCAGAAGATGTCAGCAAGTCGGACTCACAAAACCTCTTCAAGGAGAGTACTCTCAGTATCACTCAGTGTATAAATGTGTCCCAGCGTTGTTTCTCTGTTTTTTTTGTTGTGAATCTTTCTCCTGATCAATCATGAGCACAGATTCCGCAGCTGGATCAGGTCGAAATGAGCATGTTCCAGTCACTTCGTTCTTTCCCTCCCTCTTACCTCCCTTTGCGGCCAATTTCAGCCGTCGCTTCTCTTCCATGGCTTGTGCAAATCACACTATATTGTTGGCATCTTCAATTTTCAATCCCTTGATTGACGTTTCTTTTTGGAAGTGCCGCTGTCGCTTCGCGTTTCCAATGGGGCAATCGCTTTGCTGCCTCTTCAATGATTATATATATATATGTCGTGCAAATCCTCAGACAAAAGGTGTCCATGCTGCAAGCTCGGTTGAGACAGGGTGAAGTTCAGGGTTATTTTTTTGTTGTTGGTCCAATCGCATTACCACCTGACTCACCCATTAACATGTTCTGACTCGGCCGTTGTGCCCGTTTGACTCAGCCGACCTGACTCACCCGTCACCCAAGAACTATATTGTATCATATTGTATCCTCCCTCATCACTCACAAGATCTCACAAGATCTCACAAGCTTCTGTATGCTTCTGTCACTTCTCGCCTTCGTGAAGTTTGGGGTCTTGGAATGTCTTGGAGCTTTGACCGTGTTGTTCGCATTTGTTCGCACGTGCCCCTTGCAGACCTGGGAAGTTGTAGATTTTGTTACCCAAATGACTCGATGGGTCTCAGCACAACTCAGCATGACCCTGGTTTGGACAACGTGATTCAGCTGTTGAGATCCATCAGAAGGCTCAAATCAGAGGGCTGAAAACATACTGTGCATTGCCAATTGCAGTCTGTCAGTCTATATAATATACAATTGAATACAATTGAGCTCAAGAGTTGGAGGACTCCCAGTCCAAAATCTCGCCTTACTAATTACTGTAAGTCATACTTCCATGAGGATCGGTCAGTACCTTCCATGAGGGTAGGTCAGGGTAGGTCAACACAAGCAGTCGATGGGACTAAAGCTGACTCTATAGTCTATAGCATCTATAGCCATGTGTTTGCATACACCTACATGCTTTTGCATCACATTTGTATGGGAACGCAAGGCCTTGCAAGGACAATATTCAACATTATTCATCCGTGCCAAGGTTCCTTTTGCCGCACTTCTTTGGTTTCTTTCTTGGCGAAGAGTTGGATTCTGAGTGTTTCGAAACTATGGCACTTGTTCCAAGGCAGAAGGCCGCAAAGTTGATCATTTCCAACACGGGATCGTTCTCCAGACTATTACAAATCATTGCAAAGTCTAGGACTTGAAGTGATGCGTGACTTGTAGCGCAAGGGAGGCGTGGAGGTGAGGTTCCCGGCAACAGCCACTGGATTTAACACCCTGGAAATTATGGGGAGTTCTACTGATTAGACACAGCAAAGAATGCGCTATCAGTATCTATCAGTCGTCTATCAGTGATATCTGACAGTGTGACAGGGGTTGAAGTTGAAGTATATTTATAATATATTATATAATCACAACCTGACCACCAGCGTTTTGGAAGGATACGCGTGACTACAACGTGATACGATGTTTCAGCATGTGCTTTAGTCAGCTTCCGCTCGAGTTAGTCTCTAGTTTGTGAACCATAGGGGACCAAGTCCATGCAATTCATTATGCAATCGTTTGTTCAATTTTGTTACTTGCTTTTCTCATCACTGAGGTGGCATGGCAGCTGGCGCTGGAATCCAGATGATGGCCAGGTATGACCACTGGAGCTTTGTGCTAAACTTGGAATATTAGTGCGGTATGTAGGAAATTGTACGAAAACAACAGATAAGTAGATAAGTCACTATAAGTCATGATAAGTCTGTTGGATACCAGACACTTTTCTCCAGTCTTATCCTGGAATGGACCAGGTTCTCTTTTGCATCACAATCCATCCAGAGGGAACTGCTTCTTAATTGCCCAGCTAGATCCTGGGTGTGCAAGTAGGTGAAGCATTCATCTCAGGTGTTTACGCTCGTGAGCATGGTGTGGCATACAGGCAGAAGACTAGACCTGTTGCATTTCAGTGCATTTTACAGGACCACGAAGCAAGATGAGCTTTAGTGAAGTGTGGATTGGGTCTTCCAATCTGCTGTGCAATGATTTCATTGAACCAGGTCAAAATTACCCATGTGGTTATTCGCCTCTACGGAGTGGGATTCCCAGATCAGACTCCGGATGATTTTTGATGATCTAGGCCTCTCTTCAATGATCAAAATTTGCTCTTAATTTGATGCATTTCCCAAGTTTCCAACTCTAACCAGAACAGTGAACCCGAATTTGTTCCATCATGTTCCATCTAAGGCTCTCATCTTTGGACAAGGCATTTTGACCTGGGCCGCCAAAGAGACAGATGATGGTGCGCTGATTGGATCGAAAATGGGTAGACGGTCAAGGGATGTCAAGGGAAAGCCTGGTCAAGCTGTTTGTGCATGTCATGTCTTCTAGACTCTAGACAAAATAGACAAACGAATTGTGCGAAGGCCGCCCGTAAGCCAGCTAGAGAATGGACTGAGAATGACAGGTCAAGTCCGACGATGGGTGGTCCGAGCTTCCGCTGTTCTTTTGGCTGCAGTGGAAAGGTGTGTGACCTTGATCTGTTGTGACGGGGTAGCCAAAAGTAGCCAAATTGATGCTACTTGGAACAAATGGATACAAATGGGCAAATGGGATCAAATGTGTATATTTATATATTCTATAGCATTGCCCAGTGATCATCTAGAATCTAAGAGTATGTTGCAATGTTGCAGAATGCGGCCCCAAACTGTTTTCTTGGGACAACAGCAATTGCCATGATGATGGAATCAGTGCTTCCCTCGGAACAATGTTTAGAGAGCTCGTAAAAACCCCGCGCCTATTCGTTTGGTCTTGCATGATCCCCCATGAGTCATGAGCCATTTTTAGCTTTCACTCGAAAAAACACGAAAAAACGATAAGAGGAAACAAAAACGATATGTTATTGATACGTGTCCAGACTCTTGAAATCCCATCATTCTGCGGCTATATTTAGTGCTTTTGGTCTCTTCCTTTCATGGTTTGATGATTGCAGCCATTTCCAGAAAAAAGGAACACACACAGGATTCACGAACGATAACGAAAACGATAACTTTTGGCATCAAAAATGGTCCGTGTGAGACACTGCCTTTTTTTTCCTTTTCCTCTTCCTTTCCTTTCCTTTTCCTCTCCTTTTCCTATTCTTTCCTTTCCCGTCCTTAACTATTCCTTTTCCTTTTGCCTTTCCTCGCTCATGTGAATTCTTTGATCAAGGTGTGAAGCCAGCGCTTGGAAAAACGATAAGAGAAAAAGAAAAAGATCCCGTCTGGAAAAACCATTTGAAAGGGCTCGGGGTTTTTACAAGACCTCGTTTGCATTCAAGCAATTCCTCCAAAATGAACTATTCATGCGGATATGGCATGATATGGTCGTGATTACGGCATACATCTAATTATGCAATTCTGTCATCATACATGTGCAATCATGTACAACCATGTACATGTCAAAGATGAAGCTGCTGTAAGTTGCCCGTTGCACTGGGCAGGCGTAAGCCTTGCCTGACCCCGGACTAGGTGGTGTTCAGTCTCACGACTGTTGCGCTTCTCCGTGCCCAATTCACAGATTCAACATGGCACGTTTGGCTCCAAGCTATGTGTGGGCAGTTTGGGCTGGGATTCAGGGCTGGAATTTATGATGATGTGAGGCAGTTTTCGTTGAAGATGTGCATTGCTCACATCAAAAGTATGTGTTTGTCTTTGGTCAGCTGGGCGTGCAATCCTGGTGGTGTACTGAAAAAGGGAGTTCGACGTGAGAGGAAAACCAAACAATACCAAACAGGAATGAGATGGCATGAGGGTGAGTTCAGTTAGGTCAAGTCAAGTCCTGCAGTACTTGGTTGAAAAGCTCATGTGGAGTTATGAAAGGCTGACGGCGGCTTCTTTTCTTACCTTGCACTGCACTTCTGTCAGCCCATCTCAGTCCTGCTTTACTTTTGCTGTTTCAGGCTCTAAACTGGCTCAACATTTTGCTCTTCGCTGCACTGGCGGCATTTTATTCCTGGTTCTCAATGTACGTGCACCCAGAACTAGAGCAGAAGAGATCAAAAGATGTGAAAATAATTGAAAATACATGAAGCATTGGAACTTCTGCGTGTTTTACGATTGATATTGAATGATATATTGAAATCTGCAACATCTGCAAGAAATGTATCCAGAATGTGATTGACTCTATCTACTGTACAACTACATGGCATTGCATGGCATTGCATCTTCAGAGTTGGTGCGTGAATAATTTATTAGATTGATTAATGGATGTAATGATGTGCAAGCAATCTGAGAGCCTTACAACTTTTTGCAACAAGATTTTGCCGTCAGGATTCGTTTGCTCGTCATCATTGAGTCATAGTGCTTTGTAGACGTTCGCACTGTACACGATCCACCGGACCTCCAGCGACTCCAGCGACCCTGTTGACCCTGTTGACCCTGTTCCATTCCGCATTCCGCATTCCGCTCAGTGTGCAACCTCCGCCAGTCTTCGAGGGTCTTGGAAAAGTCAGCAGCTGAAGGCGGGGCAGGAAGCTGCTTGAAGCTGGAAGCACTTGGGACATCTTGGGACTTGGGACTTTCCAAAGTATTCTGAAATGAGTAGAGTCGAGATGAGTCAAGTAGAGCACACCGAAGGAACGGGTGATGTCATACAGCACAGAGTGACATGTCACTTTGCGGCAAGTTGGTTGCCTTCTTCAAGCCCAGCAAGTGTTTCGAATCAGACTACATTTGGTGCCTTTGTGAATGGAGTTAGAAACATTAGAAAAGGCCAAGCCAGAACAGAGACATATGGAGAAACTCTTTGCAAAATGTCCACAGGCCAGCCACACGGTCACTTCTGAGACCGGCGGAACAGGTACAGTATGGTACAGTACTGTTGTAATCACATTGTAATCTGTTGTTTCTGAGTTGTTTCGTATTAGGATGTAGTAGGCGGGACACTTGGCTGAGAAACCGACCAGCGATTTGCACAGAAATCTCATGTTGGATTCATCTTGATTCATTGAGGATAATGTTGTAAGATAATGTTGACTGTTGACAACAGATTACTTTTTTTGTGAACGACTCTTGGTAGTCAGCACACATTCCGAAGCCCAAAAGTTATTGATATCAGACCATGTTAGTTGATCTAAAATCGGATGTCTCACCAAAGCAATGCTTCGAAAATTAGATACACTGAATACACTGTACATATTCAGCATTGGCGCTCCAAAGTTGGGACGACATCAAAAATGCTCGACATTCCTAGACAAAATTCTGAGCGATGGGCGATGTGTTGCATGCCTGTGCCCGCTGCAGGCAAATTGCTCCACCATGCTCCACCTGCCTTTACGCCTTTACTGACAGATTGCTTGACTGCGGCTCCCTTCGGTGATCAAGAGCAAAAACATATCAAAACAATTCAAAACAGATAAAACAGTGCTGGAGAACATAAAACAGATAAAGTCGTTTGGAGGCCAATACACCCATCGTCTACACTCAACCGGTCGACAGGGTTTATCAATAATATACAGTTCCAAAGCAGTCAGCAACAAGCAAGTTACCATGCATGATACACCAGCAAGTAAATTTATTGATTTTAATTTTAAATGGAAAAGTTGATGTTTTCATATGTTTTCAGAGCTTGGCTTGAGCACTTTCATAAGGCAGAATGTCGTTTTGTGCTTGGCGCCATGGTCACAAACAACGAGGAAGAATCTCACTTGGCACGGGCTTGTCGGAGAAGAGACCTCTTCCAGGATGGAATGGGTTCAAGGAGACATCTGGAAAGTGCATATGATTGAATATGATTGAATTATGTGTATATAAAATTGTCAAATACAAATACGATATCGAATATTATGGAATTGGGTGTTGTGAATTTTGTGTGCGTGTATGCTTGTATTCAAAGATTCCGCATGTGTATATATATAATATTATATTAATATAATTATATATATATATATAGTCGTATATAATTATATATGATTATATCTAATAATTATTTATAATAATTATTTATGATAATTATATATAATAATTATATAATAATTATATATATTTAATAATTGTGTATGTATATATACATAGTAATTATATATTTAATAATTATACCTATATATATATATAATAATGTTTAATAACTATATGTATAATAAGTATATACATTGTAAATATAACTATAATTATATTTCTAATGATTATATATATATATATTGTATATTATAATTATATATATATAATATATACAATAGAATGATAACCTCCTTTAGGAAGATTTCTGTGCTACTGGAATTGACAGGATGTCGCACTGGGAAGTCTTGCCATTTAGGACATTTAGGAATGCACCATGTAACAGTGGCCTTCTAGGGCCGCTACGGTTTGCAGGATATTTTGATGTAGTTTGTTGTACATTTTGTATCATTTTGTGGGTCATGTTTCCCTGTGAGGTGCAAGCATTGCTCCGGGACAAAGCGGATCCCAATGTCAAAGACTGCAGATCCGAGACACCCTTGCTGCATGCAGCTGCGCAGGGCGATCTTGATGTCTGCAGCCCAGACTCAGACATAGAGATCATAGAGGAAGATCATGAGTGTTATTAAATGTTATTTTGTTTTTAAATCTTATTCAATGTTATTCACATTATTTTAAACCTTATTTTAAAAGTCATTGGTTGATTCCATATGATTTGTTGTTTCATTTGTTCTTCCTCATTTTCAAGCCTGATGTTGAACATTGTTGAACCATGTTCAGCATGTTGTGCAAGCTTTTTGGTGTTCAGAGTGCGGTGTCCAAAATTCCTGGAACCGGTTCGAACATTTGACAAATTTGGTATTAGACATTGAATGTCTTAGACAGTTTGCCGCAAGTTTGCCAACAATCTTGGTGGAGCAAGCCCCCAAGCTGACCCTGTTATCGGGATTCACGTGACCGATTTCCCTGATTGTTTTGGCCCTGAGTTTCGGTTTGACTCTGATTGTTTGGGATTCAGTGTAGATTGGATTTCGACCAGCTTTGCATTCCGAAAAACATCATTTGGAACATGTCCGGGCAAGTTGAGTCGTCTTTTGTGCGGATGTTGATACGATGCGAAGAATGTTTTGGGTTGTGAAGAGCACCAGAGCGCTTCCTTTGTCAAAATATCCCGAAGTTCTTCATTTGTAGGGGCGCGTAAAGAACTTTAGGTATTTAATTTTGGCAACTATTAGACTTTCCACCCAGACCATTTTGTTGCAACAACATGTTAAGCCATGTCAAGAGTCTCTGCTTGCATGGAAGGATCTTGCAAGTCGTGCCAAGTAAAGCACCGGGCAGCAAATCTGTACCAAACATTAAACTGTTAGGGAGGGCTGCTGAGGGTCCTTGCACTGTGTGTGTCACCTCTGTGTGTGCGTCACTTCCGTGCAACCTGAGACGACTCCTTTTAACCTTTTGGTTACTTACCGGTTACTTACCGGGTTCCCCGTCTGTTTACTTTTTTTCTCGCTCAGGTGGTGGCATTGCTGCTGAGCCATGGAGCAAGCCCTTCTCTTCGTGCGCCAGCAGTTCGCAGGGCGGAGGCAGACAGTCAGCCCAGTGCTAAGAGTTGAGCGCATGAAATGTGATGTGAAATGCCTCCAATAAAGGGAGGAGATTACTGTATGCCTCAATCAAAAGAATCTGCAGTAAGTCAGTGCTGTATGATACATCTTGGTATTTTGAAACACTGCAGATGGTTGTTCTGTAGTGTTCTGTAGTGTGCTGTACCCTTCTAGAATATCTCAGAGGCGACACTCAGAAGTGTCCAGTACTATCCAGTACTTGCACGTTGCAGTGGCTGAGGTTGAACCCTTCAGTTCAGAAGATTTTCCAGCTCTTTACTCGAGGCCTAGATCTCTAGATTGTGTGACATGCTTTTTGTTTTTTTTGGGCACAGCCGGCCCAGGTTAGGACCATGTTGGGGCAAGGTTGCGGCTATGATGGCCTGGTTGGGGGTAGCGGCTAGTTTGTTGGAAGCGGTCTAGCAATGTCGAGCAGGGGCCCAATCCCTTTGGTGGTCAGTAGCAGTAGCAGTGTATTCATGACCATGAGACAACATTATATAATTATCATCATATCATCATCTTCAACGGCAGCAACATTGGTTTTCATTTTGAGTCAGGATCTTCATGAGGCTCCACCCAGATACCGCGGGTTGGACTTTGGACGCCTTACGTTTGCCAGGTGAAGAAGCTAAGAAGTAAGGTGTTGTTTCTATATCTTCTTGGTTGTACCCATTCTGCTAGCTTGCGTTCCTTACCCCTTCACCTCAAGTCCGCCTATCTTAATCCATGTCTTTGCTCTGGGTGTGCAAACGTTTGAAGCCCAAAAGGACATGTGAAGACTATCAAGAAGAGATTATGAAATATTATGAAGAGATTCCGAAGGGATTCCAAAGGGATTCAAGACATTTCAATACGCTTCCTGATGGTGTTGCAAGTCATTGATTGCTGTTGGCTAGCTATCCTTGGTTGCTCGCAAAGATGCCTGCTGCATATGTTGCAGCTCAGGTCTCTCAAAGGATCAGCGTCTGAAGCTACTTGACTCCCTACCTCCATTGGATCCTGGAGCATGTGCTCAGGCCACGTACCGCACGTACCGCTTGGATCAGTTTCATATGTGTTCTTTTCAGCAACATATAATATAGGCATAATACAGTAGCAACACATAGCAGCAATAACAACAGGAGATTTTAACAATTACTATGTTGAGTGAGGTCTTCTCGTTCTCAGTGCTGTAGATGTTTCAAGGATTCTGATTCTTCAGAGACCTGTTGCTGCAATCTATTTTGGCACCTTGCACAATCCTGTCCCTTATGTCCATTGCATAGATCCAATAGAATCGTGATGGTTTAATCCCTTACTAAAGGATACTAAACGTACCCGAAAACTAGGGTCCGCGCTACTTTTGGGAAATTTCAGACTTGACAACTTGACAATTTGATTTTTTAAAAATTGATCCCCTTTCGAAAACGAATTAAAAATTAGCTCTCCTCTACTATGGCTCCAAGCTGCCACCACAGATCCAAACAGATCAGACAGTCTGTGCGTACATGTGCGTACTATTGTCGTTTTTGACATTTTTTGACTATAGTCATTGCATTCGCCATGGAATGCCCAGGATATTGTTCGACTTGATTGTTCGCTTTTGAATTCAGTTGAATGATGTCAGCGGAGGTACGAAAAGTCCCACGGTGAAAATTTTCGCTGCACAAAACAAGGAAAATAAGCAGAAAAGATTTCAAGATATTACAAAGTGACAATATGTGACAATATGTGACAATATGTGACAATATGTGACAATATGTGACAATATGTGACAATATGACAAAGGCAAGGCAAACATTGAAGATGTTTCCGTCGGGATTCCCGCCTCCCGTGTCAGCTTCGTGCCCGCCTGGGCCTGGGGAAGCCGCTGCCCAAAGCTGCAGCCACTACAAAGCTTCCACGCGAGGCCTCGGCGGACCACGAGGTGCCTGCACCAGAGCGAAGAGATGTGAAGAGATCTGAAGATCTGAAAAGATCTGGAAACTGTAAAAGATTCAAAAGATCACATGGATAGCATCAGATGGCATCAGATGTTCAAAGGATGGTAAGAGCAAGCGGAGAGAGTAGAAAGATTAGGACAGAAAAATGATGGAAGATGGAGAAACTCTGCAGATGGCGCAATCTACTGCGAAATTAGATTTTTTTCTTGACAAGCCTTTACAACAGTTGCGAGGTGCGATGCAGAAACCCTTGATTTGTCAATATGTGTCATTCATTCATTCATTCATTAGAGCAGGTAGATACAGTTAGATGCAGTTAGTGAATTAAGCCATAGGAGCCACCCAATCTGCCGCTGGAACTGGAGAGATTGGACAGAGATGCAGAGACTGTGGGAACAGATCTTGGCAGTGGTTCCTCTACAGACCTACAGGGGGATACACAAGGCATGTTGCATAGATAGCAGCTTAGCATAGATACAGGATATATATATATATATATGATACATATATATATATATGTACATATATATATATACATATATATATACATATATATATATGCACAGTATACAGGATGATATGGGTCGCCGATAGATTCACTGTTTTTCCACTGTAAAGATTGCAGAAGCTTGTCAGGTGACCTTGTATGTCGCTGATCCATTGAGACCTCGACTGGTTCTACAGCCGTGGGAAGCTCCCACTTCTGTGGATACTCAACTTGATTTGCTGATTTTGCTGCTTGCATGTTCAATAATGTTCAATAATTTTCATTTGCAACTTGAAGATTCTCTCCACCTGTCAGCAATCAATGAAAATCGCTGTCTGAGAACCAGGCGAGGTTCTTACCCTCAGTTAGTTGTGAGTCTTATAAGATATTATAGTAAGCTGTGTGTTTTTTGCTCACGATTCCAAGATGCCTTTCATTCCTGTGCATGGGGGTGCAAGTGAGCAAGCAGTGAAGATACCCTTCCGCTAGCCGCCAACATTCTGTCATTGCGGATTTGAAACACTGCCCTCATCATTCAACAAATTTCAGAGTTCGGTTTACTGCAGCCGCTGCAGCCAGGTAGTTTTGTTGCATGGCTTGCTGCAGTCTGGGCAGATGATGGAGCGCCTTGCGAGGGATTTGTCTCGCGGTGCCTTGTACAATGTTTTATCATGTTTTATCATTGGCTCATTTGTTTTCAGTGTTTATGCGAGGTGATCTTCAGATTCAATCCTGTGCAGATTGCTTTTGAGAAGTAGTCAACCAATCTTCTTTTCGGACTCGCAATCACTCACTCATGTTTCACAAGCTCCTCGCAAATCTCCAGATTGTTGCATGGTTCGTCTTTTTCATTCGCTTCACGTTTTTTCCCATTGCGTCCTTCGCCATCTTCACATTCAAGGCCTGCCTTCCACTCGCTTTGTGGCACCAACAGCAAGATCCATTTCATCTATATTTGGTCTTGGCCCTGCGTGGTTCGACACCATCAAGCACTATTCGCGAGGCGCTTGGTGGGGAGAAAATGGCAAAATAGGCCGGCTGGTTTCCATGATAAGTTCGGGCAGGACTAGGATCCCCACAATGCATTGCGGCATTGCGTTGTGTTTGAGGTATGACGTGTTCACCGGATATTTGCAGGATGTTGATGTATTTTTGATTATTTTTGCATCATTGAATCGTCATGTCATTCCTTGAATTTGTCTCGGGTCGGATGTGATTCTCTGCGGGAATCAGCTGGGCTTTCTTGTTTTCATTCAATAGCCCTATGGCATATATGGTTAATGTTTCCCTGAAGAAATTTGATCCCTTGTTTAAAATATTTTAAAATCAAAACTCGAATAAAGTCCGAAGAGCGGCTAATAGCGGTATATAGGATGGATTCGGGTATGGCATACTTTGGCATATTGGTGTTGGGACGAGGAGTTCGCCCTGCAGGATCCGGAATAGCATGCCCATGAGGTATGCGTCAAGATAATACAGCCGCTCCCCACTGCAGTCATGTATAATCATGTATAACTGTATAATATAGATACATATAGATACTAAAACCAAGTAAACAGATTGTTTCTATATTTGTTCATTGGCTCACGGATGTTCACGGTATAGATTCATATGCTACTCATATCATGTACGTAATTTCATGGAATGATTTGTATATGTTTAGTGATACAGAAAAGGTTTGGTCAGACTTCAAACATTTATTCATACACGAGAAAAATGATCCAGATGACCAAGAATTTTCATAGTGCATACGAGTGTGAGAGAGCGTGAGTGTGTATAATGTATACATATATATATATTTTGATATATATGTATATATTGCATCTATCCTGGGCTCCTGCGTGCACATGTGATGCAAGATGGACTGTATATCCAGCCTTACTGAAGAAACACTGTTTTGTCTTGTTGATTTCTTCATGGCGAAGCATGTGCCGGACTGCATTTAACCTGCATCCATTTGTCTCAACTCCAGTTTGATTTATCGGATCATTTGATTTATAGTGTAAGCATGTTTAAGAGTTGCATTGCAATCACTTAACTCAGGTATTACCAGTAGTACCGCACAAGGCGGTGGCGGAAGTTTCAAAAATAAGAAACCTATAGGAGAGGTGAGTTGTTGTGAATCATGGATGGCGGAGCTCATCCACTGACCACTGATCGACCGAAAGGTGGTTGGAGTTGCGTTTTTGGAGTGGTTGCAATGGTTGCAGTGGTCACCTCACCACAACTGCCGGATGTGGTGTGGTGTAGTGCAGTTGTAGTTGTAGTTGTAGTATGTTGTAGTGTAGTGTAGCGGAGTTGTAGTTGTGATGTAGTGTAATTAGTGTCGTGTAGTTGCAGTTGCAGTTGCAGTTGTGGTGTGGTGTAATTAGTATAGTGTAGTGTATGTAGTGTATTGCAGTTTTGTGCACTGTAGTGTGACATGGTGTAGTGTAGTCTAGTGTAGTGTATTGTAAAGTAGTGTAGTTGCAGTCGTAGTGCAGTGTAGTGCAGTTAGTGTAGTGCAGCCTAGTCTAGTGTAATGTAGTGGTAGTTCTAGTTGCGGTTGCTGTTGGAGTTGCAGCTGTAGCGTAATGTAATGCAATGTAGTGATGTAGTGTTGTGTAGTGTAGTGTGGTATAGTGTAGCGTAGTCTAGTGTAAGGTAGAGTAGCTGTAGTTGTGGTGTAGTGCAGTGTAATTAGCCTAGTGTAGTGTAATGTAGTGTAGCGTAGTATGTTGTGTAGAATAGTGTAGTGTAGTGTAGTGTGGTGTATTGTAGTGCTAGTTACAATTACAGTTGCAGCTGCAGTTGTAGTTGTAGTGTAATGCAATGTAATCAGTGTATTGTCGTGTTGTGGAATGTAGTTGTAATTGTAGTTGTAGCTGTGGTAGTAGTTGTTGTTGTAGTTGTTGGTGTAACTTGTGTAGCGTAGTGTAATTAGATGTAATTAGTGCATATAGTGTAGTGTAATTAGTGTAGTGTCATGTAGCGTAGTTGTTTCTATTTGTAGTTGTAGCAGTAGTGTAGTGTAGTGGTAGTCGTAGTTGTAGTTGTAATTGTCTATCTATCTATCTATCTATCTATCTATCTGTTTGTCTGCCTGTCTACCTGCAAGCTTGAAAACGCAGCAATTCTGCGAGACTTCCTCAATTTTTGAACTTGACAACATCAAAAACGAAACAATTCTGCGAGACTTCCTCATTTGTCAAAGTTCACAACATCAAAAACGAAGCAATTCTGTGAGACTTCCTTCAAACATGGAAAGTTGAGTGCAGAGCTGATGGCCTCGTACCAATGCGGTTTGCGATTTTTCCATTCCACCTGTCTAAAGTTCTGCGCCTGCCACGAAGTGCAGCACCTGTCACGCAAAATCATCTTAGCAAACCTACAGACCTGATGCTCCGAAATGCAATCCCTCTCAGGAAATCAGCGCACTGACCTCCTAACAGCTCTGATGCATGTCTCTTGCACAGCGCCTGCCACGGAAAATGCATCTTTGCAGATCCTCTTCAAATGCCCCACGCCTGCCATCGTTTTTGGAAATGCCACAAAACCCTCACGTTCTGCTCACTTTTGACAAGGTGCACAATCCCTTGCGCCTGCCACGCAAAACGACGCTTCAACGTCCAAAAGTGGCGCGTACATGTGGTGTCTTGTAGAATTTGACTTCAAAACGTGCACTTTTTGCGACATCTCAACTTCTAAAAGTGTTCAAAAACTGATGTGTTTTGTACATTTTGACTTGGACATGTGCTTATATGTGCTTCGCGCCACAACGGCGTGCAATTTTTCATCTCTCATTTGACCACATGGCTCCGCACCCGCCGCTTTAGCGAGCCTACTTTTCGACCCCCCCGGCCACAAACCATTGGAAAAACAGCGTTTTGCCACTTTCCTACCTTTTCGCGCACCTGGATCTTCTTTCTTCGGAGACTTTCTCTTTTTGATATTTTTTCTTCTTCTCTTCTCTTCTCTGACTCTTCCCATCTCTGCTTTTGATTTGCCCATATTGTCGGAAGATGTCGGAAGTTTGCCTTCTAAACTTACATATCATTACATATTATTACCAACCGCCACGGGTATGGAATGGACGCGATCACTTCCACCAGTTGTTTGTAGAAAGGATATGTACGAACAACCTGTATAGACACTGTAAAGAGGCCGACAAAACACATCGCGCCAAGTTTGCAGGGGATCTTCCTGACGGCATGGAGGCCTTTGGGGATGATGACAGCGTTCCTGAAAGATCCTGAAGGTGAACAAAAAATAACAAAAATTAAAAAATAAAAATAAAAAAAATCATATAAGTTATATAAGCGACTGAGTGGTTTTGTGTCATAAAATCAACATAACACATTAAAATCTTTGTTACATAAATTTTGTATATTTGTACTATTTTGTACTGGCGAGTTGGCCTCGGATGACCAAAAAGTACCACTCTCCTGAGAAGCCGCAAACCCACCTATTGCAGAAATCGAATGACATATGAAATCTTCATATGAAATCTCAGTATCTCAAGCCATTGCCGCTGCTACAGTTGCTTCAAATGGGTGCAGCAACACCATGCAGAAGCATCATACCCTGACACATCCTGACAGACATCATCAAACGAGCTGATTGACTTCGTGGAGTCGGAGCGACGGAAGCCGGTTACAGTACGGGGCACATGGGGCACGCGGAGCAGTTGAATGATGTTGGATGAGTCGCAAAATTTTTGTGACAAGTTGTCTAAGTTGTCCACATTGTTTGAGCTGTCTACGTTGTCTCAGTTGTCCACATTTGGTTTCCAAGTCTATTCCCAAATAGTCAAATACGGTTCCCAAGGTGCTCTTGTAAAGGCATGGCATAGCACCGCAAAACTGCGCATCACATTCAATGTTGCTGTGGAGTTTGTGTTTTCAGTTTGATCAGCTTTGGCTCAGAAGAAAAGAATCCGCCAAAATCCGCCAGGAGATGAAGTTGTTCCAGTTGGGTCCTTCACGTTTTCTCTTCGTAGGGTTTTCTGCCGGTGGTAGCCTGGCAGCCTTCACCGCCTTACGCGCACCGTGGCAGATAGGCCAGGACAACTGCGGATTCCTTTGAAGCAAAGCAAAGTCAGGGAAAGCCTAGGTCGACATGTGTCATAGATATTATGATTATCACGAAAGCTAGCTGTGCTAGCTGAAGTTACTCTTGCTTTAGCAATGAATAGGCAGGCACCAGGACCATTGGAAACCCTGAAACTTTCCAGTTAGACACCCCCCCCCCGCTGGGCCATTGGTTTCCTGCAGGTATAGGGTCATCCTCTTTCAAAGTTCAGTCTTGCAGGTTTTTGAATAGAAAACTGTGCAAGGAAAAGGAGATGAGAAAAGTACAGAAAAGTAGGAATCCAAGATCGAGCATCCAAAGTTCTTCCTACCCAGTGCTGTGCTTAGGACAGCTGCGCAAAACTATGGATCGAATATCCTTTAGAACCATGAAAAGACAGAATGTTTGAAGGATGCTTGGAATTAAGCATGTATTTGTGGTGCACCCTGCCCCTTCCTCCACATCTACCCATCAAAAGTCATTGTTGGAGCTGTTCGAAACGAAACATTAAAAGGAAAATGGCAGTAGAAAAGTAGGCATCCAAGATCTTACCATTCAAAGTTGACAAGTTGACAGCGCAGGTTTTTGAAAAGAAACAACGAAAGGAAAATGGGATGAGAAAAGAAGGAATCCACGATCTTACCATTCAAAGTTCAGACTTGCAGGTTTTGGAATAGAAAACTGTGAAAGGAAAAGGAGATGAGAAAAGTATAGAAAAGTAGGAATCCAAGATCGACCATCCAAAGTTTATTTTTGCTAGTGCTGTGCCAGGACAGCTGCGCAAAACGAAAGATAGAATATCCTTTAGAAACATGAAAAGACAGAATGTTTAAAGGATGCTTAGAATGGATGTATAGCATGTATTTGTGGTGCACCCTGCCCCTTTCTCCACATCTACCCATCCAAAGTTCATTCTTGGAGCTGTTGGAAAGGAAACTTAAAAGAAAAATGGCAGTAGAAAAGTAGGCATCCAAGATCTTACCATTCAAAGTTGACAAGTTGACAGCGCAGGTTTTTGAAAAGAAACAACGAAAGGAAAATGGGATGAGAAAAGAAGGAACCCAAGATCTTACCATTCAAAGTTCGGTCTTGCAAGTTTTTGCCTAGAAAACTGTGAGAGGAAAAGGAGATGAGAAAAGTAGGAATCCAAGATAGAGCATCCAAAGTTCTTTCTCCCCAGTCCTGTGCTAGGACAGCTGCGCAAAACTATAGATAGAATATCCAATAGAACTATGAAAAGACTGATTTTTTAAAGGGTGCTTGGAACTAAGCATGTATTTGTGGTGCACCCTGCCCCTTCTTCTTGGAGCTTTTTGAAAGGAAAGTTTGAAATGAAAGTGGCATTAGAAAAGCAGGAATCCAAGATCTTACCAGATTACCATCCAAAGTTGAAATTGCAGGTTTCTGAAAAGAAACAACGAAAGGAAAGTGTGATGAGAAAAGAAGGAATTCACGATCTTACCATTCAAAGTTCAGTCTTGCAGGTTTGTGACAAGAAAACCGTGAAAGGAAAAGGAGATGAGAAAAGTATAGAAAAGTAGGAATCCAAGATCGACCATCCAAAGTTCATTTTTTCTAGTGCTGTGCCAGGACAGCTGCGCAAAACTATAGATAGAATATCCTCTAGAAGTATGAAAAGACTGAATGTTTAAAGGATGCTTGGAATTAAGCATGTACCAATGTACTAAGCATGTACTTGTGGTGCACCCTGCCCCTTCCTCCACATCTACCCATCAAAAGTCATTCTTGGAGCTGTTTGCAAGGAACCGTTCAGAGGAAAATGGCATTAGAAAAGTAGGAATCCAAGATCTTACCATCCAAAGTTGAAATTGCAGGTTTTCGAAAAGAAACAACGAAAGGAAAATGGTATGAGAAAAGAAGGAATCCACGATCTTACCATGTAAAGTTCAGTTCAGTGTTGCAGGTTTTTGAATAGAAAACTGTGAAAGGAAAAGGAGGGAAGAAAAGTATAGAAAAGTAGGAATCCAAGATCGACCATCCAAAGTTCTCCCTCCTAGTGCTGAGCTGGGACAGCTGCGCAAAACTATAGATAGAATATCCTTTAGAACCATGAAAAGACAGAATGTTTAACGGATGCTTAGAATTAAGTATGTACCAATGTGCTAAGCATGCATTTGTGGTGCACCCTGCCCCTTCCTCCACATCTACCCATCAAAAGTCATTCTTGGAGCTGTTTGAAAGGAAGCATTAAAAGGAAAATGGTATTAGAAAAGTAGGCATCCAAGATCTTACCATCCAAAGTTGAAATTGCAGGTTTCTGAAAAGAAACAACGAAAGGAAAGTGTGATGAGAAAAGAAGGAATCCACGATCTTACCCTTGGAATTAAGCATGTACCAATGTACTAAGCATGTACTTGTGGTGCACCCTGCCCCTTCCTCCACATCTACCCATCAAAAGTCATTCTTGGAGCTGTTTGCAAGGAAACGTTAAGAGGAAAATGGCATTAGAAAAGTAGGAATCCAAGATCTTACCATTCAAAGTTCAGTCTTGCAGGTTTGTGACAAGAAAACCGTGAAAGGAAAAGGGGATGAGAAAAGTAGAGAAAAGTAGGAATCCAAGATCGACCATCCAAAGTTCTCCCTCCCTAGTGCTGAGCTAGGACAGCTGCGCAAAACTATAGATAGAATATCCACTAGAACTATGAAAAGAGTGCTTTTCTTAGAGGATGCTTGGAATTAAGCGTGTATTTGTGGTGCGCCCTGCCCCTTCCTCCACATCTACCCACCCAAAGTTCATTCTTGGAGCTGTAGTTTGAACAGAAACTTTGAAAGGAAAATGGCATGAGAAAAGTTGAAATCCACCATCTTACCCTCCATCATAACTGCAGGTCTTTGAATGGAAAACTGTGAAAGGAAAAGGAAATGCGAAAAGTAGGAATCCACCACCTTACCATCCAAAGTTCATTCTTGCAGCTGTTTGAAAGGGAAACTTGGAAAGAAAAATGGCAGGAGAAAAGTTGGAATCCACGATCTTACCATCCAAAGTTCATAATTGCAGTTGTTTGAATGGGAAACTGTGAAAGGAAAAGGACATGAAAACAGTAGGAGTCCTCGATCTTAGCATCCAAAGTTCATTTTTGCAGCTGTTTGAAAAGGAAACTTGGAAGGAACATGGCATGAACAAATTGGAATCCACGATCTTACCATCCAAAGTTCATTTTTGCAGCTGTTTGAGAAGGAAACTTTGAAAAAAAATGAAGTTAGAAGGTTTTGAAAATGAAAGGAAAAAAAAACACATTTTGAGCTTGAGCATCCTGGAGTAGATTTTGGAATATTCTATCTAGGGGGTCCGAAGATATACCTAGTAGTTTAGATTTCTAGGGGGTCCGAAGATATAGTTTAGATTGAAAACCCTTGGTTTTTTCAAAAAAAATAACCCCCCCTACGAAACTGGATTCTATCTACTCCAGGATGACTATATAATACTATATATATATTATATATATAATTACTGATATACTGATTGGATATACTTGTACCATGATATGCCTGTACAATCCTGTACACCTATATCACAATATACATTGCATGTGCGTGTACACGTATGCATGTCCTTGCAGAGATTCCTCAGTAGAAATGATGGACTAAAGTCTTCATCGCACAGGGATGTCATGCACTTTGATCAGATGACGCAAATTGGTACATTTGCTGCCTACCAATCAAACTAATCAGACTACCTACACTAGTTGCATCATGTTACATCTACTTACTAGATGTTACTATTTACTACATCTTACTACACTGTGCAAATTTGGCACGGCCAGGTGGATTGGCGCTGCTGGGCACACACGGCCCGCCGCAGCTTTCCGGCAAGGTCCAGACTGTGCCGACTCTTCAATGCCATGGTGCAACAGATGGCCCCTCGACAGGATATTTTTGCTCTCTATTCAACTATTTTCAACCCGAACACCTGGCATCACCGGCTTTAGCGCGAGAGGTTGTGCTTTTCAGCTGCTATTGTGCCTTTATTGGTTTGTAGATTTGTATGTTTATATACTGGGAGTGGATAGTTTCGAATAGTTTTGAATAATTTTCTTCCGGACGTTGGTCGCCTGAGGTATGGTCAAAGCAAACGCTGCCTTGGAGTCAGTTGAACGGCTTCGACAGTATGGCTGCGAGGTCCAGTTCTCCACCTATGAAGGCGGGGGAAGAAGTTCATACAATTCCCATAGGTCAAACATGGTCAAACGATGTCAAACGAAAAACATCTGTAATGTTGCCAGGGATTATCCAGCCAAGCACTTGCAAGATACCAGCAATGAAGGAAGCAGCGATATTCACAGTTTTCAATGTTTTGTGTATACTTGTATCCTTGTATGATCTTGTATGCAATGCGTCCGTAATGACAGTTTACATTTTTCTGTGTTCAATTCATGATTGTATTATAATAATTATTATATTGATTATTATTGATTTATATCGTATTTACTCGTGAATTGTGCATTTGCACTCGATGTTCTTTGTGGCCGGGTGCTCCCCTATGCAGTGAACCCGTGGCCACGATAGAAGGTGTTGGCCACACAATCTCGGAAGACATGCTTCTGGAGGCTGGCCACCCTGCAGGGGACAGATCACCTGGATTCAGTGTGGAATTTTTTGACTTTTTTTTGGGGGGATTCCGAAATTCCAATGGATCTTTGCATTCCACCAGCAACTATTGTTTAGCAGGGGGTGCTCCGAAGAGCAAGCCGCGGAGAGAGGGAAAACAGTTCGAAGCGCGTCATGGAAGAAAATCAGAGATGGCAGAGGCAGCCATACAGTGCGACTGAACACTGCCAAACTGGCCTGACCTGTCCGCTCTTGAAGAGGATACTGGCAATTAAGCGAAATCAATGATCATAAGGGTCAGCTAGGTGCGACACGTTGCTAACACGACCACTAATTATACTCGTACATCTCACAATACACACATCCAGTGCTTGAAGCTGTCTCACCATTTTATGCCCAGATGCAGGTTCGAAATTGGATCAAGAGCAGACTACAGATTTGCGATGCCATGAACGGCAAGGAGCCAAGAGATTGTTGGTGTGCTGGGCTGCCGGAAAAGACGCTTAATCCGAAAACGTCCAAAGGGATCTAAAGTCTTTAGCAGTACTGTAAATCCCAGTCTCAGGACGTTTGCCTGAATATGTTTGCAGTGTATATAGGTGAGTTGACACCCTGCATCAGGCTTCGACACACTGGCAAGATGGGGAGTAATCAAACGACCCAAGCAAAAATATAAGAAAGGAAAATACAGGCAAGGAGGAGACAGTAAAGCTCTGAAGCAGGCCAATGCAGAGGAGATGGAAGGAAAGAAGGAAGGAAGGGCGGAAGGGGTTTCTTGGCTTTTGCATGCTTTTGTTTTTTTTTGCTTTTCTGGTTTTGAGCTTTGGGAGCTTCTTGGCTCTCGGCCTTTGGCTTTTGTGGTTTCATTGTGTTTCAGATGTTGCATGGCATGGTTTGGTTTTGGCATGCTTGGACATCCAACAATCAACCAAGAACCAGAACAAGAGCAAAAACAAACAAAGGCAACAAAAATGCTATCTTACTTGGCGGACTTGCGAAAAAGTTCTTGCAAGACACTATTGCAAGACACTCCGTAGAAGCTGTCTGGACGACAGGGCCACGCAAGAAGACATGCCACAGCCTGCAGCAACCTCGCCAAATGTTGCGCGTGACGCAGCATGCCTAATCGGATTGACAAACAACTAAGATGATGACATGTCTAGAGCGATAAAGTATTGTGCCTGCCACCAAAAAACAATATAGATTTGTTTGCACAGACCGGACAAGAGTATGCAAACCACAGCAGTTTCCTCACAGAATGCTTTTGGACGCACATAAAGTCTGCGTTTGCGCATATTTCCAAACTTGCTGGAGATCCTGCAACACTGCGCAGGAGCCCCATGATGCAAAGCCAGCTCCACTGGACCCAGACTCGATGATTGATGAAGATGAGTCTTGATCAGTGGCAAGTGGTTGGTGGGATCTGCCAAGGGTCTCAGACGTCACGCATTCACAGTGGTTCATTGAATACTAGCACATCCATACACAAAATACGTGCATATCATTACATATATACTGTAATTATATATACATACATATATATATATATACAGATTACAAGCCTTTAAATTCATAAGTATGATCTAAATTCATAAGTATGATCTTTAGGCATTCATTCGCAGGTTCCCCAACTCACACCTAGAGGGTTTTGACTTGGTTTTCTCGATCGTTGCTGTCATGACAAGCGCTAGCGTTAAGTCGTATCAGCTCGTAAAAGTCGTATCGGGAGGCCGTGCGCCTGGAAAAAGTTTAAGTTTGGCATCACCACAACTTTTAGTAATTGAACAATTTCATTGTTTTGGGGCCGTGCGCCTGGATTTTTTAAACTTAATTATATTTGATCATTCTTTCAAGGGGGCAAACTCTGGTTGCTGCTTGCTTGCTGCTTGCCTGCTGCTTGCTGCGGCTCACCTGCTGCTCACCTGCTGCTCACCTGCTGCTCACCTGCTGCTTGCCTGCTGCTAGCCTGCTGCTTGCTACTCCTTGCTGCTGCTTGCTGCTGCTTGCTCCCGCTTACCTGCTGCTGCTCACCTGCTGCTCACCTGCAGGGTTTGATTTGGTCACGCGACGCAGGACATCAATATATGTATATAATATGTTCAAATCCAATAGGATTAGCTGCCGAGAATTTATTTGTATTAACTTGTACCCTTCAAAATCATCGCTGTGCTTCGGCTACTTTGAACTAAATCTCCAATTATAGATGAAACAGGCTGTGCCATAGTGATTCTTCTTCCCTGATGTGACTTCCCACTACCTGATGTGACTTTTCTGTATTGCCGCCTTGCCATGGGGATGATGTGACTTTTCCCGCCTGATGTAACTTAAGTACCGTGCTTGTGAGCAGATGTTTTAGCCGCCTTTGCCTCTTTCCTGAACAAACCTCTCACTGGGATAAGGAGCTTCGGCGTCATGTGTCTCATATGAGCACCAGTCCGTCAGATCCTTTGCCAAGCAGCAGCCCTGCCAGTGTGGAAGCCCAGAATATATCAAGTGCAAGGTTAAACAAAATCTCGCTAAGCTGATTCAAGAGTTGTTCAAGGGTTTCATTGCTTTCACACTAGGCTACTGTACCTTCCTTATTGTTTTTCAATGTTTTTCATCATTCACTCGCTCCTGCCTTTCCTATCTCGTCTTTGGCCTCTGCCGTGCGTCAACACAAGTGCATCATCTTGTCATGCCGATTATTGAGCACATGCCGTGAAGCCAGCAGAAAAAGGTAGAATAACACAGAAAATAGATGAAAATAACATAAAAGATATAAAAGAACAAGAATTCTTGAAAAATGTATATATGTGATATTTCTGCCATTAGAAAATGAAGTGTCATGTCTTTCCGTGAATTTCATGAACCGCTCCCTAATGGGTGCAGGCAAAAGAGAGGGAACAAAAAGGTTTTGCATGCAGGATCACTGCGAGAATCTAGAATTGCATAGAATTGCAACATGTTCCTTCCAGTCTATTGGAACACTCTGACTGTGACTGACAGCAGCTAGTGCAAACAGCTTCTCACTTGCTATGGACACAATGGACCAGCAGTCAAACAATTGCCGAGCACTTGGACATAGTTGGACAAAAATCAGAAGTGAATCGACAATGGGTGTGCACGACTCTAGCCGAGAGCGTGCAAAGCAAGGATAAATCAAGACTTTCCCGACCACATCATGCATAGCCACAAAGAGACCGAAAGTTATATACCAATTAACTTGTCCGATTGACAGTGGCTTTGTTCGTTTGGCCTTTGAGTCTTTTTGAACCTTTTGCACTGCCCAGGCAGCTCCGATGCTGATGTTGCAGTGCCCTCGTCAAGATTCACTGCTTTGTGTTCTCTGAAAGGGCGGATGCAGGGACTTTCGGGAAGAGCTGCCAAACTCGTTCTCAGAAATGACCGATTGATAATTATTGGTACTGAATGATTCATGATACTGATTGCATTTTTGGTGGCCAGGGAAAGTGAAAGTTGTGGGAGAGAGCTTGCTGAGACTCTTTGATACACTTCATGAAAAGGATTTGGAGCACAGAGGCCACAAATGGCCACAATCACAGCACAATGCCAAGCATACAATGCAACGCAAAGCCCGACGGATCTGAGGTTAGCCGCTGTCAGGAGAGTGGTTGGAGTTCAAGTACAGACACGCCACGTGGCTTTGTGCCATGGCCGCCGTATTGGGTCAGGACGACATGAGATGATCCACAGACATCCACAGACAATGAATGACAATACAACCGACATCAACCGACTCTTAATCCACCTTGCAGGCTGAAAATCCATCCGTGCACTGAGAACCACGCAATATCACGCATAGCTAGATATATCAATAACCATGACAATTACAAGCAAACATGTTATGGGCTATGGGAGCCATGTCAGAAAGCCCAACTGAACAATCTTGTTAGATGTTAAAGCCAGATTTGAAACCCGACCATGGTTGTGCTGACAGATAAAGAGACACTGAACTGCTTGTGCACCTGGTAGACTGAGTCATTGCAGCCTTGATTTGAAGATCATCCTATCATCCTATCCTTCAAAATGGATCAAGACATATCCAAAAGATCTAAATGGAGATCTTCAGTAAATGCCCTGGCAAGTTGGCAAGTTTCTTCCGCAGGCTTGGACGTTTGTAGTTCTCACCGAGTTCTCACCCAGCCAAAGACTGCATCAATCCCACCAAAGGCTTTGGAGTCCAGCCGAAAGAGTGCTCAGGGGCATTCTAACAGGGTCTACTTTGGGATATTATTGTGTATTCGTTTGGAAACAACAATGCAAAATATGTATGTGTATATATATATATATATTAAGATATATCAAGATATGTCAAGATACGATTGAATGTGACTGCATCTCAATTCTTGTTGACTGTCGGAGACATTGCAATAGCTGAGGCTATCCAGACCACCGAAGCTGACCTCATGGCATTGTTGCTAGCCTATGACCTTCCCTTGGCTGCGTGCCAGGTGACCACCGTCATGCATGAAATAATGTGGAATGTCGTGCCAGCAACCAACCAGGGCCAAGATAGATTGTGAAGGTTGTGTGTCAAAACAGATGTCTATATACATATAATATATATATAATGTACCTATACATATATACATATATATATATATACAAGTGTGCCATTTTAGTTGGGCGCCCAAAGTGATGCGCCATGAGGCGACCAAAGTGATACGCGTACCTCAACATATACACATATGTTTACACATATATTATATATATATATATACATATTATATATATATATACATATTGAATATAACATAGTTTAACATATGTTTAATTTTATATCTTGAATGTATGTAACAGTATGTATATCCGGATGGATGGACGGACGGGACGGACGGATTGCTGTTTTTCGACACAAGTGATTCTTGAACTCCGAAGGTTCCGTTTCCTTGTTGCAGGTGACACTGACGCGCTTCGGTGATATTGACAAATGCCTTGAATTCTTGTTGGACTCAGAAGAAGGCTTGGAACGCGGGCAATGGAAGTCACTCCCGGGAAGGGGAGAACTGTTCCCTTTCAAACAATCTTTGCAGGGCTGCTGAACAGTGTCAGTGTCATACATTAACTAATACATTATACATGAGATTGGCTTAGCAACACATAGCGGGTCAAAGCCAGGTTGACAGCACAAGCTATGAAATGGTGATAGAATCTTTTCAATGTTTTTTGTGTGCCTTGCCGTTACAAGGAATGATGATGCATGGAAAAGAAACACTATTTGCTGTGTGTGTGTGTAGCATTCTGCCTGCCTGCATTTTCCTTCAGCTTGGGATCGGAGTAAGCAGTTCAACTTGACTTGGGGTTGTCTGAAATTTTAAATTGGGTACTGTACTCCCAAATCCGAAGGTTAATGATCATTTAACTTTATCTATTACAATAGCAAGTTGATACCCCATAATCGGACACTCCCACATGAACTGGACATGCAATGACATTTCTATACTTTTCTTGCCTGGTCTCTTCTGATTTGATGGTACCCCCATGAGATTCATGGAATGCCGGACTTGGCACTGACGCTTCTTGAATTTCAGGGGACTCAAGCGGTGACTAGATTTGAACATGCACTATTGTATCATTGATATTCGTTGATATTCATTGATATTCCTTTGATGCTCATTGATGCTCATTGATGTTACCAAACATCTTCAGTGGTCAAGCAAGACGATACAAAGCAATATGCTCGGTGTCATTATTCAGTGCCATAGATGAGGTCAAAGGCTGTGTGTCACTAGCCTGTTTGCCCACTACGAGGACTGCATTCCATGTCAATGTTTCTGCACCAGTTTCAAGAACTTGGGATTCTTCTCTCAGTCTCTCCAAACATCAAATCAGATGCCTCCAAAATTTCTTTGAAGGCATTGATTCTGCACGAACTTCCATGTTTGTGAAGGAACCTGGTGATAACTTCGACACTGACTGGAGCAACAACAATTTGCCAAAATACTGCAAACTCACCATGGCTGCACAAAAAGCAGAAGGACAAGCAAAAGAGGCCAGACTTGCAGAGGAAGCAAGAAGAGCGGAAGAAGCAAGGCTAGCAGAGGAGGCAGGAGAAGCAAGGCTGGCAGAAGAGGCCAGACTTGCACAGGAGGCCAGACTTGCAGAGGAGGCAAGAAGAGCAGAAGAAGCAAGGCTAGCGGAAGAGGCCAGACTTGCAGAGGAAGCAAGAAGAGCGGAAGAAGCAAGGCTAGCAGAAGAGGCCAGACTTGCAGAAGAGGCCAGACTTGCAGAGGAGGCAAGAAGAGCAGAAGAAGCAAGGCTAGCGGAAGAGGCCAGACTTGCAGAGGAAGCAAGAAGAGCGGAAGAAGCAAGGCTAGCAGAAGAGGCCAGGCTTGCAGAGGCAAGAAGAGCAGAAGAAGCCAGGCTAGCAGAAGTGGCCAGACTTGCAGAGGAAGCAAGAAGAGCGGAAGAAGCAAGGCTAGCAGAAGAGGCCAGACTTGCAGAGGAAGCAAGAAGAGCGGAAGAAGCAAGGCTAGCAGAAGAGGCCAGACTTGCAGAGGAAGGAAGAAGAGCGGAAGAAGCAAGGCTAGCAGAAGAGGCAGAAGTAGCAAGGCTAGCAGAAGAAGCAAGGCTGGCAGAAGTGGCCAGACTTGCAGAGGAGGCAAGAAGAGCAGAAGAAGCAAGGCTAGCAGAAGAGGCCAGACTTGCAGAGGAGGCAAAAAGAGCAGAAGAAGCAAGGCTAGCAGCAGAAGAGGCCAGACTTGCAGAGGCAAGAAGAGCGGAAGAAGCCAGGCTAGCAGATGAGGCCAGACTTGCAGAGGAGGCAAGAAGAGCGGAAGAAGCAAGGCTAGCAGAAGAGGCCAGACTTGCAGAGGAAGCAAGAAGAGCGGAAGAAGCAGGCTAGCAGAAGAGGCCAGACTTGCAGAGGCAAGAAGAGCAGAAGAAGCAAGGCTAGCAGAAGAGGCCAGACTTGCAGAGGCAAGAAGAGCAGAAGAAGCAAGGCTAGCAGAGGAGGCCAGACTTGCAGAGAAAGCAAGAAGAGCGGAAGAAGCAAGGCTAGCAGAAGAGGCCAGACTTGCAGAGGAAGCAAGAAGAGCGGAAGAAGCAAGGCTAGCAGAAGAGGCCAGACTTGCAGAGGAAGCAAGAAGAGCGGAAGAAGCAAGGCTGGCAAGAAAGGTCAGACTTTTACAGGAAGATGCAGCAAGAGTGGAGGAGTCAGAAGTGGCTTGGGAAGAAGCAATAAAGGAAGTGCCTCGCCGAGAGGAAGAGCGCCGGGGCGGACAGAAAGAACAGCGTTTAGATTTTGCTGGAGTAGGCGCTTTTGGTGGACAGGTGGAGCAGGCGCTTCTGGAAAGCGTTGTCCGAGTTTCATTTGCTGCAAAAGTTGGGGCAGACCAAGCCCGTTTGGCCGCGGAAGTCAAACTGGCGGAGCTAGCCAAAGTTGCTGGTGAATTTCAAAAGGAAAGTTGTCACTCAGAAGATTTGCCGTTTGCCGCATCCTTAGACTAATTTAGACTCTGTGGCAACTTAGCAACTCCTTAAGCAAATCTAAACAACTGATGCTTCCAAGGAGGGCTGTTCAGACAATGCATTCTACGAGGAGATTGCAGGGTGGGCGCCAGGTTGACCTGGGTTCTGGAGAGATGACATGAAGTTTCATGTTTTGTAATGGATGTACATGATGTATCATGATGTAATTGTTTCGAATGTGTTGTAATACGTTTTTGTTTTTTTATGTTTTATGATGTCTATAATGTCTTATGGTGTGTTGCGGAATTCTTGTTCTGGTCAAGGAAGCGAGAAGGTTTAAGGAGGTTCAAGAAGGTTCAAGGAACCCAGGGCAGGGAGCTGTGAACGAAGACTATTACAAATGTCGCAAGGACGCCCTGGCGCAGCTACTTGTTTATGAGTTGCCATTGGACGTGGCGTTCTCAGAATAGACATTCTTCCTTGGACAATGGCTCGGACAATGGTGAAACTTCCTGTTTATGATCCTTGCAAACAGATTATGCACAGGTTCTCTCCTCATCAAGACAATAGATTGTTGGAAGATCCAGGTTGATCAAGGATGTTCAATCTACAGTATATATTGTTGCATTTTTGTAAGCAGGCAAGCCCTTTGTAGCCTGGAAGGGCAAACTTGGCTGACAGACTGCCTAGTCATACCTAGTCACCCATACCAGTGTTGCAAACCGCTGCATTGATTTACAGATTGCAAACAGGCTTGCATTGCAGCGCCGGAGAGCCAAGAGAAGCCAAGTCAAAGCTATTTCAAGGCATTGAGAACGCTGCAGCGAAGTTGGTTGATGTTTCAGTACGATTTGCCAAGAGTCCTAGTTCACACAAGAACAGTGCTGAAACTGTGGCAGAAGATGGCAGAAGTCTGTTGCATTGAAGGGGTGTGTATATCTATTTTTGAAGCGTGTTTGGTTTGGTTTTCTTCTGTATGATTCATGATATTCATGCAATCTCAAGCCCTGAGAAAGTCAGCCTTGAAGTTCTCAGGCAGTAAGGCCACTAGAAATTCTACAGGTGGTTGGTTTTTCATGGTTCTTCGAACTTGAGCGCCATGAATCCGCTGATTCCGCATATGCCTACATGATCCCCAGTACCGGGACCGGGGATCACAAGGTGGGGGGTGCCAGATCTGCTAGCGGGCTAGCGACCCAGTGCTGATTCTCATAACGGCATAACGAAACACAGAATCTGAGGCTGGGACGATTTCAGAACCCAGACGATGCATTGGATTTCCTGCTCGACACCAAAGAAGGTGCGATGCCCAGTGCACATGCCAAGCTCTAAATTTAAATGCGGAACTTTGGCTAACCAACGTAGCTTCTCGTTCTTTACCACGCACACAGATTCTGAACAAGTGATAAAAATCTATAATGACAAGATCTAGAACATATTATTGCGCTTCTGTTTTCATAGTTATCTCATGTTATGTCAGTTATGTCATAGTCCTTTTGGTGCACAACTTCGAGTAGATACATACCCAAATGTTTGGTCAGTTCTGTGAGCAGATTTTGTTGGTTTGTACATGTTTGTAGGCAAACCCGTTGTGCTTGAATGGTCTAGTGAAATCAGCCTGCCACACAATATGGTCTAGTGAAATCAGCCTGCACCAGGAAGTGCCAAAATCGGCAAAAGTTCAGCATGCACCAACGGAAGAATGAATGAAGAATGAGAATCTGAGAATCAAGAAAACGGGATCAAAAACGTCGGACTCAACATGACCCAGGATCACCACAACATAGCGCAACAACTTAAAATCAAAAGCTTTGGATAGTTTTGGCTACTTTGTTTTGGAAAGCATGAAACTCCAGCCATAGCTCTCGAGAACTAAGAACCTCCAAAGCGCTTCCCTAAAGTCTGTACGCTATCATCTATATTGTGAAAGCCCCTAGTTTCAAGCTTTCTGTTTGCCAAATTCTAAAGCTGTGACCACAATGAATGCAGCATTGGGAAGCTACTTGCAGTGATCACTTGCGATCACCATCACTAAAACCGAATGATTACGGATGGCACTAAGGCGCGCTGCTTTGCTCTAGTGCAGGACATGCAGCACACGTTTTCGACCCACAGTTGCAGCGGAACAAAAAGGGTGCATATTGGTTCTATGTGGTCTTGTAATGTCTTGTAGTCTTGTGGTCTTAGCAGGTCTTAGCTGTTTCGTGAAATGATTTCCATACCTGAAACATGCCTCAGATGTTGGACGGATTCTGGAGCATGGCAAGCTGATGATAGTTCATGAAGTTCATGTACATCTCTTGGCTCAAGTTCCTGAGGGCCCCCGCAAAGGTTGACTCGGTCAAACCCGTAGCGGGAGGGCCATGGCAATGGGCCCAGAGGTGGGAACTAGCGGAAACTAACGACTGCGGACAGCCAAACAAAGAACAGTCAGGTTGGGCCATCCACACACAAACATGGATGAAAACAATAGAATACGCAAAGGATCGCAAAGGCAAATGCTACCAATACATACCAATACTATATACATTTGAATTTCAGTGGGTTTCAAACAGTTTCGAAGGGTTTCATGCATTTGTATTGGTCGAGAGCTTCAGCCTAGAACAGTAGCCTAGTCTCCACATGCAGGCAATTCCAAGACTCGTCAAGAGTCCATTGCACTAGTGCAATCTTCGCCTTTGCTCAGCCCCTCTCCGAGCTATCGTAATTTCAATTGCATCATCCGAGATATTACATATATTTACATATGTTATCCTATTTCTTTGCACTACTCCAAGGTATCCTAAGAATGATACTATATATATATATATGTATATACGTTTCCCCAAGTAGCCTGATACGATATCACAAGTTATCACAGCATTGTTGCTCACCCGGCAGCATCTTTGGGTGGGCAAGTCAGAGCGATACCAGGTTGCAGGACGCCTCATCCTGAGGAACACCTTCATCGAGTTGGAGGCTGGCGGCGCAAGAAATGTATACTAGGAGATACTAGGAGATTATCTCTACCTATGCATCCTTTAATAAATCCAAATAGCGGGTGTTGGATGGTGTGATCCATTTAGGTTACGTGTTACGGTTCTGTTCCGGTTTTTGGGCTTGGCAAAAGGAGACACCACTCCAAGAACCAGAGATTGAATGAAACCCAACAATCACTGCTGTTGAAAAGTTTAGTCTCGGAACAATTTGGTTCATGTCGGGGGGAAGTTCGGTCCGATGCCTTCCGATTTTGGTTTTGGTCCTTAATGATGGATGTTGCCCATATCTTTCAGTTTGAAACTTTAAGAAGTGTCCCCTCACCAGCTGTGGCGAGACTGACTACCATGATCTGAAACCCTGTCGGAGTGACTCAAGCCGCTTCAAAAGCCCATCCCTCCTCAAAAATCTCCATAACAAGTATGGACCATGTCTGCAACCATTGCTTCCACTCCCTTCACTCCCTCCACTCTGGGAGCCTCTTGGAGCAGTTTTGTCCGTGGCCGAGAGCATATCCTAAGATGAATAAGGTGTAAACAAGTCGTACACAAGGCATAAACCAGGCCTAAGCAAGGCATGAACCGTGTTCCAAAATGCTGTAATTGACATGTTCTTTCATATCTCGTTCTTAATTATTCTAAAATATCTGAATAGATTCCAATGGGCACCATGGACACATATCATAATATGGACACTGTCAATATTGATTGCTTTTGCATAATGTTGACCGCTTATCCTTTTAGCATCCTTTGACTATCTTCCAAAGTATCGAGCAAGTCACTTTGCATTTGTTTCATATTCGATCTGTGCTTGCGCAGGATCCTGGTACCTTGGACACGGGGATTGAGGGGCCAATGGGTCGTGCTCGGGCATCTTCCGATGGATGCCTTTTCGAGTCCTCGCGGTTGGAAGAAGATGTCCCCCCTGGGCAAGAGGTGCCATGACATGGGAAAACATCGGAAAACTGAATATAAGATGATTTGTGCACATATTTCTATCATTTTCTATCTAATGTTTCAAGATGTTTCATGCGTAATTACTGTATTCAGTTGATTTCTGTTGTATATTGTTTTGTCCTTTGTATTTTTATGTTCTTGCAACCATCCCCCTCCTACTGTAGTTTCCTGTTGCTGTACAATATATGATAATATATGCCCCTTCTGTTTGTGATTTAGCCTCAATTGGTGTTGTATCTCGCCTAAAAGATAGACATAGACCTCACATGACCATACATGACCTCACCATGTTACGTTTGTTGCTGTATTTTTTTATATGTGCGTTCCGAACGTTCCCTCATCAGATCTTCCCTCATTGGGCTCATGGGGATCATTCGGGTTACGGGTCTTGCAGGTGCTGGATATGTTTTTTTTGGTGCATATATATATATATATACTGTCATAATCTGTTAGATACTTTTTTGATCTTTTTTGTTGATACGTGTCTCTTGCAGGCAGTAGATCTCGTTGAGATTTCTTTGACCGGTGCAAGCTGCCTGAACACACCCAGATCAGACCCTGGGCTTTGGCATCGGCAGACGCTGTGGAGTCAGTGTTGAATTCAGTTGAAAATGCTTCAATAATGCTAAAGCTGCTAAAGAGTGTTGAAATTTCAATTTGAAAATTGTCAACAGACTTTTCACACCTTGTGATCCCTTGTGTAAGTCAGATAAGTTACGTACACATAAGTGCACTGACTTTTCTTGGCACAGTGGACAGTAAAAAAAAATGGTACTGAGAGCACGCGCCCATTGACGAACCCTCCTGCTTTGAGAAGTTGAAGTGTTCATGCAACCGCAAAAAGAAAAAGCAAGGCATCGTTTTACAGTGCTAGACACCTTGACTTTGCTGTGCTCAAGGACATTGCAGATACGGATGCTAAAGGACTGCACTTGAAGCAACCAGTTTCAGCAAGTCACATGGGATTTCTGTTGCAATAGTGTTTCTACATGATTTTCTAGTGGTCCTTGATTTTCTAGAGAGGCACTGGCAGGTCATTACAACCAACAATATGATATTTGGATGTATTTGGGTGCGTCTGAAAACGAAAACAGGGCAACTTGAATGCGGATAACGAGGTTCGAAACCATGACATTCGGGGGTACCCAATTTTTATCGAAATGGGATGGAAATTCAATGGGTTGGATGTTGGGCTCTAGAAAAAGGGGAGCAGTAACTTGAAGTGGTTTTTAACATATTTGATTTCGTAATTTCAAAACTATGCAATTCAAGTAGGGCGGTGTCTCTTTAAGGAAACATGCTAAACATAGCTTCGAAAATGCACTTCTTGTACATTGCCGTTTTTCTAGGATACTTCAAATTGGTTTGATGTTTGTTGCTAGATTTTCTTGGGTCCCTAATTTATACAACCTAAATTTTCTACTAGAAAATCACAGGCCCCAACCTGACCCGGTGAACTCGTACAGGGATGTTTCTACAACATTTAGCTGTAAATGCATCAGTTTTCTTTCTTTGTGTTGATTTAGCCTCATTTAGGGGCCTTGCAGCGTATAGTCACAACTGACGGTGTTTTGCTATGCTTTGGTTGCATCTCAGCAGTGTGTGCACCCTTTTTGCATAGGGCTTGGTTCTGCATTTCTTCTTGCCAAAATTCATCAACAGACAAACATGTTACAACATGTGTTGAACATGCGGGCTTGACACGCCTGTATTGCTTCTCCACCAACATCCACCAACCAAATTGGTGGACAGGGCCAGTTCTGCTGGCTACAATATTCAGACGTCGGTTCTGGACGCAGAACTGCCCTTCAGGTAGGATTTGCCAAAATTACGTGAGAATTACCTGTTGAACCCTGAAGAACGAATTGGCGCATTCGATTATTCAATTCAAGACCAGTCCAGAGTTTCACCAGTGTTTGTGTGTTTGTTTGCGTACAATTGTGTACGATTGTGTACGTGCGAAGGCATTTGCCTGCAACATTCTGCAACATGAGAAATAGCACCTAAAATCCCTTTGCCTGGCAATGAGTAGCCGAGCGTCTTGGATAAGACATGACAAGACTTACATCGTCTCACTTCAAAATAAAAACCTGTACCAAATCTCGACTGGAGCCAACCTGTGGTGCACGTTGAATTTGGAATGGCGCCGGAACATGTTTTTTTGTTGGTTCTTTCGCAATACACTGTTGCGCAGGAGTTCCGACACCTGTCAATCACGTGGCAAATCTTCAGCTGCAGCAGGCTGACGTGCATACACTTTGAAGCTCTGATGTTTGTGCCATTTGTGTTTTGAGTAAAGATCGGTTTAATGTTGAGCTGCTTAAAGATCTCAAAGTCGAGTTCTTCTTTGCAAGATGCCAGACTGCACTGGTTGCCATTGACTCAGGTGTCCAAGTTGATTGCACACCTCGCGCAACCTCGATCATCCACTCCATGTATTAAGTCTGAAGCCCGCATACTCTACCATTCAAATCCATTCCTGATTTTACTGTATCAATATTTAGGGCATACTCATAGTGCCCAAACCTGAAGCAGATTGAGCAGCGGTGAAAATACTGTCCTGTACTGTAGTTCTGCCATGTCTTGCCAGAAACTTGCAGGTCTGTGCAGGTCTGTGCAGGTCTGCTATGTGTGGTTTGCTTGGCAGGCCTGGAGCGCAAACATGCCGAAGCCTGCTGTAAAGAAGGAGGACCTGCAGCGGCTTTCGGACGAGGTGGCACAGTCTCTTGGTCTGAAGATGTTTGAAGCGAACAAATCCTGTGAAGCGAACAGTTGAGATATTTAAGATCTTTCAAGTGTTTCATTGTGTTTAGGATTCAGATACTCGTATGTTTACATGAGTAGAATTAACGTGAAATAACATGAATTAAAATGAAATAACATGAATTAACATGAAATAACATGAATAAAATGAAATAACATGAATTAACATGAATTAACATCGCTACACGCCTAGCAACACTTAGCAACCACGTCCAATTTTTGTCTTAGCAACACCTAGCAACACTTAGCAACCACGTCCAAATTACACCAATGTCTTCATTTTGAACTCATTCCAACCCCCACCATCCCCCACCAACATTCCGAGCCAGCCATTGAACCATCCCATTGACAGATTCAGAGAGGCTCCTCATCTCTCGGTCCACGATTTAGTCTCTGAATATGTCAATTGGATCAATGAATCATCAATGTAGTCTCTGAATGTCTCTGAATGTCTCTGAGGCTGGTGAAGCAGAATAAGCAACTGCGCACTCAGATCACGATGGGCAAGGACCGAGAGTGGCTTATTCATGCAGATTCCACCACAACCACAGAATTCCTGTGTTTTGAAACGTTAACGCTTTTTTGCTGAGAGTATCGGTCATGGGCAGCCAATAGGTTTGAGTTTCTCTTCACGTTCCTTGGCATTTTCACATGTTTCATTGTGGTTTCTCCAAGTTGTTTTTTCCTGTTTCTGTTTTGTTTGCTTTTGGGCTTTCGTGTGCTTTCGTACTACCGGGTTAGTAGTAGGAACCTGTTGCTGGTCTGGAGACGCAAGATGTGTCTTGGCTCCTCAAGGATAGACAAGAGCCCAAGAGGTCCCAGGTGATGGTCCTTTGGAAATTCATCTTCATCGTTATGTGGAAATTCATCTTCATCCTTTCCACTCTCAATATAATATCAATATACATCTTCAAAATTGAATCATTTTAAATCCCGGCAGGTTTTCATGGAAATCTCGGCTAAGGTTGGTGCGTCCTGGATGGCGTACTCGATGCAAGGCCAAAGTTTTCAACCAGATGTTTTTTTACACATAGGATAATGTCTCAGGATGTGTCAGGTGTCTGAGAAAGCTTTCAACTCATTCGGCTGGAGTCCCTGTGGCAACTGGCAACAACCATGAAGATCATCCCAACACGAAACACGAAAACACACGTCGGGCAGTGATGTGCAGCTTCAATTTGGGACGTTTTAAGACTATGCTTCAGGGATGTAGAGGATGCTCTGGGGATCTCTCGGGATCTCTAGGGTGCGTTCTCAAATTGATTCAAATTGCGTGAATGTAACCATTATGGGAACCGGCAAGCAGCCTGGCTCCGTTCCTCACAACTCACAACAAACCATTTTTCCCCAGTTTGACAGCATGCTGTTCGCAGCTGACTGAAGAGTTAAAGGGAGGTCGTTACTGAAAAGAATAGGTTTCATTTACATGGCGACCACGTATTCCATTATATCTGTAGGTCTCTATTCCATTATACCAGTAGTACCGCACAAGGCGGTGGCGGAAGTTTCAGAATAGGAAACCTATAGGAGACGTTGGTTGTTGTGAATCACGGATGGCAGAGCGAATCCACTGATTGACCGAAAGGTGGTTGGAGTTGTGTTTGCTGGAGTGGTTGCAACGGTTGCAGCGGTCACCTCACCCACAACTGCTGGATGTAGTGTTGATGTACTGCCACTGTAGTGTAGTTTGTACGTAGTGGAGTTGTGTTTTGTGGTGTAATGTAATTATTGTAGTGTAGTTGCAGTCATATAGTTGTACTGTAGTTGTTGTTGTAGTGTAGTTGTAGTTGTTGTTGTTGTTGTTGGTTGGTTGTTGTTGTTGTTGTTGTAGCTGTAGTTGTTGTGTCGTTGTAGTTGTTGTGTAGTGTAGTTGTTGTAGTAGTAGTTGTAGTAGTATTTGTTGTTGTTGTTGTAGTTGTAGTTGTTGTAGTTGTAGTAGTTGCAGTAGTTGTTGTTGTTGTTGTTGTTGTTGTTGTTGTTGTTGTTGTTGCTGTTGTTGTTGTTGCTGTTGTTGTTGTAGTTGTTGTAGTTGTAGTTCTAGTTGTAGTTGTTGTAGTTGTAGTTCTAGTTGTAGTTGTAGTTGTTGTAGTTGTAGTTGTTGTGGTTGGTGTTGTTGTTGCTGTTGTTGTTGTTGTTGCTGTTGCTGTTGTCGTCGAAGTTAGGGTAGTTAAGTTAGTGAAGTTAGTTAAGTGAGTCAAGTTAGTTAAGTTAATCAGTGTCTACTTTTTCGACATCTTCACGTCAAAAAAGGCTCAAAACCCTCAGTTTTTTACACTTTTGACTACTTCGAAATGTGCTTCGCGCCACAACGGCGTGCACTTTTTCGACACTTTTTCGACATCTGAACCTCCAAAAGTGGTCCGAACATGGTGTGCTTTGCACATCTTGACTTCAAAATGTGCTTCGCGCCACAACGGCGTGCACTTTTTCGACATCTCAACTTCCAAAAGTGGTCCGAGAATGGTGTGTTTTGTACATCTTGACTTCAAAATGTGCTTCGCGCCACAACGGCGTGCACTTTTTCGACATCGCAACTTCCAAAAGTGGTCCGAGAATGGTGTGTTTTGTACATTTTGACTTCAAAATGTGCTTCGCGCCACAACGGCGTGCACTTTTTCGACATCTCAACTTCCAAAAGTGGTCCGCTCCTCTAGTGCTTTGTCCATTTTGACTTGGAAATGTGCTTCGCGCCACAACGGCGTGCACTTTTTCATGTTTCATCTGGCCAGCTGGCTCCGCACCCGCCGCTTTAGCGAGCCTACTTTTCGACCCTCCGGAGCCACAAATCAGTGGAAAAACACAGTGAATCGCGACTTTCCTATCTTTTCGCGCATCTACCTCTTCTTTCTTCTGATCTTGTCTCTTCTGACTCTTCTCACCTCTGCTTTTCAACTGTCCATATTGTCGGAAGTTTCACTTCTAAACTTCCTTCGATTATAATATATTATATATATACATATGAATGATTATTAATTAACGTATACATTTGAAATACATTTGAACAATAGTCCGAAGTTCCAATCTTTCCTTTTACAGGAAAATGGCAAAGTAGCAAAAAAGTTAGGGTTTTCGACATGGCAGCATAATCATTTTTGTGATTCCTTTTATCATTTGTGCAGGCCCAGGCCAGCTATCTGGAGCGTGCGACCAAATCAGAACCTCGGATTTCTGTTCCAGAGATTCCATAGCTTGTTGGTCGGTGTTGATTGCACTACCTTGTGAGAACACCTCGTGTCGGAGGGACTCAGTCTTGGTAACTGGAAAATACTGGAAGGATATGGAAGGCGTCACTTTTTGTTGCCGATGGTGACAGTGGAGGCTACGACATGTGGTTCACTGCGGTTCACCGCTTTGCTGTGATTTGCTCCATGTGACGGATAGTTTGGGCAAAATAGCTATGGTATGCTATGGTATTCTTATCGGTTCCTGTTGCGTGGATGGTGATGCAAGCAGAGATGGCTGCAGGTGCTGTCTCGCGGTTTGTTACAGGGTTCTGCTGCTGTCCCGTGTATCCTGTGTATCCTATGTGCTTGCAGCATCATGCCTCCTCGCACACCTGTGATTTGTGGCAAACTGGTCCTTTGAAATTTCTGTCCCATTGTGCTGTTGCTGTTGCAGGGCTTCAGGTGTAACCGCAGATTGCATGTTGCTGTTTGGAGTCTATGCTCTCTTGGAAAATAGTTGGGACATCCTGTGACTTTTCTACGGGTCGTGCAGGGTGAGTTTTTGCTGAAATGTCTGAAAGCTAAGGCTTTCAAGGCTATTCAATGGAAGCTTGGCAAGCAGGCCGTTCGCAGTGTCACAGGCCCGAAGGCCACCACCCCTGAGACTATTGTAGGTGGGCAGCTGTCAAAATCTCAGACCCACAGAGCCACAGTTTTGCCAGTTAAAGAAAAGTCCTTTTAGTAACTTTTAGTATCAACCATTCAACCATCATTCAACCGTTGGGCGCTAAGCGGCAAGGCACCGATTGGTTAGCAATGCTTACAGGTTCGGACACACAAAGTACATGAATATACAATAGATTGTTACACACCGCCCTCCCTTTGATGATGGCTATGACAGCAGTATGACTGCTTATTTACTGGACTATTCAGTTTTACCCATCAGACAAAAAAGCTGAACGACCTGGTTGTTTGTTGCTACTGTACAAACTGCAATAGCATGTATACTAGACACAAGCCAGATAGCGTGTGTAATGCATGAAAATCACGCAGTGTCATGCATAATCACGCACGCACCATCATAAATATATAACACGTCAAACAATATAAACCGCATATTTGCTCACAGGATCTTTGCACACCAAGGACAACCGAGAGGCTGATCTGAGCTATTCCCCGCCATTTGGCAATGCAATTGTTTTGTGGTGTTGTGCCTGCTGTGTATCAAAAACAGTTTCAAATTGCTGCAATTATTGTCAATGAAAATATACATAAAATGCATTTTGGTATGATTCGATCGAGCATACCCGAAAGACCGTGACCCAATAAAGCCAACTAGAATCGCCGCTCTTGATAGCCGCTCTTGAACGAGGAGGCCATTCATCTCCATGCCGTCTGCGCACTAAGGGCATGGACGGAACAATCCACTGCCGCTGACGGCGGTACCTCGGTGATGCTGCGCAATCTCCCGAAGCTTGGAGAGCAAAGCAAGCAGATTCAAGCAAGTTGAAGTCGCCAAACGTCACTCAATGTGGCCAAATGTGGCCAAATGTGGCCAAATGTCCTAGACAGTCCTGGGCAGATCCAGGCAGGTCTCCCCAACAGATTCAAATATGATCAAATATGCATATATATATATTATATATATATGTATTGCTAATTGTCAAACAAATCCAAACTGCAGAGGTAGAAACACTGATGCACTGCTCAGCACTGGTCTATTACAACAGTTCCCCGTTTGAAGTTGTTGAGCTATGAACAAGTCAGCAGGCCAGAAGTTGCCAGCTCAGAGTAGAACCAGCCTGCTTCCTCTCAAGTCCGTGTCAGTTGACTGGACAAGTGCAGCTTTCGTCTAGCCTGAATGTTTTTGCCAAGTTGCATTTTTGGTGGCACCATCGAAGACTCCCGTTTTTGTGGAATATGCCTTGAGACGTATAGAGGCCCAATTCCCCGGTGGCAGTCCAGGAACAACTACACCCGCTCAAAGCTCTTGGAGATGCTTGACAATGAGGGCTTTGCAAGCCAGTACAACTTTGTGCAACTTGCCTTTGCACAAGTCTACGTCCGTCTAGGAGACTTCTGGAAGTAGGACAGTACTCCCAGACCATTGCCATGGAATCCTTGAACAGTGCTGCTTCACATTTTTGAGATGGTTTGGGTGAAATTCTTCATCATATCGATGACTGGATTCATTTGACATTTTTGGAACTCTGATGGAGATGCCAGTTTGCTCCAACTTGATAGAGAGTTACTGGTGTGCGCGTGGCTGCTTTAAGTGTGTCTGGCTTGTTCTTTGTTGGATGTTGTCCTTCCTAGCGCCATTGTCCGTTTTGTCATTGCGTGTCGCTGATGGCATTGTTGCTGTCGTTGCTGCACGTGTAGCTGCTGCAACTGTTGATGCTGTTGTGCATGGGGTGTGGGGATGTGTGGGGCATGGGTTCCCGATTGTCATGAACTCCCATTGGCCGTTACAGTAATTACATGTAATATAATGTAATTATGTGCTTACATGTACTTACCACATGTTATCACAAACGCATGACCTGTGCAGTGTTTGAAGAAAAGCAGATGACTTGAAACCTCAGGGCTCGGCATGAGATATATGTTGCGCACCCAGCGGTAGCCCCTGCAATGAGTTTGTATCTCCACTGCCAGGTATTTGCCAATCGACTTCCAGACTGAGGTGCCTGTCGAAAGATGGTTGTAAAAGGGGTCGATAGGTCTGCAGGGGTCTTCTTTTTTAGGAAGTGCATGTTCATCGTGTATTATTGTTTGTTAGGATTTATGTTACACGTTACTGTTCAATGCAGGTTCACTGGTGTTGATGATTTTCGGTTGTGGTTGTGGTGTTTTTGTTTGTTGTTGGCTCGGAACATGCAGAGTCGTTTTTTATTGGTTTTAGAGCACACATGTGCCGTAGGCCCGTAGGCTTGAAGTCTCGAGCGAATAGTGCATTTTGTGTTGTCACGACGCGTTCTGTGTTTTGTTCTTTCGTGTTGCCGGTGTTTGGGGTGGGGGGGCTAGTCGGCTAGTGCTCTTAGCAGAGCCCGAGTGGTCCGTGGTATTTCTCGTGAATCTATAGTACGGAGGCGGATACGGATGGGTTGTAAAAATAATTAATAATTAGATATGTATATTATATCATATAATATATATATATCAAATCCAGTATCAGAACACTTCTGAAACCACAAGTACAGTGATACATCATTCATATGATTTCAATTGATTTCATATTAATGAACCTTCATAGAGTCTTGATCCAGTGACACTCCAACATATTATGCGTGACATATGCATGACCACACATGGTTGTGGTTGAAATGCCGAGCCGCAAAGGACCCAGGATCTGATGGATCCGAGCGTTGGCGTTGTCGGTGTCGTTGTCGTTGTCGTTGTCGTTGTCGTTGTCGTTGTTGTTGTTGTTGTTTGCTAACTTTCGCCCAGATTCTTATTCATTATTTCATGATGTGTCATGATGTGTCATGATGTTTCATGATATTTACTGAATGTTCAGGATATTTCATCAAGATATTGTTTGGCTGGCTGTCAAACTAGTTTGTTTGAATATCTGTCATGTGCATGAGGGAACTGATCGTAAGAGTTTTGTTTTTATGTTGAGCTGAGGTTCAAAGTGCTACCAAGTTGTTCAAATCAGTATCGATGTCTTCGATTTCCACTAGGCTTCGTTGGGCTATGCCTTTGTCAACATGATTGACAGCAGCTACGTGCCGAAGCTTCAAGAAAGACTCACAGGCGCGTGTCCAATTCATTCCAATTCTAAGATCAGCATCAAAAAGTCGCATAATGTCGCATACTCACAAGAAAACTGAAAGATGTAGAAGCACGAACCATCACAAATCCTTGTCTCCCTCGTTTTTAGAAGTGGTGCCACTTTTGGTAGTATATAACAGTATATATATATGTATACAGTATACATATGATTATACATATTTTTTATCTATAGTGATATTTATATTTATATTTATATTTTACAGAGTATATTGTTAAACTCCCAAGTTTCCTGACTGAAGATGTATCACTCCAGGCATTTTCCCGAATGAGCTCGGGCGTTCATGCCGCTTCCATCAATCAAGGGTGGGAGGGACAGTGGAGTCTATTGGCGACAGGCAAGAGAAAAGGCTTGCAGTTCAGAGGGGCTGAACATTCACATTGGTAGCGGAGCCTACCCCTGGCGCACGCAATAACTTTTGGGGTTAGGATACGGTCCCCTAATTGAAGGTCAGGCAGGCTCCAGGACTAGGAGGTTAAAGGTTCTCCTAGAGGTCTGGACATTCAGGTCAGGTGAAAACAAGACAGCAAGTGAACACGGGGCGTGTTCAGTCAGTGCTGCCATGGGCTCAGAAGCTGCTGGCGGTGCTACGGGAGCGGCTCCTGAGGAGAAAGGGAACTTGTGGTCCATTCTCCCTGGTTTTGACCCTCAACAAGATGATCCCCGAGAATACCGAGATAAAGTGATATGCCCTCGCAAAGATCGGTACATGCTGGCACCGAGGTTAGCAATGCTTATGAAGGGAACTGCTTGGGCGCAGATCAAGCAGCTCGACACAGCACAGCTGACAGACCCTGAAAAGGGCATTGAAGTCTTACTGGCTTCAATCTCCACATGGGAGGAGGCCGAGGAGATGCAGCTGCACGACAAGTTTGAGAAAGCGTTGTACAGGACAACGCAACGGTCTGATGAAACAACGCAGAGTTTCGTCCATCGGATGTCAGTGTCGTTCCATGAACTGGGAGACCAGTCCGTGAAGGACATCCGAGCCTTCATCATGCTTCGACAGTCAGCCTTGTCGGTGGAGGACAAGAAAAGAGTCCTCACTATGGCAGGGAATCCGTTGACTCCGTCCTCGGTGGAGAAGGCAATGAGACAGCTGTCAACACGGGTTTTGGTAGGTCAGCCAGAGGGGAAGAAGAAAGTTTACCCGATCAACTACGTTGAGGAGGAGCCAGAGGAAATCCACTATGCTATGGAGAATGAGATGATGGACGGGAACAGGCGATCATTTTGATGGCCGAGCAGGGTGATGATGAGGCACAGCTGATCAAAGACTTTGAGGACCAGTTGATTGAGGTCTGCCAGGACAATCAGGACCTGGCGACGTGTTTCAATGCATACGCTGATGCCCGGGCCAAGATCAGGGATCGTCTGAGGCACCGTGGGTTTTGGCCTAATCATGGTCAAAAAGGTCGTGGAAAAGGAGGACGCAAAGGTGGCAAAGGAGATGGTGGCCGATTCCATCGAAAGAAGGAGTCCTTAGCAGACAGGATCGCAGCATCCAACTGCAGGCGCTGCGGTGCCAGGGGGCACTGGAAATGGGAGTGCCCCATGAAGGATGGCTCAGGATCGAAAGAAGATGTCAATGTCGCTGAGGACACCAATTTCGCAACGAATGACCCGGAGATCATGGATGAGCTGCCGACGGGACTGCGTGGGCCAGAGACCATTGAAGAGCTCTTCAAGCACTTGCACTTCGAGGACTGTCAGGTTTTAAGAGTTTCTCCCACCAGGGGTATCGTAGGATCCCAAGTTAATGAAGAATTCATGGAATCAGTTTTTGTCTGTTCTCTGACAAAACCAAAGGTAACAGGTCACTGTCTTGGGAAAGCATTGATCGGGGCCATGGCCAGGAAGGGTGAGCATGTGAGTAAGGTAGTTGACGGTGTCCCGGCAATGGAATGCCCAGGGATTATCGACACAGGTGCTTCAAAGACAGTGAGCGGTCAGAGAAAAGTCAAAGCGCTGATCCGGAGCATGCCACGGGAGGTTCAAAAACAAATGAATTGGAAGCGGTCAGAAACAGTATTTCGTTTTGGAAACAATGCAGTTCTACCTAGTGTCGGAGCCATTTTTCTTCCTTTTGGCAGTAGGTGGATGAGGATTGAGGTTGTCGAAGGTGATACACCATTCTTGCTGTCCAATTCATTTCTCCGTGCAATTGATGCAGATGTCTGCACCCGAAATTCCACTCTCCGCCTGAATCAACTAAATCATGAGGTCCCACTTAAAACCAACAATTAGGGGCTCTTTGTTGTTCAATTGGCGGAAGTGATTGCTGCATTCAGTCGTGAGCATCCATGTCAATCAGAAGAAATCGTGACTAATGTAACAACAGAACTGAAAGCAGTTTCGGAAGCCAACACAGCAAGCACAGCAGCTGAAGTGGCTCAACGCCTGAAAGTGACCAGTGAGATCGGTGACGATCAAAACGAAAGCGTGCGCAGTGGACATGGCGCCCAAGAAGGTGATGGCCGGCTACACCGTGGACGTGGACCAGCCACTTCCTTTCCCAGAGGACCCAGGTCTGAGCTACATGACAGTGGTGGTGGACGAAGACATTCGTCGTCCACCGGGGATTACAAGCCTGAGACAGTGGGGCCAGATGAAACTGGCAGAAGGGAAGCATCGTCACAAAACGTTCATGGAGGTGATCAACGGGGATCGGGACTATGCAACATGGATGAAGAAGCATCCCAAGTTGGCCAGCGATTGGGCGACATCGTTCCAAAACTTTGTGAAGGCATGGGATCAAGCCCATGTGATCCAACAGAGTGCAGCGGTGGGACTTCCCATCAAGACCAGTGGGCAGGTGGGGACAAGTCACCGGTGCAAATCATATGACATCCTCAGAAGTTATTCAAAGGGGACATGAAATCCTTTGTCACTTGGAGGAATTGTCTTCCAAAATTGAGACAGAGCTCAATGACCTGATGGTCGCTTCCAGCGACAACATGACACGTCATGCACTACGAGCAGGAGATCAAACTTGCAAGCTGGATCTCTTGGAAGTGTACTGTGAAGAAGAGTCGAATTTGACCACAGCGCTCAATTCCATGGATGTCAAAGCCAAGAGATTCACCAGGCAAGACTGTCTTGGTGGTTTTTGTTTTTGTCTCTTTGCTTTGGACTGTCTCACGCTTAATGGTTTCCTCTTTTCTGTCGTATCCATTGCATCGGCGGTGTCGGGCACTACATCTACGTTCATTTTTGATGTTTCCTTCTGTAGTTTCTTTTGGTGATTTACCTTTTTGACTTGTTTGTTGATGAGTTTTTGTGTTGGTTTTATCTTGGACGGTTTCTCTTCCTCGTCTTCGTCGGGTATGATGGCGTCTGTCAGTTTTGAAGCTATTAGTCCTCCTATTGACCCTCCCTTTGCTGTTCCTCCTGCTGTGGCGACTGCTTTGATGACTGGTTTGGATGATTTAAGAAATTTCTTTAAGATGCTTCTACTGCTTGAAGGCGGTTCTTCATCTTCTTCTATCCCCGCCGATGCTGTTGCTCCAACGGCGTCGTATGCTCCCTTGTTGGCCATATAGTGGTCTTGTGAATGACTTAAGTTTGCCTGTTCCGCTACTCTCCTTTCGTTCTCTTCCCTCAAGTCGGTCATATCTTCAAAGTTAAGGTTGGGTGTTTTTTCTTCCTTTCTTGCGGTCGCTTCCTCTGCCATCTTTTTAAAGTACATTTGTTGTAAGTCTGCTGGATGGATGTTGTTTGTGTTCAGTGCTTGACCTTGCGGACTTTCGTGAAAATACCAAGCGTTCCTATCAAAGATTTTTCTGATGTCATTGGTTTTGATTTTTTCCTTGTCTATTTCCTTAATCAATTCAGCATAAGTGGGTATTCGTGTCAATCCCTGTTTTGCGTTGATTACTTCTGCTGTCATTGCTATATATTAATACTTTAGATTTTTATATTAATCTTGTGTATCGCCTCTCAACCACTGTTTGTATTCATCAATTCTCTGTTTCATATTCTGGACGTTCGCCCCGTAATCTTCCAATCTGTGATTTTTCCTCACCTCCCTCAACCTTGTCATTTCATTCTGTAGCATCTCATTCTCTTCCTTCATCCTCTGCTTCACCTGTAAGACCTTGTAGCCGTGCTCGGTGTTATGATATTCCAGAAGGCGCTTGAGATAAAGATGATGGTTGTGAGTTGGCATCCTTGCCGTGTTGTTGTCGTTGTGGTAGTAGTGGTCATAACTGCTATACACTTTTTTTCTTCTGTCTGGCATTTCGGGCGTTCCGCTCCTGTAGTTGGCACTTTTGTTTGAATGGACGGTTTGTCTTCTGTTGATGTCGCGCATAGCACGCGAGGCTACTGCCGTAGCGTCCTTGCGGACGTTTTCGTAGATGTCTGTTTTGTTGAGTTCCGTTTTCTGTTCCTTGATGTTCATTTTTATATATAATACTTTACAAAAATTTTGATGCTAAAGATTTCAATTTCTCTCTCGTCGCTTTGTTCTTTTCCTCTTTGGCTTTGTTGTAGGTGTCTCTGGCGGTCATTGCACTCTGTAGTTCTTCCTTCAGTTGCTTTACAAGGTCGTTTTTGAATGCCTCTGGGTCAAAAGGTGGTTTCGCCCTTGACGGTCTTACCCTTTTGGGCTTTGGCGCTGGTTGCGGTTTCTCTTGAACTGGTGTTTCAATTATTTCTTCTGGTTTCTCCTCTTCCTTCGGTGCTTCTTCCTGTATTGGTTCTGGTATTGTTTCTTCCTTTGGTTCTTCATTATCAATCTCTTTTACGACTACCTCTGTCATATATTAATATTATAGATAATTTTTTATACTTTCAAAATCTCGTGCCTCAAATAAGGTTTGTTCAATCCTTCCAGTTTGAAGGTTCTGTTTCCGACGTCGTCGTATTCTATCTTGACGATTTTGTAGGATTGATTGCTCCACTTTGAGTTATACTCCTTCCTCTCGGTGTAGTTGTCTTTTTTCTTCTCAAAGACCTTGACCATATCATTCACTTTAACCTCTGGATATTTGCGAGTGTTCTTTTCCCTCCTTGTCAAATTCACCCTGACGTCCATATGGTTCTTGTCATCGTGGGCATCCTTTGGTTTCATTTTGGTTGATGAATGGACGGTGTCGTTGTATTTATCTAACGCTTTGGACAACATCACAGACCAACTACCGCGATTAAACCTAACTCTATCGTGCATCATATTTTTCATTGTCCTTATGAAGCGCTCCACAACATTAGCGTGAGTTAGGGTGACGACGTGAGTGATGCCTTCTTTCTCAAAAAAGTCTTTAACTCCCGCTTGGAAGGCACGGTCATTATCACTATAAACGGACATCGGAAAACCCATTTTGTTGAAACTCTCTTTCATCGCTGATAATGTGATTGGTCCGGATTTTTCTTTCATAGGGACGACGTTTGCCAACTTGCTGAAGATGTCAATGACCACCAACCCATATCTCGGTTCATCATTCTTGATGGGAATTTTCGTCTCTGGTTCTTTAGTTAGGGGCTTCATATCCATTATGCCAATCTGCTATTCAAACCTTGCGAAGGGTGCGGTGTAGGAGTTTGAACCCCTGTATTTTCTAATCTGTTTGTTGGGTTGTTTCCTCATAAAATTTTCCACATCCACCCTGTTGATGGTCTGGTCTTGTTCCTTGGCTTTCTTGAGGGTCTCATTGATTGAACCGAAGCCCGTTTCAAGATTGTAATAGACATTGCTTATGATGTCATCATAGTCTCCTTGCCATATATTATAATATTAGATTTTTAAAATTATCAGCAATAAAAACTATACTTAAAGAAAAAATGCCTATATATATAGTAAGACTGAATAAGATGACTAAGTTTGACTGTGGATGTCGTATAATGACAGATGTTATAACCCTGAACGATACAAAGCAACCTAATTGGAACTACTTGCTCAAAACCTTCGTGAATGTTTGTGGCAAGTGCTACAAGAAGCAAATGAATTTCCAATATATGGAAAACAAACTTATGGAGATGGAAAAGCAAAGAATGGACATGTTTTTGGAACATGAGGATGAAGAACAAGACACATACTTTGACCTGACAGAGTTGAAGGAACATCTCAAAACCCTCCCACCCAATGAAAGACACAAAGTGAAGGATTTTGAGAGGTTAAGAAACCTCGCAAATGGACAAGACCCCAACGAAGGAATGAATGAAATTGATATGGTCATAGGAGAACTGGAAGAGGAAAGGGAAAAGAAAAACCAACCCGAACTCAAAAAATGAAAGAGACCCCAAAAACTACTTGAAGAAAAAATACCTATATATATAGTAAGAGGATGCTATTTACTTATAAAAACTGCGGATGTTGTAAGAAAGAAATGACTGACCTAAAGGATTTATTGAACAATATTTTTCCCGCTGGAATTTGTGATGAGATATGTGATTACAACCTTCACTGTTCAAAATGTAAAGACTTAAACGATAAGAAGCGTAGATACATAGATTTCAATTATCATTTTGACTATTTTAATGATAAAAACCTGACGAGAGTAGAAAAGACAATCTATTTCTTTAAAACAAGGGTGGAGAAATCACCTATTTATTTGTCCAACACGAACCGAACAAACACTCGGCAAATGAAAAGAGAAATTGATGTTTTAATGGATACATTCAAACTCAAGCAAGAATTCAAACATGACAAACTGTTCTTAATGGCGATTAAGTCTTTTGTGAAAAGGGAGTGGAAAACTACCTATCACTTCCTTAAAAACTTTCACGACCTTACATACATGACATATTGTAAGAACAAACGGGAGTGGTGGTTTCCTCAAAACGATTGGACTTATACATTCAGAAATAGGGAGTTTAAGGTAAATGACATTGTGAAAATATTTTTGCGTGAATATGGTGAAGAACTGTTCAACGGTTATGAGAAATATTTGAACATAGAAGAAATAAAAGAGTATCTACAAAAAGTGGTAAATATTTAAAGAAAAAAGTAAGTATATATAATAAGAGAAAATGAGTAAAGCAAAAATTCAGGTTATAGATAGAGATAATATCGGTATATATGCTGACTTTGGTAGTGAAAGCGAAGATGAACACGAATGTGATAGACAAGCAATAGAAAAAGAAGATGAAGAGATTAGAGACTTTGTAAAGTGTCATCCTATGCCTTCACCAGATGATGAGGAAGGAGAATACTGGTGGTTTAAAGTAATTGATAGGCTGAAAAACGACCAAGGAATAAATGAAATTATATTTTTTTGTCTTATGAGATTTGACATTATAAAAAGAATGTATGAAAACCCCACTAACAAAACAATTATCGTTGAATGTGGTAAGGAACTTAACCGTGATGGAAAATGGGATGCTATGGCAATAAATCAAACTCTATTAGCATTAGCAATAGATGAACTAATTTTAGATGATACAGACGAGCCAACTATCACAAGTCAAGTCAGGATAATTGAACACTGGTGGAAAGCATAAAACAATTAATTCATAATATCTTAACAAAAGATATTATGAAGTAATCACCCACCCAAACCCAAACACAAAACCCCAACAACCTAAACAAATCCTACCCTCATTCAATCCAAACATCAACAGTGAAAGTTAGGGGCAAAATAGTCCCAAAACCCCCACCACATAAAACATCAAAGATAAGGAAGAAACATTGAACACAAACCTAAAAACCACAACAACCAACATAAACCCTTGGGATGTCCTAGCATCCCCCTTTTACCATTTTTTTCTGTGATATGTAGCAATGTTTTGACGATTCTCTGCGCAAAAACGTGTTGGATATGACAGAACCCTCCCGCGATTGACACCGTTGTGATCGCGGTTGATTCGCGGTTGATCGGCGATTGTAGCTGCCCTAGATACCTTTGTTTTGATCAACACCCATATACATATTTTATATATTACATATTTTATTTATATATTTAGGTTTACATATTTACATATACTATGTATTATTACATATATATATATTTTTTAATATACATACATATGCACGTAGCAGCTCGTCGGGGAAAAAGGATACGTTTGACTTGGGCTTCGGGACAGCTCCAGGTTTCAAGAAATGGAGAGTTCCTAGCAAGAAAATCTGCGAGGTTGGAGCCGGAGAGAGCCCAGCTTGGCCCAGCTTTGGCATGCCTTGAGTTGACAATCCATGATGGTGAATAGATTGTAAATAGGGGCCTGTGTTCATATTTTTCATGCCGATTCATGCCCCTCAGATGTAGCTTCAGCATTCTTCAGCTTGCCAGTCTTGAGCAAACTTCATCGCAGTTCATGTCTTCCAGCTATTTCCACCTATGTGGCCGGTTTTGTCAAAATGTGTGCCACGAGGACTCACTTCTTCTTTGAAAGAAAAGTCTTTCATGTTTCCGCTCGATCATTTTCCATATGTTTTCTGTGGTCTGCGCTCAGATGCGCTCTACTAAGTAGCTACTTTCAAATTCTCTTCGTCTTCGTCGTCTTCGTCTACAACTTTCATCAATTTTCATTTCAATTTTCATTAGTTTTCCAGGTTCGACTCTGTGGCCCATGGCCTGACCTTGAAGCTCACATTGAACGCTATCGACACAGTTCGGCCGTTGAGCCCAGTTGGGCCAAGTTGTGTGCCAAGTTGAGAAAATTAGAATTTACTTCATAATTTACTTCCTAAGTACTAATTTCATCTAATTTCTAACACTTGCAGAAAAATCCAGATTATATCAGAATACTACAAACAGCAGAGAGAGATGTCAAAACTGAGCAGTGGGTACCTCAGAGAAACATGCAGAGAACAGACTGAAGGCCTTACGGGTCAGAGAAAGATGGCAAATATGAGATATGATGAGATGCTCGAGAGAGCCTTCGCCACGCAGTGCCACAAGGGCTACAGTCCGCATGTCTAAGGTGATGCACCATTCAGTCCCTGAGGAGTTCAAACCTGTGCTATTTGAAAACGGGAAGCAGATCCCTTTCCCAAAGCCCTCGAAGGCCGGGAGTTGAGAGATACTGCAATGCCATTTCGTTGTTCGTTGTTTCTCGCAGATAGTTTGGTGATGCCAGTTGGGCTAAATTGGAACCTAACTCAGTATCCGGTATGTAGTCGATACGAAGAAAGTTGTTATATGTATTCTTGTCACACAAGGGTGAGTATGTAGATCTCGCAGAGTAATGCAGAGTATACCTATATTCGCAGCCTTAAATTTGACGTATATAATTTAACAGGGTTACCTTCATTTGCGGTTGACAATACGATTCTTGACGCAGCGCTTTCTGCGCTGTCCATGCGATGCAATTTGAAATACGATGATATACAAACAGTTTTCAAACAGTTTGAAATACAGCAGGGCCCTGAAGGACGGACCGGCGCCCTCGCCAGAGCGAAACAGCTGGCTGTCTTCCAGCCGCCAACACGGCTCACAAACGGCGCCCTCGCCACAGCGAAACAGCAGGGCCCTGAGGGACGGACCGGGCCTGCGGGCAACGGTCCCCAGTGCCTAACGTTGCTTTCCGAACCTACGAGAAAACTAGCTTTCATCCAGCCGCCAACAAGGCTCACAAACGGCGCCCTCGCCACAGCGAAACAGCAGGGCCCTGATGGACGGACCGGGCCTGCGGGCAACGCCTCCCAGTGCCTAACGTCACTTTCTGAACCTACAAGAAAACTAGCTGTCTGAGCTGAAACGGCGCCTTCGCCTGAGGTACGGACCGGGCCTGCGGGCCGCGGCCCCTGTCTTCCAGCCGCCAGGCTTCACAAACGGCGCCTTCGCCACACCAAAACAGCAGGGCCTGCGGGCCACGGACCCCAGTGCCTAACGTCACTTTCTGAACCTACAAGCCAACAAGGCTCACAAACGGCGCCCTCGCCACAACGAAACAGCAGGGCCCTGATGGACGGACCGGGCCTGCGGGCAACGGCCCCCAGTGCCTAACGTCACTTTCTGAACCTACAAGAAAACTAGCTGTCTGAGCTGTCTTCCAGCCGCCAAGCCTCACAAACAGCGCCTTCGCCTGAGGGACGGACCGGGCCTGCGGGCCGGCCCCTGTTTTCCAGCCGCCAGGCTTCACAAACGGCGCCTTCGCCACACCAAAACAGCAGGGCGCTGGACGGACCGGGCCTGCGGGCCTCGGACCCCAGTGCCTAACGTTGCTTTCTGAACCTACAAGAAAACTAGCTGTCTTCCCCCAGTGCCTACCGTAGTCTCAAACAGCAGCGCCCTGAAATACGGACCGGGCCTGCGGGCCACGGCCCCCACTGCTTGGAATCTCTTCTCTGGCGCGCTCCCCCTGCTGTCGGCAGGGGTCGGCGGAGATATATATATATATATATATTCTTTGACCATCCTTTGATGGCCAAGCTCCAGGCTCCAAAGGCCCCTCAAATCCGCCGAGCACCAGGGCCTGTCAGCCTCGCCCCAGTTGCAACACACGTTGTGGTGCGCAAAGGGTGTACAGATGTGTACAGGGGTTCATGTGGTTCATGGGCCTCGGATGAAGCAGAGAAAGAACATTGCCACATAGTGCAACGATTGAGAAAATTCCCTCCCTCTTGGTGTGTGGTATTGTCATCAGAACCTGTCTCAAAAAAAGGGCCCTAATTGTATCCGATTCTAATGGGAGAAATGCTTGCGTGATTTTGCATGTATCCTTATTGTGGTACTTTGTGGTGACCCTCAGTAGCCGTTTGCGAAAAGTTACCTGGCCCAGCTCTGCGGCATTTACACTCCAGCCTGCAAGGGTTCCGCTGCGCTTTCACCTGGGTTGGTGCAAAGATCCAACTTTTGAGGCGCAAGCTCCATGCTCCATGAAACTCCTTAGGGATCGAATGTGATCGTTACATTTCTCGCCTTGCGTTCCTTCCATTAGCTGTAGGTTATCACAAGCTTAGTTTCTGACGTTTTCAATTTGTTATCCTATGTGTTCTTGTATGTTCTTGTAATGTTTGCAAATGCCCTAGTAACACCAAGAAGAACTTTAGGAATCTAAATGCAAAATGATAAAATGTCATAGGGTATATGATATTTTATATATGATATCATATGTATATGTATGTGTATATGTATATGTATATATATATATGTGTATACATGTGTATATACATATGTGTATATGTGTATATATATATATTGTATATTTATCAATCTAAGAAATTATGTATGACATATGATATGTATATCAGACACAATACACAATACATTGTACATGATACAGGATACATGATATGCATATATCACAATGTACATTATATCAGGTTTAATATTATATATATATTGAAAACATATACAATATATTTTATATAAATATAAATAAACATATATGTATACCATATGGAATATACAATATAAGATATATAATATAGGATATACAATATATGACGATATAAATATATAGCATATATATATATTATAATTATAATTATATACCAGTAGAGCCCGGGTAAGCCGAGTGACGGAAGTTTTGAAAAGGGGGGAAGCCTAGAAAGAAAAGGGAGAGCCTATAGGAACGAAGCCTGACTGCCTGGTTGTCAGGGCTGTTGACTGCATGATCTCTTGGAAGTCTTGCTCCGGTTTGCTCCTGACATCTCTGAATCTTGACAGCGCTTCTTGTTGACAGCTCTGACGCCCGAGACTTGTTTTTCTGATGTCATCGCTGCCTATTGAAACCGATGTCTTTTCAGCATTTTCTCTTTCTCTTGACATCCCTATCTTTTGGCCTTTTGGCATCTCTTTTTCTTAAGACATGGCTTTCATTGTTTTCCTTTGAGATCTTCTATCTTGACGTTTCCTTTGTCTTGAGGCGGTTTTGCATTCTCGTGTCTTTCTCTTGGCACCTCTTTCTCTTGACATTTTGGTACCTTGCTACCAAAATCCATCCTGCGTACTACAAAACCTGCACAAAGCCCTTCCTGTACCACAAAACTACAAAGTGAGTACAGTACTACTTCGTACTACGAAGCTTGCACAAAGTACTTCCCAGTACTACTTCGGACCACAAAGGTTGCACAAAATAATACTTCCCAGTACCAATAGTACCGGCACGAGGCGGGGCGGAAGTTGCCTTAGGGTTTTTCTATAAGATTTCGCATCTATAGAACTTGCATGCGCCGTGTGCCAGCCAGGCCCGTGCGCGCGTGCTTTGTGCGAACCAAACCAAGAACATGACCTGCGCGCGATCACGTTGCACTGCAACGCCAAGCGAACCTTTTCTTCGCACTTCGCTCTGCACTCTTCACACCCCGCGCTTCACACTTAAGACTTTGCACTTCACTCTCCACACTTCATCTCATCTCATCTAATCTGAGCTCTTCTCACCTCATCTCAGCTCTTCTCATCTCATCCCATCTCTTCTCACATGTCATCTAAGTAAGTTCTACTGTTTTCATTTCATCCGAGCACTGAGCAACCTTTCTCATCTCCCCGAAGTTCTTCTCAACTCATCTCAGCTCTTCTGCACGCCAGAAAGCTCTTACGGTCAGAGAGAAGTAAACATTGCGCGCAGAAAGCTTGTCCACACGGAACCTTGAGGCACAGATGCATTTACGCAGAAAAGCCTGCACAAAGTACGTTCCAGTACTACTTTGTACTACAAAGCTTGCACAAAGCACTTCCCAGTACTACTTTGTATTACAAAGCTTGCACAAGGCACTTCCCAGTACTACTTTGTATTACAAAGCTTGCACAAAGCACGTCCAAGTTCTACATTGTACAACAAAGCCTGCACAAAGCACTTCCCAGTATTACTTTGTACTACAAAGCTTGCACAAAGTACGTCCCAGTACTACTTTGTACTACAAAGCTTGCACAAAGTACGTCCCAGTAGTACTTTGTACTACTATGCTTGCCCAAAGTACTTCCCAGTACTACTTTGTACCACAAAGTTTGCTCAAATTACTTCCCAGTACTACATTGTACTACAAAGCTTGCACAAAGCACTTCCCAGTACTACTTTGTACTACAAAGCTCGCACAAAGGACTTCCCAGTACTACCTTGTACTACAAATACTACTTTGCCGAGGGAATTTTAGAAGTCAAACTTCGGACAATATGGACAGATGAAAAAGCAGAGGTGGGAAGAGTATGGAAGAGTGAGAGAAGAGAAGAGCAGACGAAAGAAGATCAGAAAAGAGAAAGAGTCAGAAGACAGAAGATGCAGGTGCGCGAAAAGATTGAAAAGTCGCAATTCACCGCCTTTTTCCAATGATTTGTGGCTCCGGATGGTCGAAAAGTAGGCTCG